CGAGAGGGGGGCTGCCTCGGGTGGCGGGCGCTGCACTTGGCCGATTTATGGCCCACCCGAGTTTGCAATTGAAATTCACGAACTTTCACAGAACACGCACTGCGTTCAATTTTTACATATTTCTTCTCCAAATGCTTTCTTTTGTGTAGTTACTTTTGTTTCATATGAATATTTTCTTTGCTGTTCCTATTATTTAGTTTGGAACTAACTTGTGTCCGTTTTAAAATAAGTTAATTTTGCAAATCGAGGAAATGGGGCACTTCATGATTTTATCGAATGTTTTGTGCATCGATGAAAATTCGAGTGTTCTTTTCGTTACAATTTTTCGAATTGTTTAAATTATTAACGTTGTTAAGTAAGATTACTTTATATTAGATAGAAACCTTTGTAATGCCTCGTCTGAAACTCCATGATTGATTTGAATTGAGATTCGACTACGAGGGCAAATTGCAATGTGCCTATTCACATTTTTAGTTGTCTGAAGTGAAATAAGTTTTATAGCATTGGTAATATTGATTGGTAAGATTGTTGATGAGATTTCGTGTTTATTGTATAGTTGCTAAGGAGATTTGTTGCTAGCGAACATACTGTAGATATATGAGGCCTTAGGTTGTGTTTGACGGCCGCCAAGATAGGAAAAGCAATGACTTGTGGGAGCCGGGTCAGATATCAAAGCGATTGGGTCGGTAGGCGCAATTCGGGGCGCTCCTTGCGCATATTGCATGCACGTACCGATGAAGTTTGCTTTGTAGGCGGTAATCTGCGGGGGTGGCTGTATCGGGGGCCGGTGGGCGGCGGGCTATGTACACACGAGCCGAGCCCGAGGCGTCGAGGTAGGCAAATGGCCGGCGCGGCGTAGGCCGGCATCTCGAGATATCGATCCGCGGCCGGCCGACGCCACGGACACGTCGCGGGAGGGTGGCGCCGTCACAAAAACACTCCTTTGTTCGTCGACGTGACACGAAACCCCGCCGTGAAAGGGCTCAACGTCTGAGCGAACCCGAGCGTAGCAAACATTTTGTAGAAACTACAATTCTAATTACCTATTCAGTTCAACTTCTATTACACTCCAAGTTATACAGCATAACCCGACAATAACACTACTAAATTAAGTAAGACATTCATATTATCGATGCAATAATTAAATTGAATATCGATAATGAGTAAAGTGTAAATTTAAAAGTAACATCACTAATCCGCGAGCGCGGCGGGCGGTGCAGTCAGTCGCGCGGACTGCCGCCGGTCTTGGCGCGCCCGCCGCCCGCCGCCCCCCGCGCATTGAGACCGCTCGCGAACGCGTTTTTATTTCTATCCATCGACAAAAACGTCATGCACGAGCTACGAGGAGGTTGGACGGTGACGTGATTTATCGAAATCGATTTGTAGTTATACAGCATTTATGATTTCATCGTAATTAAACCGTAAAAATGAGGAACAATTTTTCAACGACCGTTTAAGCTTTTACCGATTTAATAGTTTTATGCTTAGTATCTACTATACAAATTGATAGATATTTAAGTATGTGAGAATTTAGGCTCACTTCTTGCAGAAAGTATTAGTAATAATGTCAGAATAATCTAGGCGCAGCCACGTTGACATAGTATGTAAGTGTTTGCGCCGTAGCTACCATTTGCTCGACCACAATCGACATATGGATCTAATGTTACAGTGATTCAAAATTAGTATATGGACATCTTAGTAATTGAATTACTTGACTATTTACCGCTTATAAATATGACATATTCAAAATGTACCACTACTTATGTAAAAATTCCTGAACGTAATAAGTTAAGCAACTTGCCATGCTTCGATCCTTTGCAACAGAAAAATAAAATATAATTTCTACATTATTGTTGATAGACATTTCCGTATAATTATAAAGTTATTTTACAAAACAAAAAATAATTTATAATACCAAAATAAATATTAAAAAATATCGATAGTCGATATCAAGAAAGTCGCAGCGCGTTCAATTAGAGGCGCAGCACGGTCCCGCATGAGTGGCATCTGTGCGCGTCGCCGGCGGCGGCGTTGTTCGCGCTAAAGCCCCCCCTCTCCCCTTGCCAACGGCCTCTTGCCCTCACTCACCTCCCCCTCGAACCCCCCATACCTTACTGGACCCTTGGAGAATCGATACTTACGATAACTCGAGAATTTGATGGTTTGCTCAGCTGACAACAGAACCCTATTCCTAAGATAAAGGTCGTTAGTTCAAACCCCTTCGAGCATTACATTTACATGCGACCGCTACGATCAACAGGTGCGAGGCTTAATAATACTAATAAGTCTATCGACGCTTATTATTATGTACAAATAGAAGAAAATAGTCTTTTTGTAATCTCAATAGTGATTTTTGATGACCATGATACCACTTCGTACGGATACTATGACAAGTACGAGTACTTGGCTAACAAAAGAAAAATAATGTTATTTTTTTAGAGTGAAAAAAATGAAAAAATGCCTAATATTATATAAGTTATCACAGCTTTATTCAAACAATTTACTTCCATCGTTTAACTACATTTTGGTTATTTCTAATGTTTCCCTAAACTGCTCTGATCATACAAATATGCAATACCAATTTAAATTCAATACAAAACATCTTTATCATGTTTCACTCTTATTCACATCACTAAACCGGTTAGCTTAACTAGGTCAAACGAACATACCTAGCTGCAATACTCGCGTATCGATATATACGGGCTTGGCACACGCACATCACTAGTGCACCGGCGGCAGCGGGCGTCTTGCTCGAAATTCGAATAACGCTTGGTCAAGCGCGTCTCAAAGCGGGAGCGAGGCTCGCTCTAATTTGCGCGCTCTGCGGTACCCGTGTGCTCTGCGCTAGGTACTCAGTGCACATACCCTGCCTGCATTCATTATGTACCTATATACTCGTACTATGTACTAGATACGGCAAGCTCTAATTTTGGAACGACGTTTTGTGCATGTCTTAAGAGCTTCAACTGTATACATGAATGAGAGTCCATTTTGATATTGGTATCTTATTTATATCGTATCGTATCTTAATCAATACTAGCTTACTAACTCAAACGCAAAAGACCTAACAATTTAAATTGGCAAAACTTAACTTAATTAAAGTAACTCAATTTTTTTTAAAATTTATTGATAACGCCTACATTTTTTAATACGCAAATCGCGTTAGTTTTTAGCTAGAATTAAAAAAAAACTGCAGAACATATTAATTTTTAAAATCATTTGAAATTATCTACAAATGTCGCATACTTCTGCTTCAATATGTAGACCAAAATATATAAAATTCTACTTAACCCTATGGTAATCTATCCTTCCGTAAAGTAACGAGGGCAGGTCCAATTTGCGCGGGCTTTGGCGCGCTGTACTCACGGAAATTGTACCTATGGCTATAAAATCCAGCCAGCTACGTGATGGTGCCTACCTCCTTTGTGCTTTTAAAACGATTTTCTTCAACGACTCCTACTTAAAATGCCTTTTTCTTGTACCGTTTGTAATATGTACTTTTTAATCTGTCGATATTGTTCTTTGACGTTGTCATTTTTTGGCGGGAAAATTAGATTATGGTAGGTTATGTATGTTTTTCTAAACTTGAATATTAGATAATTATGTGATTTTGTGATGTTTTAGGTAAGTATTTTTTTTCTATTAATTTTTCTGAACATAGCCGTTTTAGTTTAATATTTTTTTAAAGTTGTAAAAAATGCCTACGAGAGGTTATCGCTTAATTTAAATTTTACATTTTGAGTTCTACAATAAATAGATATTGTACTGTTGTTACTGATGTTATTTTTCTATATATGTCGTGTAAACCTATACTTATAACAAATTATCTGCATGTTACTTATTATATTGTGTAAAAATGTGTGTCATAATTTTGTCCTGTTGGTTTATCTTAATAAATAAAATGAAGTTATAATTTGTTACAAATTTAATTATCGTCAATTGATTCTCCGTGAAACTACTTTAAGAAGTGAACCCATACAACCGAGTTACGTAAAAAATTATGATTTACGCAACATGACTTTTAAATTTCCCCTTATAACGAAACTAAATAACTTCGCAAGACTTAAAACTTAGTTCGATTAAATTTTATAAAGTTAGTAACTGAGAGTTCTGAATGGATGCAGTAAGAAAACTACGACTGGGGAAAAGAAAGCTCTCCCCGTTACCTTCCCCCCTCGTTGGTAGCGAGAGTGATCAAAAGTTTTGCGAACTAAAAGTGAAAGTAGCTTGTCGCAAAAGTTGTGCGGCCGACGACTTTGTTTTCACTCAACTTTAGATTCAATTTACCGGGTCTCCCCCACTTCTACCTTATCCCCCCTCCTCCTACGAACGTAGTACTCGCACAACAATGAACTGTTTATGATTTTATTGTGATACTGCCATTTGTTGTTCTTTTTTAAGACAGTTGTAAGTTTGTACGCTGCATATTTAAATATGTATTTTTCAACTAGCTGTATTGTTAAATATGTAAATAAGTTATATTACTCTAGTTAAAATAAACGTAAGCATTGTTTCAGTGAATACCAAAAATTTATACGTTTTTTTTTGTTAGAATTACAAAAATCTTACAAGGTGCGCCATCTGGTTAATGTCTAATGAAATGTTTTACGTGTTTGTTCACGCTTTTTATTACTTTCTTATTTCTGAGATAGATGGCGCTTTAGCTAAATTTTATAGTAAACTCCACACGCGTAGACGCACTCCGCGAAATACAAAATGTACCTTTACCTTTACCTTATTCTTATTAAAAAAAAGTAAGTAGCCTTTGTGTTCTTCCAGACTATCCTCTTTATCTATGACAAATTTGACAGAGATCCGTTCAGCAGTTTAGGCTACAAACTCGTGACAATCATCCATCTATCTGATCTTTTGCTTTTATAACATAGGTATGATTAACATGAGTTCTTTTAAACAGATTTAGGCATAAGTACTTAGTTATTAACGAATACAAGAATGTGTGTGTGTTTTTGAGTTCATACATGTTCCAGCCTGAACGCATAATGTCTCCATACACGGCCATCATCCGTCGAAGCGGCAACCCATTCGAGCTTGCGCACGTGTTGGTATCGTGGCTGGTGGGCGGCGGGTACGACGCGTACGTGGTGGTTGGCTGCGCGCAACGGGACGTTTGCATGGCCATACGGTATCGCACTGACTGCCCACATCTGCCTGATGAGAATCCGGTAAGACCAACATTCATGTTTAACTGCTAACTTGAAAATGAAGAATTGACAATCCTTGACAGAAAAATGTCATCAATCGACTTAGAGCTCTCTGTTTGATCCGAAGACATCGATACCAAAGTTAGTGTGGGTTGAACCATGAAAATTGAGAATGTAGTCACTGCCCTTTTCCAGAATTAGTATCTTTGGTAATTTAAAAAACACTGTGTTTTTTGCACTTATTTTAATTACAGGTAGTTGAGGCACCGCCACCTCCAGACACAGAGCCACGCTATCGTCTGGTGCCTTTGCCAGATTTCTCGTCCAAGTACTGCAAGGATATGGCAAAGAAGGAGGCTGACCAGAAACAAGCTGATATCGAAAAAGCGGAAAAAGCGAGGAGAGACAGAATTGCGGTAAGAGATACTCCAGTTTAACAAAAAATTAAGAATTTATGAACCTTACTAGCTTTCACCTGTGACTCCGTCGGCGTGGTATTAAAAACAACAAAAGTTAGTAGCCTTTGTGTTCTTCCAGATTATCTACGTCTATGCCAAATTTCATGGAATCCATTCAGCCATTTAGGCTACAAATTCTAACAAACATCCACCCAACCATTTAAACTTTCGCATTTATGATATAAAGCGTCGGTGGCTCAGTGGTTTAAGCACTTGACTTGTAATCTACAGGTCTTGGGTTCGAATCCCGCCGCCATGTACCAATGTGATTTTCGATTTTTCGAATTTTCATATGTACATAATTTACCCGACGTTCTTACGGTGAAGGAAAACATCGTGATGCAACCTGCACATATCCGCGAAGAAATTCAAAGATATGTGTGAAGTCAACCAACCCGCACTTGGCCAGCGTGGTTGACTATGGCCTAGTCACCCTAACATTAGGGTAGGCTCCGAGCCCCTCGGTGGGGACATATAGTGAGCTGGTGATGATGATTTATGATATTAGTAAGAATGTGAATGGGTACAAAGGTAGAGGAAGACCGAAGAAAGCATGGATGGATTGTGTGAAAGAGGGTGTGCTTAAGAAAGGAGTGAATTCGGATATGACGGCTGATAGAGATGTGTGGAAAAGCAGCACATACTGTGCCGACCCCCCATAAGGGATAAGGGCAAGTGGATGATGATGATGATGATGATGAGTACGATTAGTAAGATTTTTAAAACAATACTTCTTAGGAATTAGAAAAGCCACCACCGGACAAGATAGACGGATGGCGCACCCACGCATGGGTGCTGGTGCTGCCGGGTTTCATGGGCATCGAGGAGCCATTCTTCATAGAACCAAGTGACGGGAATCGTTATCCATTGGACTCAAAGCAGTACCAGCAGCTGGACTCTGTTTATAATCATGAAAATTATTATGTTAGTTGGTAGATATAAATACTTTTTCTAACTCATCTTATTTCTAACTTTGGTTTGATTATCTCAATGAACTGTTTATATTTCATATCTTCTTTACAAAAGGTTTAAAACTTGAAAGTAAACCTTTCTAAAGCTATTTGTGTAATGTTTGTATGGTATAGGTGAATATCCAGTCGTGTGCCGACGGTCTAGGCAGCCTGAGTTACGATCTTAGCGACCTGCAGTGCTGGGAGCACTTGCTGGCCGGAGAGCCTCATCATCGACGGCAGCTGGTTGGCATTGACACGGCCGACAAATCCTCAGCCATATTCACTGAGAAACATCTAGACGCGCCCACCAGTTGGGTGGAGAAGTTGGATATTTGCGCTGACGGTAGAATATGGCAACTGTTTATCTTGGACTAGCTGTAGCTTGCGACTTCCTCCACGTGAAATTTAAAAATATAGCCTATATAACTCAGACATTCTCAGCTTTCTTACGATGAAAGAATTTTTGATATCTGCTCAGTAGTTTTTGACGTATTTCAATATATACAAAAATAAAATCTTTCCTATTAATAATGTTAATATAGATTACGAAGATAAAGGTGACTTGTTCTTCGCTGAATAAGTATTAAATCATGTCATCAATTTGTCTCGTCCTGCCGACAAGTTTTAAGTTTAACGTGGCGTCTCGTTCATATTAGTGAGTTGCCATATTGGTTAAAGGACTTACCTTTTCTACAATAGTTAACATATAATACAATAATTCAATAATGTTTACTACTTTCTGTTGATAGAATATGAGCAACGTTACCCTGGGAGTCATAAAGTGATTCATTATAAGAAAGTACTGATGGAACTATTCTCTCCGTACTCGAAGACAGACGGCATCGTCAAGAGAATCAAGATTTTTGAGGACTACGCGCTTAGCGTGCCATTGCTTACGTAAGTGGAATTCTAAAGATTTTTTCTAGTAGACCCTTCAAAATATAACAGGAGTCTGTGAACATTCTAGAACAAATTTCTTCTGCTACTTGTAATCAATCCAATTCTTCTGGCCCTAAGGACTCTATCTAGAACTTTGTAGACCGCTGGTCTATATGGAGGTTAACCAAGATGACACCCAAAATACTTTATTAATTACAGATACGAATGGTACCAGAATAGAGTGGATAAGATGGAGTGCTCGCGACTGGATCACAAAAAGAAAGAGATGCGTGAAACTTTCGGGATCGGCAGGAAAGATCATTTGTTAAGTTAGTATTAAGAACTGCGCTGGAGGATTGGCGCAACACTAGATTATCTGCATATACGTCCCTTCCCTATCTGACAGCTGTCAATGTCATTCAGACGTATTGGAATAGCGCGCCTTTCTGGCGGGATCAGTACTCTAGTTGTAGTTACGCTAGTTACGATTATTTTTTTTGTTAAAATTTAGTGACCAGTTTCTCTGTATGAGCGTCGCCTGAATGAGGATAGATACATAGATAATACGAGACTTAGATTGTACAATTAGACAAGTCATCTTTGACGTACTATGAAGTAAAGGAATGTTCTAGAACACGAGTACGCGGTGGAGGCGCCGGTGACGTCAGTGGAGGCGCACCGCACTCTGCACTTTAACTACTACCCGCGTCTCGACCACCTCGACAGGATTCAGTGCACGCCGCTCACATTCGACGAGTACTATATTGACAGGAGCGATAGGTAAAACATCTGTTAGACCATGTTTCCACTTAATATATGTGCAACACTACCTCCTTGCGACTGCTGTTGGTATAGCTACCTGGTTTACCATCCTCACCATCTCGATGGCTGGCATTCCACAACCGTGCGGTTTTCGCGGAACTTTCTGCCCCGCACAGCCGCGTTGTGGAACGGTCTGTCCTCGGCGGTATTTCCAAACCAATACGACTTGGGGTCCTTCAAGAAGCGAGCCTATCATTTCCTCAAAGGCCGGCAACGCATCTGTAGTTCCTCTGGTGTTGCGGATGTCCATGGGCGTCGTTGACCACCTTGGTGTTCACGCCGCTCGATTGCCCCCTTTTATTATAAAAAAAAGCAATCTATGCTCAGAGAAAAAGTTACTTTTATCTATCTCTATTGATCCTTACTATCCATAGTTTGAACAAGCACAATGAGGCGTAGAATTAAAGAATTAGTTATTAGTATTGATAGTTCTATTTATAGGTTAGAATCCAGATTGATTTCGTATACCGAAGGCACCAAGGCAGAACCAAAACGCAGTCTAAAAGACGTTATAGAGACGTACAGTAGGAATCCAGATGTTCCTGCAAGAGACGATGTGTGGAAAAGAATCTTTCATATGCAGGTAAATGTAACTATGTGTGCCGTACAAACGGGTTCGGGTCCCGCGGCACAACCTACCATTGACCTACGATTGCACCGGAGGGCATAATATTGTAAACGGGGAAATGGGACTCGCCAGCTCGATGATTTGACTCACCTGCCTTGCCTTGTCTCAGTCAGTGTCAATCGAGTAAGTCTCGTTCATTCAAGTCTATATGCCCATCGATGTTGCCTGAAAATTTACCAGTAAGGATTTCAAACGCGAAACCGAATTTAGCGACCCCGTTCGCTACCGAAATCGACACGCCTGTTGTGTCGTTATACGTAAGCAACCACTTTCAACTGTAATCCGCACACGTGTTCACGACTCGCTTGGCTGCTCGATTCCGACCTTTCCTCGCACCCCTCTCCGCAGGCCCCGCGCCCGTCCGTAGTGGAGAGGGTTTATCCATCTACCCGCCCGTGCGAGAAAAATAAAATAGGCGCGCTTACCCGCAATAAACGCGAAGCGCGAAATTTAAATTATGTTCACTACCGAATGTGGCGCACCCGTACTATCTGTACCGAACACTGTGGATTTTCCACGAGTTATTTGAATAGATTTTTTTATTTTCAGGAAAATGCAATTGAACTGCTCTACCATTACGACTACAATTTCGTAACAAACGATACACGGAGTTTTATTAAACCCAATTTAGCGGAGACTGGGGGAAAAATATTATTCTACCCTGATAAGACTGCGGGTTATGTTGTAAGTGATCACTACTAACTTCTTTAAAAGAAACTCGGGTGGGTAGCCAATGATATTTAAAATGTTCATCTTACATTTCAACAATGCTTAACACAAATTCCTCAAAGGCCGGCAACGCATCTGTAGTTCCTCTGGTGGAGATATCCATGGGCGTCGGACCACCTCTGTCTCCCCGCCGCTCGTTTGCTCTCTTCTCTTTTATATATAAAAAAACAAATTCTTATTCTATCTGGTTTCCAATAATTAACACTCTTCTCTTATGAATGTAAGGCTATCATGTAATTTAATTTGTTAGTTAAGATGGTTGACGCTATTAAATTTTTGTTTTTTTTTTCTTTCTTCCTACATTAAACAGTGTAATGGGTCGGAGTTTAAGGACACTTATTATCTTCTTCTTGTCCAGGCAAATCCTATCGCGAAGCAACCCCGTCCACTAAACGTGTACTACGCGTTATGCGACAACATGGCGTGGGAGCAACGCAGCGACAAGCACGTGCGCGACCGCGAGGCTGACGTCATCGACTACCTCGCGCACCGACATTGCGAGCTAACAGAACCCCATCTATACGTCGCGCTGTTTGACACCGAAAGGAATGAAGAGGCTAAACGCGGCTGGAAAGAACAGGTATGACTAGTCGCCAACTAAACAATTAAATGGGTTCGCAAACTTAACCCAAAGGATTTGCTACCAATTAGTTCTTGTTTATTGATAATAGATGGCGCTCGCAACAATTTAGATCACGGTATTATTTTGCTTGTAAGAGTAAATATTGTTGTTATTCGGTTGTTTACAAAATGTTTTATCCTTTCAGTCGCGAAATCCTTCAGTGGTATCTTATTGCATATATCTAAGTATAATGCACTAAGGATTTACCTTAGTGACCAAGTGTCGAGAAGGCTTTTTAAATTATCAGTATTTAATCCAGGAAACACAAAAGGCGGAAGTAACTGAGCGCGAGAAGGAGGCCGAGATCGACCCGTTAGCGCCGTACTTAGCGCGCATGTTCGGCAGCGGGCACGGCGCCGGCGCGGGCACCGCACTCACCTACCAGCAGGCGTCGTTACTGCGCGAGCAGTGCGTTACTGACTTCAAAGCCAAGCAACTGGAGAGACAGAACCTTATACAGGCTAGATACGATAAGGTTAGTTTAATAAAACTTGGTACAGTTGTGACTGTCTTCGGAATGGGTTGGTTGTAATTAGTCTATGACCACACGTTAACAACGTAACACCTACAACGTTCTTGCAACCAGTTTGTAAATATATGTTTTAAGAGTGGTTGTTTTTAGGAGTTGAATCTATATGATTTTTTTATTCGCAGCTCAACGGTGAATACAAGGCAAAGCGTCTATGGTATCTCGCGAATCAGTTTATCTTAACACCGGAGAAAGAATCTGCATATTTTGCCACAAGGTAAAACTAGATTTTATACCCGTATTACTAGCATAGTTAACTATTGCAAAATCAGATCTGTAGTGCAGATTTAACTAACTCGATTTATAATTACTAACTAATTAGGGTTTAAACAGACTATAAATGTAGACCTCTGCTCCACATTAATGTGCTTTCTTACTAACTATTACACACTGTGGTTGTTACTCTATGTGCATTTGATGTCAGTGCGGAGTTGGCCTTCCGCGTGCACTCCCTGGAGGTGCGTCTGACGCGGCACCGCGACCTCTCCGGCCCAAGGTTCCGCGCGCTGCAAGACTACCTCGACAAACATCCCCTACTCAAAGATTATAACAGGACGAGGAAACTCAAAGCATAGTAGGGCCTAAATTAGTCTATGATTTTAGTCTGTACTCTATGGTTGACTGACGTTTATCAGTATTGCTATGTCAAATTGACAGAAAACCATAAATACGGAGCTTGAAGCCACTTACTGTTGATTAACCGTGGTTTTCACTGCATCTTATTTTGTAGTGTTTAATGAATGTAAAATTTTGCTGAATTTAAAAATGAATTTATAGTTGTTATATATGTTATCTAATAGTTATTATTCTTGTTATTTGTTTTGTTATAAATGTTTTATGTAATAAATTGATTAAATGGTTGATTGAAAGGTTATTTTTATTTAAATATTCACATTTACCATACATTTTGATACACGAGTAATACATTTATTAACTAAAAAAACATAATACATTGATCTCAATATTTACTTACGTCCTGGATAAAAAGTTTTTTTTTTTTAATATTGTGACGTTATAAAGCGAAAAACGTATCGAATTCGTTAACAGGTGTTAAGTATTTAATCTATGGGCTAGTTTTTTTTTTATAACAATAGAACGAGTCGTAAAAAGCCACTAAGAGCTACTAGTGTTTAGGCAGTATCCAGGAGGGCTGCGTGCGGTCGAGGTCATTCCAGTCGCCGGCGCCGCCCAGCAGGTGTCCGCGGTCGTCGTGCGTGGCCAGCGACAGCCGCGACAGCTTGTTGGCCAGCCGCCGCTGCGGCGAGTCCGGCCGCGACAGGGGCGGCAGCGAGATACTGCCCGACTCTACCAGAATACAGCTAAATATACTAGACCGAACGCGATTAAACAATGACTTCTATAATTCTAACAAACAAGCTTTCGCCCACGACTCCGTCCGCGTGGAATTTAAAAAAACAAAAGTGAGTAGCCTTCCATAACATCTTCTACATCTATGCCAAATTTCATCGAAATCAGTTCAGCCGTTTAGGCTACAAACTCTTAACGAACATACATCCATCCATCCATTTCAACTTTCACATTTATAGTATTAGTATGATTTTATTTCATAAAGCTGTAATCACAAATTTATTTAGATAGTATAGATTTGCGTTGTCTATGGTAGTATAGACCTACAAAGCAGTTTTTTGACATCAACAGAGAGGCGCCTGTTTTAGAGTTACCAGATTTCAAAAATTCCCAATATTTTTGTGTCACTTTCAAAACCAAACAAAATACATGCAATTTTTTTCCGAAATCAATGTAGTTTTCGCTCCCTCATTGGTCAATATATGACGCTTTCAAAAAGGCGTTGTTAGTTCACAAAATTGGCAACTGCCATGTTATCCTTGTAGTTCTGTACTTATAAATCGGAACGAAGTAAAAGCTCTCAATTCCAAACAATTTTACTGCGTTTACCTGATGTAGTATGGTAGTCGTAGTTGGCGTGGTCGCGGTCGGCGGGAATCTCGAAACAGAGGCGCTTGCGGTACTCGCTCGCGAAGTACTCTATCAGCGTGTCCATCAACAACGTTTGTCTGGAGAATACCTGCTGTCGAGATGTACTGTGAACACTCTCATCTGTACTTCTATACTATTATAATAAAGCGTACACACACTTCTTTGTTGCCTAAGATGTTAGCAATAACAGCATATTTTTGAGTAATTCTTTTTTAAATAAAAAGCCCTACATTTACATCAGGCTTTAGGCTATACAATTTCACGCCATTAAACTTAGGGAGTAAATATTTTGGATAAATACCCTAATGTGGGAAAGAGACCATAAGTAGCTGCCAATATCAAGGAAGCAAGATTGCCAAGTTTTGTCATGATATGTCAATTTGACACACTTTCATGAATGAATTTCAACATTTGACGATTTGATATTAATCTTGATATGTAACCTGTAGTATTTTGGAGACCCGCAGTCCATTCTCTACGACCATGAACTGCAGGAAGAGGCAGGGCAGGCACTCGTCGGTCTCCTCCGATGGCAGCCCGATGTCCCAGTACAACTCCTCGTACGTGAGCCCGAGGAGAAGCGTCTGTAATTCACACAGAAGACAGACGTGAAGTGGAAGTATTCCACGTTTCTGATAAGTGTGTCGAAGGCCTAGTGTTAGAACTACTCTTTTGTTACAAGGAAGGTCAATACTTTTAATTCTAATATTCTAATGAAGGGACACTAGATTTCTGTACATCCTCTCCTCTGTCAATTTACTGAATTTACGAATGGATGCTTATAGTCTATTCGCTATTTTGAGAATTCCATTGGTCGCTTGCTTGCCATCTTATGCTATCTTTGTCTTCTTCTTTTTTTTCCTTTAAACAATAATTAAATAGTAGTACGTTTGTTAGTACGCATCGCATAGAAGACAGAATATGACAGTGTACTGACGCTCTCGGTGTCTTCAATGACGTAGACGCCGGTGGAGTTGATGGCGACGAGCACGGGCACGTCCTCGTACGTCAGCAGGCTGGTCAGGCTGCGCACCGGCATCTCCACCTGGCCTTGGAAGAACGCCGCGCTGGACATAAAAATGTATTAAATTGTACCACTTCTTGGAAACACTACCCTTGCCCTCATCTAATGCCCTGAAGGAGACGAACTATGTTAAAACTATTTTCAATCTAAGAATAATACGGTTGATCATTTCAGAGTACAGGCGTCACTAGGGGATGGCAGAATAAGCAGTTGCTCTTACTCCCCCTCTAGAGACATAAAAACTGCTACAAATAAGATCCTTTAAAAAGCCGATTGTTACTACTCTTCTTGGTCAAAGTCCCTGTAGGTGAAGGTATACGTGCGATTCGGCTGTTGTGTACCGACCCGTAAGTGGGCAGCATGCGCACGTGCGCGAGGTACTTGTGGCGCAGCTTGCGCGGCGGCGAGGCGGCGGGGCGCTGCGCCTGCTCCAGCAGCTTGGCCTCGGGGCTGCCCTTGCGGCCCGCCGGCAGCAGCGCCGCCCAGCGCCCCGAACGCGCGTGGCGCGGCAGGAACTTGTCCAGGTTCTCTCTGCATACCAAACGTCAGTCTAGACACCACTACTACCTTATACTTATAATGAAATCCAACAGTTTATTGTTAAATTTAAATTTTTATGCGACCCTGAAAAGCTTTATTAACCGCAACTGAGAGTTAAAATTCTAGAATCATCTATGATTAAAAATAATACTTAATATTGATTGCATAAACATATAAGTAAGGTCACCTAAAGAACTTAGCGGTGTGGCTGTGAGGATCGTACGGTCCGAGCTGGACCCTAGCCTGGATGCCGCCCAGCATCACGGCCTGCGCACTCTCCAGCGGGTAGCGCCCGTTCACCACGTTGTAGCGCGCTTCCTCGTAAAGCAGTTCCTGGATCTTGGAGTCCCTAGTAAATCGATATTTAGTTATATTTTTGCAAGTATGGATGAATTCTTAAGTGTACGTGTAATGAAGACCCTTTTAGGTTTCAGTAGTCTAAAATGGTCATAGCCTACCTTCGCTGCGTCGATTTGTATATTGTCGTCAATCCAGGACACTAAGTATCTTGTTAACATACTTGATGCCTTCCTCCAAGTGCTTAGGGAAGAAGACGTTTCTCTGCATGCGCAGGATGGGAACGTCACGTGAGCGTTTGGAGCGGGGGCCGTGCCCGTAGCGCCGCAGCAGCATCTGCCAGCTCGCCCACACGCGCCACGGACAGTGATGCGGCTTCAACTGGATCTCTAGAGAGAGATAGCAATACACATTTTTTTAACATAAATAAACCAGCGCTTGACCAGGACTCCACCTAAGCTAAGTGAAGACGCGGCCGAAGAATAGAGCGCGCTAGCTCAATAAGTGCCGATTCACCCTTTTCTTGAAGGCACAATGTCGCAAGATGAAATGCAACGCAAACAACACAGCTCGGTCCTGTATCTTATCCTTCTAACTACTTTTGCAACTTGTGAGGTGAACTCACCCAGCATTGGGCTGCACATCCACAGTGCGAACACGTTAGCAGCCAGGCTCCTGGTGCTGGGCTGCACGAGGCCCATTTCATCAGCGGACAGCACCGCGTTCAAGAATCGCGAGGCGGTTACGCTGGTCGGCACTTCGTCCGCACTCATCTCCACCATTACCGCGGTGCGAGACATCAAGTAGATGCAGGTCGACTGGCTTGATGATACCGAGGACGATGATGATGACGACCCTGAATGTAAAGCGGCAGTATATGTATTGTATTGTAATACTGTATAAATAATATAATATACTGAAAGTCTTCCAACATTCCACATCCTCTAAAAGCATTAGCTTATTTCTGGATAACTGTATGCCATTGAAGTTCTACATCGTTTCTTCTTCTTTATTTTCATTATGTAACTTAATATTACCTGGTAATGGAGGAGAAATTGCGCTCGAGGAACTACCGCCACTCGTCATCGGCTCCGTAGTGCTGAAAGACCCCGCGGCAATGCTGCTCGACCCGGTTTGATTGGAGCAGCTGCTGAGGTTTGACCCTAGAACCAAAAAATACCAATTGTAGGTACAGCTGTTGGTAATCAAAGTAACATATCATATTAACTACACTCCCATTACAGTTATGTGTTACTAGGCCTTTAAACATTATTATCGCCAGCTTGTTAAAAATAAAAGAAATCAACCAAAAAAATGATTTGCCTGTCAGATTGATGTCAATTAAAAATAAAATATTTCATACCCATAACACTCTTTTCCAGTGAATCCGAGCTGTTGCTCTCCTTAGAATCTGGCTGGAGAGGTTTGTGGGTATCGTGTTTGTCCCACTCATTGTGTCGTCCCAACGGGCTGTACGACAGATGAGGAAGTCTTTGCGAGACAGAATACAAATGCGCGTTCACCTCCGCCTGGAGCTTCTGACTTTGGACGCTGTAATATTCCTCGCGGGACCTAAATTCGCTAAAATAAACAAAACCCGAATAATTAAATAGATTTTAAATTCATAAATGCCTAAAGAAATGTAAATAAGACGAATAAGTAAACCTATAAAAATCATTTAGTAAAAACAGTATCGAAAACGCATATCCTCAATAAACTTACTTGTACTGATATTCAGCTTGAATAGGATATCCACGCCTAGAATAATCCACGGGAATTATAGTAATATAATTCCCGCTGTTTTGGACATTAGAATTTTCACCGTAAGCCCCCATCTCTGATTTGTGATCCATTCCGATTTATACGAGTCGTTTTATACCATACACTAAAAGACAATTATTTGGCTTAACCAGCAGCAAAGAAAGTGTTGAAATATCGATCGATTGTCCCCGGTAAGCCTGCGACTGTGTCGCCGCATCTTAATATTACTTGCATATGGGGTGCAAACTTTTTAAGTGGTAAACTACAAATAATACCGATAAAAATCCTCAATAAAATCTCAAGAAATGTAATAATATTACAAAATTGCATAAAACATAATAAAACAAATTTCATCAAAGATTATCGGAAACTAATACAGAAAGTTTTTTTTTTAAGAATTGTAACATTGTTTTGACAATGACATTGACAGTATGATTGGTTTGTTTGCCAACACGTCATTTTATTTTTCAATTTCTTTTCAAATTGGAATTGTTTTGTAATTAATCTCGCCGTGTTAATCAAACCGGCGTAACCAACCCACGGTTTTAATTTGATTTGAACACGTATGTTTCAAAATATGAGATAATTGGCTACAATTTATTATGAACGAAACAGTTCATGTTTTCAATGTAATTTTTTTGACGTAGTTAGATAAGAATTGTTTATCGTGATTTTCAAGAACCGACAACTCGGATGGAGGCGACGTTGAGAGAATACCGTGCCCTTAGACATCGTAAATGGCTCGAAGAAAATGAAAAAGCCAAAGCTAAGAAGGAACCGGAAAAATCATTTCTGAATTTTCTCATGTCCAATAAATCTATAATGGATGATGAAAAGAAAGAAGATGAAGTTCCTTTGGTAAGATTTGAATAAATACAGAATATATGTCCAAGTTTATCAGTCATGGTAGAGTGCAAAGATATATCTGGCAACCCTGCCAGGATCTTCAACATAAGGTCTTTTTCGTCCTGTTCCCTTACAAGAAATATGTAGTTTTATTGACTTTTTGATGCAATACCGATATTAAATAATGCTTTTTAATATTTATTTTAGTTGGAAAGTGAAAAGCCAGTTACTAGCCATGTTTTGATACAGCCAGATGAAAATAATGATACAACAGGATACACATTAGAAGCAAATAAAGTCACACAAGAGTCATGGAAATACTGTATCACAAAATGGACTATATATTTTATTATATGGCTTACTGTGTACATAATATTCCTAAAGCTTCAATTTGGTGCAGTTTACTTTGTGATATCTTTACTAATTGGTATATATTTGAATACCAGAACAGGACCTAAGAAAGAAGGTGAAGTGTCAGCATATAGCGTATTTAATGAGAACTGTGCCAGCATTGATGGCACTTTGAGTGCTGACCAAATTGTTAGAGAATTAACATTCGGACCGGGTAATTTACAATAATAAAGTCACAAAGATTTTTTACTCTTATAACTTGTGTTTTATCCCACATGTTAAGATGTGGACAATTTGTACGCTAATTTAGTAAGCTTGGTTCTTAAAAAATTCTTGTCACAAAAAAGATCATAAAATTTTTAAATACTAACTTATTAAATAAAACTAAGTTATAATACAAAAAAATAATCTTTCATTTATGCCAAATTTCTTAATTTTATAAAATAACTTGTCATTTGTCAGTTTGAAGTGACCCGAGAACATTGTTGCAAATAATGGTTGCAGTCATTTTACATGATTGTTACAAGCTGAATATTTAAGCCAATCTTGCCTCTCTCGTTTCTTTGTCGCTTGCACGCTCGGCGTAGTTGGAACATAATTTCTTGCTTCTCCGTCCGTGCAGCTGATTTTCATCAATTTAATTGTTGGGTAAAATAAATGTACATAATTCGAAAAAATGATTTTTATTGATCACATACAGATTGACAACAAACAACAAGTATAAATTTATGAATAAACGCGGATCACAATCACATACAGCAAGATAAATACTATAAAACATAAATAAATCAGCTAAAAAATAACGTCAAAACCTATGTTATTTAACAGCAAATATGATTTTATTTATTTTGGATTTTAATGAGTAAATATTTTATAGTAACTGGCAACACTTAACTTATTAAAAATACCTGATGTTGCCAGAGAATTTGCTACAAAATTCGAAACATAGATAACCTGTAACTATATTTGGGTAAATATTTTAGAGTATTAATGATAAAAAAACTATATATTTACTAATAAAATAGGAAGAAAACGGCAAAAAACAATTTTACTTTTTATTTATATCTATTATGTAACTTTGATACAAGCATTTGATATATAAAGCTTACTCAAATCATTAATAAAATTGTTAGATTATGTTTTTGTTCTTATTATCAAAAAATTGTGTAAAACGTGAACAAAAACATGTGAGTATTTTTTAAAATTCATTTGCATTGTTAAATAATCTATCCATGATTAAAGCAATTCTGGTCCCAAAACGAATTTTCGGATACCGATTTTTAAATGGTTAACTATTCAATAAAATATAGATGGCATCTCAAGCATTTTAGAACGCGCTAACGATTTGAATTTCGAATTTTGTTTTTTAATACTGAGATCACATGATAGTAACAGTTTTGAGCAAACAAAACAAAGGAATGTAGGCAACTAAAAATGATTTAAAAAAAACTAAACGTCAAGGATTTAGCAACACTGGCAGTTGTTTAGTTATGTTTAGTTTTAAATTGCGATCATCACAACGAAAAAAAATCCTAAGCGTTATTTTATAAAACTCTTAAAATCTACTCTAAAAATAAAGATTAAATATTTTTAACTACAAATTATAAAAGTGCCTAATAAATGACTTAAAAATATATTGCCTTATAACCTAAAAGCGGTGCCAATCACTTTGCCTTTTTGAAGATTTATCTTTTTACTGCTCTTAAATTATGAGTATTTTGACAGGGAAGGTTTTAATAGCCTAACCAAAACACAAAACTCCTAGACAGGGAGCATTTCAATTGGCTTCTTAATTTTCTTATATACTCTAATAGCCTTACAAATAAACACGAAAAAAGTTAAACTCAGGAAAAAAACTGAGTACAAGCAAATATTAGTACAAAGTTTAACTTATTTGTAAGGCTGTAAGAAATGAATTCCGTTTCCGCAATATGGCGAGGGTTTAGCTACATGGATATCTTCAATAAGGCAAAGGTAATTATTCTTGCTGCCAAATGTCATGTACTATAAACACTGTTATATGGCACGAAACTATTGAACTTTGAGTGGATTGTATAAGGCACAGAGTAATGTAATGGACACTTAGGGCTTGTATATACTAGCGACAGGTAAACTGTTAATAATTTGCCATTTGTCTACAATAGCCCTAAATCAAAGTTTTGATTTTTTGTGATTCTTTTTACATTATTATAACAAAAAGGGAATGTTAACTAATAGAAATATTGGTGTCATAGATTTTAAAGTAGGAAAAAATATAACTACCGTCTATGGTTTATTATTTTCTAGTCTTGCAACACTCGTAAGAAATATATTTATGTGTATTGTCCTTTTGTACATATGTTAAAATAGCTGTACATTTTTTGTGTTTAGAATTTCCTTTATATATTTATATTTTATATTCTAGGTACTTTTTTGTTATATGAAACAAAACAATGTAACCGAAATGTCTGTTGTTCGGTTCGGACTTTCGTATTAGTATTTAAATTAGATAAATAGTTAAGAAAAACAAAAATATTAAACTATTGTGAACACACAATTTGTCTTATTGTTAATAAACATTTTAATTGGACAACAAAAACGGAGGCTCAACATGACAAATACTAACCACAGATTATATACAGTACAGATAAAACATTTCACAACAATTATTTATGTACATTGATGTATTTGAACCGTTTGTAGTTGTGGAAATACTCAATGCTGGAAGAAATAATTTCTCCTCGCACTTTTTTTCTATAAACAATATATTTACAATGAGTAACAAAGATTTAATATATTGGTTAGTTTAGTCAAATAAAAATAATGCAAACTGTTTGTCTACCGTACAAGAACGTGACGTCATCACGTATCATAACCTCAAAAGTTTACAAAATCGAACTACTAATATAACGTGTATATGTAATAGTAAAGCAAAATATTCTGTACTTGTTCGTCTAAATGACTAGTTTCATAATTGTTACTTATCAACTAAATTAATGGAAAAATTGCACCGTTTAAAGTAACGATTATACGAAATACAATTCTGTTATTTTCAAAGAGAGTTCAATTTACCACACCGATAAGGTCATTCTAACATTAACGAATCACAGTTAATACATGTTTAATCTTTGGAAAATTCAATAAAATGGCAACACTATATAATTAAAAAGTTCGATGTAGAATTGACAGGTTGACAGTGATCATTCTGTTGTCCGTAGTAAACGTCAATTAAATAATTAAGTTATAATTCAGCAACACTACTATGTTATTTGCCAATTTAAATTTAAAATTGTTACTTTACTCAATCAGCTGCAATAGGATTTTGCGATCTTTGAAAAACATTCCAAAATGGCGACTTAAAATAATCCGAACCCGGCAGGAACGGATTGACGCCGTTCCGTTTCACATCCGGTAACAGAAAAACAACACTGACAGCGATTATCATATGCCAAAAGGAATGTACAATTTTATAATTTTGTTCAGTTTGTAAAAACGCATAACATATTAGACCTACGGACACAAAAAACACACCGAAAGGTAAATAAGTAGTGTAATACGAACGAGGATATCTTAGACTGCGCGTTCTTCTGTAATCCAAGTACCAGGATATCAGAAGTATGGTGATACCGATCGCAACTGGGAGTAAGAAAGAGACAAACGAATGCATATTCCATGTAGTCAATAGTGCTATCACTATCGCACCTGTCAATTGTAGAGAAGACCTAAGCCTTTCGTTCACAATGCTCATAGCTAGTAAAGTCACCCAGAAAGACATAAGACCGCAATAGAAATCGCCAAATTGTAGTATACTACCTCTAATGATGCAGTATGCGACTTGAGCTGGAGCGTCACAAGCGTGGTAGAACGTCGAGAAGACCATAGTAAAGGTGTACATCATTGCTTCAGAATAATAATAGCGGATGATGGCAACATACATGGAGAAGAAGAAGAGAAGATTGCTCAACGTGAGTAGCAGAACAGAGATTAACATGTAGACACGACTGTCCATTCTAGAATCGTCAGAACAGTCCCAACCTGGAAAAGACAAAATCATTTAAAATATAAGACGCAGGTAAACGACGATTTTTCAAAGATTAAAATTTAAAAACTTACTTCCATATCCAGCTGAACAGGAACAGAAGGACATCACCAAACCGCCGAAAGTATTCAAGCCGCAGTTACCATGGTTACTGCATCTCCCGCTCAGACATGAGGTAGAAGACAAGGACAGAACAACAGTGGTATTGCAAACGCTCTCTCCCTGTCTTGTATTGTTCACTAAACTCGCGATATCTTCGTCCCTGTCTGTCGCGTTAGGATCAACGTAGTATTTAGTCCCGTTGTCTGATGTGCGACAAGGACAGACGACTTCATCGCAGAACAATCTGAAGGTTATATACCAAGTACCACTGTCCGGGTAAGGTATGATCACTTTGTCGTATATTGATTCCGAATCGGTGCTGTTCAGTATGAACAGGGCTGGTTTAACATGGTCATTAAATCTGCAATGACCAGTCTCCAATGGCACACTAGCGTGACCGATATCCATACATATAACGACCTTAAAAAACTGGTTCTTCTCGGTAAATTCAAGTAAACCACTTTTAGTCAACTCCCTTTTATATCCCATATAATATTTATAATTCATAAACAGGCTTGCTTCTATCGCGAAGTTGCCACCGATGTCCAAAAACTGATTTACTTTAAACCTCAAACTTTTTACATCGCCCGATGTTAGATTGACTAGACTGGTGGGGTCATGAAGGTCGGTAGTGGGTAGACCGTAGTCGAAAGTGAAAAATCTACCTTTATCATCGCGCATAAGGTCTAATGTCGTTTGATTGGTGTTCTCATCTAGATCTGAACGGAGATAATATGATTCGCAGTCTGCGTATTTGGTTGCATTGCCCGAGATAATTTCTAGCTGCACGTAATGCCACGAATTAGGAAACGGGTTAAAAGTAATTGTCTGTTCATTGTTAAATCTTGGATCAAACGCGCAGGATATTAGATAATTGTCCTCAGTCGGTAATGATAAAGATTGTACTCTGAAGAGAATTTCGGAGTTTCTCGTTGAAGTATTTTTTATAGTTAAATTTAATGTTATTGGTTCTGAATTATCTAGGGACATACATTTGTACGACGCTGGTATTCGATTATAGTCTATAATAATACCGGAATAGCAGTCGATAAGGCTTATATTCGTTTCTCTTCTTATTTGTAAATCTGTATACAGAATTGTGTGACAATCTGCGACTAAGCCTGGAAAAGAAAAATCATAAAGATTACAATAATATAAAAGTAGGACTACTAAGCTTACGAGTGTATTTCGAACATTATTTTTGTCTATACTAACATTATGTAGAAGAAAGATGGTTTGTTTGTTTATTTGTAAAACCTCTGAATTGATTTCATAAATTCTTTCGCTATTAGAAAGTTACATTATTACATATTTATTATAATTAATTATCATAATTATAATTAAGTTTAGAAAACATTAATAAACTAAGTTTCTCATAACATTTGCCTCTCGAGCGAAGCCGGAGCGGTTCGCTAGTCTATACTAATATTATAAAGAGGAAAGATTTGTATTTTTGTATGTATTGAAATAACTCAACAGCTACTAGGCCGATTTTAAAAATTATTTAACCGTTAGAAAGTTATCTGTAACATAAGCTACTTTTTTATTATTTTTTTAATTTCACGCGGACTAAGTTGCAAGCAGTTGTTAGTTGTAAACATATCCTTACATAGTAATGATTTTTTAAATGTTTGATAAGGGAATTAATCATTCTGTGTACTAGTTCTTGCGGATAGATTAGGCGAGGGGAATTTCATAACATAATATCCTATCCGGTGTCGACATTATATGACGTCATACTAAAGGGACATAATTTAAGTAATAGTATATTTAGGACCTCCACCACTGGCTGATAGAGCTTAAATAACTTAAAAGTGACGTCACTGTCAGATAGAGTACCAATATTCGATACTTCCATCACATTTATACGTTAGATTGTTATCTGTCAATTTACAAGAATTGTGGGACAGGCCCTAAAGGTCGTAACCTAATGCACCTTACTAATATTATTCATATAATAGCGAAAATTTAGATCCATTGTTTGTTTAAGGTTGTAGCCTAAACTGCTGAACGTATCTTGATAAAATTTGGCGTAGGGGATAGTCTGGAAGAACACATAGGCTACTCACTTTTGTTTTTTTAATTCCACGCGGAAGTCGCGGAAGAAAGCTAGTATAAATCATAAATAGCATTTGGAATATACGTCAAAGTTGAGAATTAATGCGATGCGGAACTCCCATTTATAGAAATGTGCCAAATGTTTTTGGAAGTCATGTATCTTAATATGAGTTAGAAGTTAATATTGGTGTGCCAATAGCCCAATCGTTAGTGGTACGGATTTCCGATCACGTGTTCGAGGGTTCGAATCCCGTTGAAAGCACAAGCTTAGAGTTTGGTTGGAATATTACACGATTTACTATAACACAAATTATCAGTAATCTAAGAATATTAAAAAAAAATATTATAGGCATACAAGTATATATTTGTGACAAGTAAAAAGTTTGAATACTGGCTGTCGACAAGGTTTGATACGAAAAAAAAGAACAGTATAAAAAGAAAAAAAGAACAATATAAAAATTAGGTCACGGACACATAAACCAAAAGTCCACTATGAAACCAAAATATATTTGTCTAATCATCTGTCGAATGAGAAGGACGACGACGGTATTTCTTAAAACATAGAGGTGATTCACAGATGGTCTACATAGGTGTACTTTATGCTAAACGAGACAATTGTCACAGAACTGGGACAGGAAGTACCGTCAATGAAGCCAATACGCTCGAGGACGTGCGGTGATACGTTTATGAGTTTTATTTTATCTACCCACGTTCACTGCGGTTTGAACGTAATCTGTTATGTGATATCTTTTTTCAATATATAAATGTCAACAATTAAACTGAGAGTTCGTGTTTGATTGAATTGAACGATAATTGTTTATCTTTGAAATCATTATAATTATTAAATAGCATTACTAGCTGTTGCCCACGACTTCGTCCATGCAATATTAAGATAAAAAGTAGCCTATAATATGCCCGTGCATGTCAGCTTCAGTGAAAGTCTGATCGAAATTGGTCCAGCTGTTTCGGAGATTACCCGGAACAAACGCGGACAGACAGACAGACAAACATCTTTTAAACACGATTTTCGGTATGAGCAACAAAAATACATCATTTTCCCGAAACCTGAATATTTCTTTAAACCACAAACAAATACTCCAATTTTATTATATGTGTAGATTAAGTTTACTAACATGTCTTGTACAATTATAAGTAAGTCAAGGACTTGCAAGGATATGGTTTAAGACAATATTCGAGGTGGGATTCGAACCCTCGACCACGTGATTGGCAATCTATACCATTGACCATTATAATTGGCGATTTAAATCCATACTACATATACACAATGCTTTTACATCTTACTAATATTATAAATGTGAAAGTTTAGATGGATGGATGGATGGATATTTGTTATAGTTTGTAAAGGCTGAACGGATTTCGATGAAATTTGGCATAGATGTAGAGGATAGTCTGGAAGAACACATAGGCTATTTACTTTTATTTTTCTCAATGCCACGCGGACGGAGTCGCGGGCGAAAGCTAGTATACAATAAAAAAAAATTACCTTGCTGCTCAACTTTCTGTGTCCTAGGATCTTCCCATTTGATGTACACCAGTGCATACCAGTTACCCGGTCTAGGGTTACGTATTGAATATGTCCTATTCTTACCATCAGACAGTAATTCTAGAGTATGTATGTGCTCTCTTCTCGCTGGGTCGACAAAATGCTTGGGAAATGTGTACCCATCAGGATTGACCGCAGGGTACGATCCATGTTTTATATTCACGATCACATCTTGAGGACTGCAGGAACCTATTGAAGAATTTTTAATGTAATACTATTGTGTAGTGTTCAATTATGGGTAGGCTACGCATCTGCAATTGCGGATGTCTATGGGCAGCAGTCGCTTTCCATTTTGGTGAATTCAGGTTTTTAAACTTGTTTGTTTGCCACCTTATATTATATAAAAAAAAGTTGATTTATCTATAGTTTACAAATAACATTACAACTAAAATCATACTTTAAATAAAAAAAAATATTTTCATATTTATAACGAAGCTATGATTCAAATTTGTTATCTTAGTAAGCTTAGTTATAATTTATGACATTGATAAAACATGAAGAATTGTCTACAACAATTTTATCAAATATTACATCCCAAATAGTGCTGCAAGCTTCATTTTATTCCTCTTTTCCTAAAATTTTTGTACAAGTGAAGGTTGGTAAAAGTAAATCTAGCAGGAAAAGGAAGCATAGGTAGAGGAAATAAGTTATCTGCATGTTTTGTCTGTTAATCAAGTTACATCACATTTGGAAATGCTAATGTTTATGGGCAAAGGTCATTTTGTTATTTTGGTTGTTACCTTGTACTATAAAAAAATGTTTTGTCTCTCTGTTCCAATAAAATAATGTAACTATTGAAAACACTTTGTTTTGTTTCCTGTGTGAATCTACTTATCAAAATGTACTCAGACACAATTGGGTTTGAGCACACCCTATTATATGGTTGAGTAGGCTTTAGTCAACTTGGCTGCCCAGTACAGTAGAGTGTTTGAAACTGTAAAATTATTTTCTTGAAAATAGATGGTCTTTAGTAAATTTAAAGGTAACATTACATTCCATAATGTCTACTCCCTGTAGAGATAGAAAAACCTACCAATATTGTTTAAGTGAAGTTCTTCTGACTGCAAAGTAAACCGGGCATCGGTAACGTCGTTCACGATGTGATAAAGTAGTACGGCAACAGTACGATAACTTCTAAACATATAAACGTCTGTTGCAATCTGTCGCGTTACTAAGTTATAATTCTCTAGGATTACCGTCCTTGTTTTCGTCAATTGCTCTATTATGCTTTTCCTTTTGCTATCGTCTTCCGATTCTTTGTCACCATTACTTCTCACACAACACACATACAACAATAAAAAATAGTAAACTTTCATTTTATTTACAATTATCCTACCTGGGAAACTACACGCATGAGGTTTATAAATTACAACTTTTGTATATTTAACCGCTTAAGAATATTGTAGGGATTCAATTATTATAACTTATTTAATAAAAACACAAATGTTCAACGGACGGCACCCAACTTTTAACATGATCGATCGAATCAAGACAAGATCAACTCGAAAGTCCAACAGTCCTAAAAATGTCAATGTCAAAAGTTAAATTGACATTGATAGTCGACCTTTTCGTTCCGTAATCCCATAAACATTTCTTCTTTAAAAATAGCAAAAAAATCTTAAAACCTCTGCTAATTTCGATACAATTTTAGGTAAAGCTTACTTTAATATATCAAAGCATTTATATTAATTACTAGAAAGCTTATTCACATATCCATTTAGTAACTGTAATGGTTAAATTTGCTCTTTGGCGTGCAAATTGTCTATTACGTCCTTTTCTCAATTCTTCTAGTCTTTGAAATAGCATTTCGTTCGGTTTCTGCGCGCGCATGTCTCGCTAGTTTGTATAAATTTTCGAATTTAGCACTCCGGGAAATAATGGCTTCGACTACAAATTCGAAGCAACCCCAAGTTAACGGGGAGCTTCCCTGCTTTAAAAAATATAAGATGGAAAATAAGAATAAAGTGACTGTAGTGCTGGGTGCTCAGTGGGGTGATGAAGGCAAAGGAAAAGTAGTGGATTTATTGGCTGTAAATTCTGACATCGTGTGTCGCTGCCAGGTAAATAATTATTAATTTTATTAATTAATCCCACAGTATAACTTAAAAGAGATTTTAGTTTTGCAATACCACTATTCAAGTTGTATTTTCTAATACAAGAAAAAATAAACATTGTTGACCAAAAGTTGAGGTTATAATATTGTAATGTCCCTGTTTGTGTTTATATTGTAATATTTTTCTTTTTGTCTCTTCAAAAAAATTAAGTATTTTCTTCTCCTGGCTCAGTTCAATATTGATAGTAGAAAGCACGCTTGGCATCTTGCCATTTTGTTTGGAAACATGCGAAACTGTTTTTGTATTATTTTTCTATAATTGCGAGGAATTTTAGCGGGAAATTGCGTAAGCATAGTACGTTTTAGATCACTTACGTAACATTATTCATGCATATTGTCGAGAGCGATGCAAGATGCCTTTTTTTCAAGTCATGTGACGGACATCGATTGGTCGGAAATAACGCTATATACTTGTGGATAACTGCCAAGGTCTTGGGCATTTATTGTCATGGTTACTGGCGGCGTCTCGTATATACAAATTGGCTTTTTTCGTTGGCTGGAGCTACATCTAATTATAAAATCTACTTTCTAACTGTTGGCATTGGTACATTTTGTTGTAATTTTAAAAGGTTATTGTATTAAAAATTCTAGTAATGATATTTAATTATAGTATACTGCTTTATTAAAATTGACTAGCTTTCGCCCACGACTCAGTTCGCGCGAGATAAAAAAAACTGAGTAGCCTATGTGCTAGTCCAGATTATCCTCTATGTTTATGCCAAATTTCATCGAAATCCATTCAGCCATTTAGGCTACAAACTCTAACATAAATCCATCTAACCATACATCCATCTATCCATCTAAACTTTCACATTTATAATATCAGTAAGATTTACACCTAGCTTGGTATTTATTAAGTTAATTAGACTGTTTAGAATATTGTAGTTATAAAATAAGGATCATCAGACATATATATATTTGTAACATAAAAATATTTAAAACTTCACTTCTTACTATTTTAAATGTGAAACTGTATTTAATCTGAAATTCAACACATATATAGATAGTACAGTAATCATAATAATATTATAAATGGGAAAGTTTAGATGGATGGATGTTTGTTAGAGTTTGAAGCCTTAACGGTTGAACGGATTCCAATTAAATTCTGTACAGATGTAGAGGATAGTCTGGAAGAACCCACAGGCTACTTACTTTTTTTTAATTTCACGAGCAAAAGCCGGTAGTCTTTAATTTTTTAGGTTTGTTTTTTTTTTTAATTCTGCACAGACAAAGTCAAGGGTAAAAGTATGATTATATATTTTAATTGCATAGATACAAATGATTGTATGTAAATGATTGTGTAATATCTGGATATAACAGCTTTATATTTATGATAATGTTTATAGTGTTAGTCATCACTTGAACTTGCAGAATACTGGCCGCAACTGGTTACATTGTGTTATTCAACCTTTCGATCAGAGTCCACTAGCTGTTCTCGTGCAACTTCATCCGCATGAAATTATGAAAATTTTGTTTTATTGTATGTCAAAATGACATGACATGATGACAAACCATGGCAGTCTTACTTCCTTGATGTTGACAGCTTTAACTTATTGTCCCTTTCCCATGTTAGGGTTTTATCCAATTTATTTACCCCCTAAGTTTAATAGATAGGAAATATGTAGCCTAAAGTGTGACGTAATTGTAGGGCTTTTAATTAAAGAAAGAATTATTTAAAAATATATGGTGATTGCTGACATCTTACGCCGCAAAGGAGTGTGTGTTTGCACTTTATTATATTAGTACAGATGAAGTTTGTGAAAGAAAAATTTTATACAACTCTGGTAATAAACTTTAATGTTTTTTGGGTGCTACTTTTTACTATAGTGCTGAATCCATAAAATCAATTGGCCCTATAAGAAAAAAATTTTCTTTGGTCTAAATTATTTATCAAATAAATAGGACATATTGCAATCTATGTTAAATGTGAACCTAAATTTCTTTAAATTACTTTTATAAACGTACTAGCTTTCTTCCGAGACTCTGTCCGCGTGCAATTAAAAGAAGTAGGTAGCCTATGTGTTTTTTCAGATTACCCTCTACATTTATACCACATTTCCCCCGAAATCCATTCAGCTGTTTAGGCTACAACAAACATCCATACAAATTCTAACAAACATCCATCTAAAACTTTCACATTTATAATATTAGCATCATTGGTATGTTTTTTATAAAGAGTAAGAAGTTAAATCAAATCAAGAGTAATGAAAAGTGTACACAGTTTAAAAAAAATGGGATTCAACATGCTTAAAACCTGTTGTAATTGACATTTTTATGTAAAAAATTGTATTGTGCGGAAACTAAGTGTCTAACAGTCTTGAATTTTTTTCACAATGATTCTATTATGTTATGTCACATAGAAAATTCCACACATTTGATAGATGTTAAGGATAAGTTGAAAATTTCGCAAGCTACATGCAATATTGTTACACATTTATCTTGACTGTCTCATATGATTGTTAACTCGAGATATGTAGAGCCTTGAGAGTTGATAAGAGTATCAACAAAATGTTTCAAACCGCGGAAGTATTGTGTTGAAGTTTGCTTTGTAATGTTAAGAGGTCGAACACATCATGTGATTGTATGTTGTTTATTTGTATTTATTTATGTATCTATTACATTCTGCTTGTGACTGTCTATGTGGAATTAAAAAAAAAAACAAAACTATCTTTACAATTATACCAAATTTCTTTAAGATTCGTTCACCAGTTTAGGCTATAAACATTAAAAAACCTCATCCCTCTATCTAAACTTTCACATTTATAACATTAAAGGCCTGTCCCACCAAATTGTAAATTGTCTGATAACAATCTAACATGTATGGGATGTAAATATTGGATTTTGTTTCCTTATCTGATAGTGACGTCATTTTTAAGCTACCTGAGCCTCCATCAGGCAGTGGTGGAACAGGCCCTAAGTAATATACATCAATAGACTTCGGTCGCAGTTTTTAATATCTGTAACATAGGTATTGTCTGTGGTTATCAAAGTTCCGGTTATAAGACTAATTCAATTTTTTCTCTCATCGCTATAAATACATAACTAACACACAGTTGCACACTTTGTATTGGAATTCCCCGAAAACGGTTACAATGGTCAGTTAAATTAGCTAACGAATAACATGGACGATACACATTGTACGGGGAATCCCCGCAATTTGAACAATAACCGATTCTACAAAGCCTAATGTTGATACAGTCCAAGTTACTAGGAAATGAAAGCTAGAACTCAATGTAAATGTTTGTTTTTAATTTTTATTTCAGTATATAATGTGTAATACATCGTAATTGGCTCTCATTATAATATCTACAGTACAAAAACCTCTTTACTAACCTTCGATGATTTCTCCGTTGACAGACAATTAAGGCAAGGTTGCTTTCCAAACAGTTTCTAATATAATACCTTTCTTGCAACATTGTCCAAGAAAGCGAATTATTAGTCTCAAATTGATATTACCAAATAGAGAACTGTTTAGCCTTGTATGCAGAGGTTGTATATTATTAAAATAAACTAGCTTTCGCCCGCGACTCCGTTCGCGTGGAATTAAAAGAAACAAAAGTGTGCCTATGTGTTCTTCCAGACTATCTTTTACAGCCATACCAAATATCATCGAAATCCGTTCACCCGTTTAGGCTACAAACTAACAATCCTTCCATCCGTCCATCGAAACTTTCTCATTTATATTAGTATAATAGGATTGTTTGCTAGTGTACATAATAATTGCCTAATTGTTGAATATGTTTTCAAACGGTAGCCTGTGTTCCTAATTGCTCCTAATTACACCCGCGAGAAAATAAAATATTCTAAAAATATAGTCTATGTTAATCACAGATAAAATACCTTTCTAATGGTGTAAGAATTTTTAAAATCAGATTAGTGGTTTTTACGTGAATCGAATACATATAAAAATACCAATATTTCCTTTTTTATTAGTACGAGCTGTTGCCCGCAACTTCGTTCGCGTGTTATTAGAAATACGAACTATGTATATATAACAAAAAGCTACATATCCCTCGGGATCCGGACATGATGATTCATTCATGATTCTCAGGGATGAACCCTTTTCCATGTGTACTTCAGACTTTGTTTTATATCTGTGCCAAATTTCACCAAGGTATGTTGAACCGTTGCGGAATGACGGAGTAAACATTAAAAAACTAAATTTATTAATCCCATGGGAACTCTAACTATTCCCGGGATAAAAAGTAGCCTATATGTTCTTCCAGACTATGCCCTAAACCTGTGCCAAATTTCATGGAGATCTGTTCAGCCGTTTAGACTACAAACGCTAACAAACATCCATCTATCCATATAAACTTTCGCATTTATAATATTAGTAAGATTAGTAAGATAGACAAGTAAAATTTGCCAAGCCACACGTCCAAACAAAATAACGATAATTTGTTGAGCAAAATAACATTGTTATTAGTGTTATCAACGTTAGAACACGTGTAAGTTGATTTACGATTGCAACACTGTGACAGATTGTTTTGTGATAGCCGTAGTAAGTAAACAACCTTGATGTGGTTTTAATAGTATTTAAAAAAATAAGTACAGAGTTAAGAATGTTATGTACAGAACCTAGCACGTTTTATAGGAAAGTATTCGTAATGTCATCGACATTTGTCGGTGTTAAATTTTACTTCTTACGGTAGAATCTCGATAACTCAAACCTCCGTAACTTAAAAACCTCTATAACTTCAAAAAATAATATATGCCCTTCCTATCAGACCCCAAAACCTCTACAACATAGACCCTTGATAACTTAAAACCTCGTATAACTTAATTTTTTTTGTGTTTCCCTTGGATTTTAACTTTTTGAGGTTTTACTTTATTATAATTGAAGTTTAGATTGGTTAGATGAATGAATAGATGTTTGTTATAGTTTGTATCGTAAAGGTCCAAACGGATCTCTATGAAATTTAACATAGCTGTAGTGTAGCTACTTATTTTTATTGTTTTAATTCCACGCGGACGGAGTCCCGGGCGAAAACTAGTGTAATACATCGTTTGTAGATGACTAACGAATACATCGCAAATTTACGTGCCAGATCCCGAGATCGAAAGTAAAATGCACGGTAGTCTTCTTTGTTTCTTTTTTTAAAAACTTAATCTTTTGTTCCCAGGGTGGTAACAATGCCGGTCACACGGTGGTTGTGGATGGCCAGGAGTTTGACTTTCACCTCTTGCCTAGTGGCATCATCAACACAAAATGTACATCCGTGATAGGTGAGTTCATATATTACTCATAACATTTTTCTAATGTAAATAATATTTCGGCATTGGTACGAATTTTTAGGACTGATTGTGATGAAATTTTTCATTGTCAAATAATTTCAGGGTTGTTTAGTTTAGTTTCCCAACTGTAAAACTATGTTTTCGTAGAGTTCAAGTAGGTTAATGTTTATTTTTTAACGATCAAAGTCATTCTGTAAACTTAACTCTTGTTGCTATTAACCTAATTATGGTTAGTAAAATAACCTTATTTGCTTTTTACTGGTATCAAATACGTCTATAATGAGGGGATCAACCCTTCCTTACATTAGAGGTGACGCGACTTACTCAAACACATGGCCAATGCGGGTTGACTTCACACATATCTTTAAATTTATTCACAGAGGAGCATTTTGCATCACGATATTTTCCTTTAACGTAAGAACGTCAGGTAAATGTACATATGGAATTCGAAAAACACATTGGTTCCTGGGATTCGAACCCAGGACCTGCAGATTACAAGTCAAGTGGTTAAACCCTGAGCCACCGACGCTCTGAAGATTTGTTTATAATTCACAATAACTTCGTCGTAGTCATAAACAGTTGAACGTTTCAGACAGTTAACTGGCTCAGTTTTATTTACCTATTGTCATCTTAGAGTAGGCGCATGCCTTGACTAAACCATCGTACAACTGCTGTGCGATTGTCAATTGTTTCGCAGCCAATTCATCAGTTTAGCACAATTAACAATCGAGTAGTGTGCCCCCACAATATAAGCTAGCAATCAAAGCGAGATTACACAGAGATAGTTTAGTGTCAGGTGTGGCCACACTCTTACACATTCTTCGCTTGTCGAAACAAGTGTTAGTGTAAACTGGTTTGAATCAGCACTATGTTTGCCACTGTTGGCAGCGAAACCAATTGCCGTGTAATTGCTTTCGGACGTTGACAGTTTTGTATTACACTTCGACACAATAGAAACGATACTAAAAATATACGAGAATATTACTAAACAAAGAAGAATTGAATACTTTTTAAAGTCGGTTAAAATGGTTTAATAGCTTACTATAACTGGGATTATAAAGCGTTTGTTGCGTTAACTAAAGTACTTTTTAATGACTTTGATTTAATATTTGTTAGCCGTTTTGTTATACTTCTTCAATTTTCCCGAAACTTCTGAGATAAGGGCTTTTGTAGAATCTAGTAACTCTACTGTAGTAATTATAGTTTTACTAAACTTTTTAGTAACTCCATGCCCGTCTATTTTTAAGCCTATCTTGGTTTCTTATCGTACATCTTAATGGATGGATTGATGTAGAACATAGTCTGCAATACTATTTAACTACGTAGTCTTTGACTCCAAAAATAAAAAAAAAATGGGACCCTCCTGCACGCATTACCTTTCGGATAAAAAACAAATCAAAATCGGTCCACTAGCGGCGGAGTTATGCCGTAACACACAAAAAAAAACATACAGACGAATTGAGTACCTCCTTCTTTTGGGAAGTGGGTCAAAAAACACACGGGCTAGGCTTATTTTAGTTCCGCGCGAACGAAGTCGTGAGCTAGTCTTGTCATATTTCAAATCTCTTCCGAAGATAAAGTTAAAATGAACTATAAAATATAGCCTTATACTGATAAACGATTGCGATGCGATATTATGCGATGCAGAATTTACTGTTTTGATCAAACGCCAAAAACCCAAGTAAGACTGCAGTGCCGACCTTCAAATAGGATTTCTTTAAACCTTGCACTTTTATGTCCTTGACTATATTTGCTAGAGAAATAATTAGACTAGCTTTGAAATTTTCATTTTCTTTGGTTCAAACTTTACGTAAAATATGCGATGGAAATATCGGATTACATGTATAAATGTCGTTTAAATATTCCATGATTAGGTCCACTCGTTTATTGTTCAAGAAGATCTTTAGTATATATTCATGAGGAATCCCATACTTAATTAACCATTAGGATACTCTGTGTGCGATAGTTGTAGATCTAATATTGATAATTAAAAGAAAACAGTTTATTTTTCGATTTTCTTTGTTTAATAATACTCTGTATTTCATAGTTTACATTTTTTTTATAATATAAGGTGGCAAACGAGCAAACGGCTTCCTGAATCCACCGAAATGGAAAGCGACCGCTGCCCATAAACATCCGCAATTGCAGATGCGTTGCCTACCCTTAATTGACGGAAGGGGAGACGCACATAAAGAGGAAATTTCCCCTTCCTATGCGTCTCTTCCGCCACCAAATACACTTTTCCTTCCCACCCTTACCTCTAAGAGGGTGGGAAGGGAAAGGGACTAAACTCAGGCCTCCGGCACCACACCCATCAGACGAAACGCGGAATTGCTTCCACTTCACGCCTGTTTTCTGTGTGGTCGTGGTATTACATCGGGCGAGCTGGCCCTGCAGTGCGAAGATGTTAAAGTGGGCTCTACCACTGTTGGAACTCTACTATATTTTTATTTCGGGAAAATGATAGTGAATTTACTTTGACCGATAACGCCCTCTATCCTTGATTTGGCGCCAAAAGATTGCATCATTCGTTACGTAAGCTGTAACAACATAACAATGTAGTCTCAATGAAATTTACAACCGATAGATCGGATAAAAATAAACAAGACCTAGGCAATGAGCAGGGCGTGGTGCTCGTGAGTAGATGTAAATCGCGCCAGACAAACATCTTGCTGCGAAACATTGTTGAAATGTTTTTCAAATGGCTTGTTGTAATTATATTTAACTAGCTTTCAACCCCGACTCCGTCCGTGTGGAATTAAAAAAAAATAATAAAATCATAGCCTATGGTACTTAGCGATGGCATAGCTTTTAAATGGTGAAAGAATTTTTGAAATCGGTCCAGTAGTTTTTGCTTGAATCAAATACATAAAAGCTTAAAATCCAAAAATACAAATCTTTCCTCTTTATAATATTAGTAAAGATGAAATTCGAAAATCACAATGGTACAGCGGTATTCGAAGACAGGACCCGTAGATTAAAGTCAAGTGCTTAAACCCCTGAGCCACTGACGCTCTCAACATAGAAAGATCATCATCATCATCATCATCATCATCATCATCATCATCATCATCCTCCTCCTCCTCCTCCTCCTCCTCCTCCTCCTGCTCCTCCTCCTTATCCTACTTCCGTAGGGTCGGCGCACCAAATTTTGTCATGTCACCGTTCACGCAATCCATCCATCTCTTTCTAAGTCTACCTCTACCGGTGTACTCTTCTACACTCATAACTAACGTTCTCTTTGTAACATGTGATTCATCCCTCATAACATGACATAACCATGCTATCCTTTTACTCCTTACCTTCTCTACTACTGGGGCTACTCTCAGACTTCCTCTAATATACTCAATTCGTATCTTATCCATCTATACTATTATAATAAAGCGTAAAATCACCCTTCTTTGTTGCGTAAGATGTCAGCAATTACAGCATATTTTTAATTTACTTTTTTTTTTATTAAAAAGCCCTACACTTATATCATGCTTTAGGCTATATATTTTCACGACATTAAACTTAGGGGGTAAATATTTTGGATAAAAACCCTAATGTGGGAAAGAGACCATAAGTTGCTGCCAACATCAAGACAGGAGGATTGCTAAGGTTTGTCATTTTGACATTTGCTATTGATAATTTGACAAATGTAAACAATATAATAAAATTTTCATAATTTCATGCGGATGAAGATGCACGGGAACAGCTAGTTCGTGATAAAATAATTCTTACTTTAATGAGCTATTACTGACATTACACGTTGCGTGCCTCAAGCCGTATTAAGACAGAGCCTATTTATATTGTGCTCTAAATTTAAATGTCGTTTCATTACTTATAAATCATTATATCGCATGCAGCTTAATGTTTTGCAGTAAAAATTATGACAGGAAAATTTAACCGAGATCGACTCCGTACCCTGTACAAGAAGGTACGCTTGTTAATGCAAATGTCGAATTAAAAAAATCGTACTAAATGGCTTGTCGTTTATGTGATTGACTGTAATATAAGAGCGTCCATACACCTGAAACCAAAGTATCGCACAACTGGTCTCTTTTTGATTCCTATGAGGTTATAAAGGTGCGCGCAATACTCGATTTTTAGTTGTGGTAAACAGTTGAATTGGCTGCGAAACAATCGACAATCGCACAACAGTTGTACAATAGTTTAGTCAAGTGTGTTCCCGCTCTAAGCAACAAAACAATATATTTTACCTACCCCTAAGAACAGTGTCTCATATTTTATTAGGTAATAGTTAGGACCTCGAGTTTCGATCTATCGTTATGGTTATAGGACAGTTATTGTAACTGAAACCCCATTTTCAACAATACACATTATTTTCCACCCTTTTCTTAAGAGGAAAAGATGGGAAGGAAAAGTGGATTTGACAGCGGAGGAGACGCACAGGATGGGGAAATATCCTGTTTATTTGCGTCTCCTCTTCTATCAAATAAGGATAGACAACGCAGCTGCAATTGCGGATTTCTATGGGCAGCGGTCGCTTCGCCGTTTCCGCGGAATCAGGTCGCCGCTTGCTCGTTTGCCTCTTTCTGAATAAAAAAAAAACATAACATAGATTTTATACAACTAAATTAGCTCCGCATATACATTGCAGAGGGTAGATAAGCGGTAATATTATTCATTAACTTTGCGCGATTACCATGATAATGTAACGTGTGTCACATTTCGATTCAATTCATATTTACGAGTACTTATTGTATCTGGATGTAGCCAGCTACTAGTCTAGCCTGTAAATGGTCCATCTAGTCTAGTATAGCTAGATTATGTGTAACTTTTTATGGCGAAGAGACGATTAGTATTTGACAAAACAAAAACCGGATTATCATTGCCGTAAAAGGGTGACTTCACACGTGTTCTTCATTTTTAGCGTTAAATAGACATAACAGTGGTAGAGCCCGCTTAAACATCTTCGCGCGCATGGGTCGGCTCGCCCGGTGTAATAACCACGACCACGCAGAAAACAGGCGTGAAGTGGAAGCAATTCCGCGTTTCGTCTGATGAGTGTGGTGCTTGAGGCCTAATTTTACTCCCTTTCCCTTTCGACCCTTTTCTTAAGTGGAAACTATGGGAAGGAAAAGTGGATTTGATGGTGGATAAGACGCATAGGAAGGGGAAATGTTCTCTTTATGTGCGTCTCCTCATCCGTAACTAAGGATAGGCAACGCATCTGCAATTGCAGATGTTTTTGGGCAGCGGTTGCTTTCCATTTCGGTGGATCCATTCTTTCCATCAGGTGGCCGCTTGCTCGTTTGTCACCTTATTTTAAAAAAATAAACTAGACTAATTCGACAGCTCCTTATACATAAAACCTTGAATTATAAAATATATTTCGCTATCGAAGAGAACTTATTATTATATATTTTACTATAAATTCATTCAATTTAAAACTTTTCACGGTCGGCTATTCAGTGGTCACTGTTTGCAGGTAACGGCGTGGTGATCCACATTCCGGGACTGTTCGAAGAGTTGAAGAAGAACGAGCTGAAAGGAATGCAGGGATGGCAGGAGCGGCTCATCATATCGGACAGAGCGCACATCGTGTTTGATTTACACCAACAGGTAGTTAACGATATCCGGCTTGGAGGACCAAGTTCAAGAACGTTTTTCGTCGCACTTTGTTTTAGTATGAGAGATCTACGCTTAAGGGCTCACTTAGTGGTTTATTAACGTCAAACTTCGACGATAAACATGTAAAATGCAACACAAAACTGATATAGCTGTTTTGTTTGACAGCGATGATTATAACAGCTGACGTCATCAGACGTGACTCATTAAAGATTATGGTTATTATATTCCAAGGTTAAATCGTTTAGACAATTTTATGTGCATTACTAAACTAGTCAGAAGTTAGAGTCCCTACTTAATTATTAATCGATAAATATTTCATGGGAAATATTTAATATGGTCCGTAATCATACTAATATTATAAATGCGAAAGTTTAGATGGATGGATGTTTGTTTGTTAGAGTTTGTAGCCTAAACAGCTGAACGGATTTCGATGAAATTTGGTATAGACGTAGAGGATCATCTGGAAGTACATAGACTACTCACTTTTGTTTTTTTTAATACCACGCAGATGGAGTCGCAGACGAAAGCTAGTCATAATAGTTTTAATAAGGGATACGTTACAAAAATCAAAATCTCACATTTGTTACAATCTTTTTTTTTCTGTAGACAGTTAAACGAGTCTCCAATACTTCGTTCTTTAAACGCTTACAATCTGCCAGAAGTCGACTTTTTAATGCAATTGTGTTGCCATATCTTTACTACCGTAGTCGTCTGTTACTCCTTTAACGAACACTAATTGAGTGAAACACTTTCAGAGTCTAGATTTGTCCTTAGGGGGCCCAGGGGGCTGTTAACCAGCTCGACACTGGATCTCAACCAGTATCGGTTAAACTGAGCCTTTTTGTTGAGTCTGAGTTTGCCATCTGTTCCTTATTTTTACATGTTTTGTTATGTTTAATAATGTATTTTTATTGCAATGAATTTGTTATTTATGTAGATTTTAATATTCCAGGCGGATGGTTTGCAAGAGGCGGAAAAGGGCAAAAATTCGCTAGGCACTACCAAGAAAGGCATCGGCCCAACTTACTCGTCGAAGGCGACTCGGAATGGAGTCAGGATCGGAGATTTGCTCGGTGATTTCGCTATATTTGAGGAAAAGTGAGTACAAAAACTATTACCTGGATGGTACTGTAAAGAATACGATTCGATACCCCTTATTTGTCAAAATTGCGTACAATGAACGGACTAACACGAAAATGAAAATGAAAAAAAAAACTAAGCAAATGACAAATCTATTCTCTGTCTAGTGTCTTATGTGTCTCTATTCCTGAAAACAATAAGGATTAAATTTCAATACATTTTTCAACAAATTTTACCCTTAGATGAAAATTCACTAACTTATGCAACTTGCACATATTGGCAAAGAAATCCAAAGATATGTGTAAAGTTAACCCACAGTTAGCTAGCGTAGTTACTAAGGCCTAACCCGTAACTCAGAGTTTCCTCGCCCCCGTGGGGACTTTGAGCTGATGATTTCCATAATGTTAATTTCTCTAGATTCCGTACCCTAGCTGCGGGCTACAAGCGGATGTTCCCAGCGTTAGAAGTAGATATAGAGAGTGAATTGACCCGGTACCGAGAGTACGCGGCCCGCATCCGTCCACTGGTACGAGATACTGTCTCCTACCTTCATACGGAGATACACAACGGAAAGAAAGTGCTGGTTGAAGGAGCTAATGCTGCTATGCTGGATATTGATTTTGGTATGTATTCTTTAAAAACAGACAGAAAAGTGTCAACTTTGGATTTATAGAGAAGATTTTTTGGTCCTTTGAGTCGGATTTTGAATTAAGGATACGAGAAATTATGTAATCCCAATTAGACTGATAAATGCTGAAATGTACCTCAATTTTATTGTCATTTCGGATTATGTTTCATATTTAAATGTCGTTTCAGTAGTCTACAGTAAGTTTGCTAGACATTTAAATAAAGTAAACTGTTATAGAGTGGTAATCGGGCACTTGAATTCGCCGAGAAAGCGAAACAACCTCTCCCTAGAGATATCCACAATTGTAGACGTTTATACCCTTAAACGGAGAAGGAGACGCACGTAAAGAGGATATTTCCACTTCCTATGCGTCTCCACCGTAGAATTCACTTTCTCTTTTCATCTTTTGTTTATTTATTAGTAGATTTTTGTAAATACACTAATATTTCTATAATCATTCTAACTAAAAAAATAGTTTATTAATTTTCCCCTTGGGCAGGGGACTGGTGTCCAAACTAGTGTGGTGCCTTGTGTAATGGATTACCAGGCCCCCGCCCCACAGACCAAAGTGAATCATACAATAACAAACTTAAAAATAAACAGATAAGTAGTACTTAGTAAACTCTAGGCTTGTGATAGGATTTGTGATAGGTTTACAATAGTCGAGGCGGGATTCGAACCCTCGACTATATAGCTACGTATGTTTAAGGTACGTACCCGTACGTGACGTCATCGAACTGCAGTATCGGCGGCGTGTGCACGGGGCTGGGGCTGCCGCCCAACGTCATCGGTGACGTCATCGGCGTCGTCAAGGCGTACACGACGCGCGTCGGCGACGGACCCTTCCCTACAGAGTTGCATGATGTTAGTATTTTTTTTAATATTTATTTAAGCAAGCGGCCACCTGAATCCGTCGAAATGGCGAAGCGACCGCTGCCTATAGACATTCGCAATTGCAGGTGCGTTCATCACCAGCTCACTACATGTCCCCACCGAGTGGCTCGGAGCCTACCCTAAGTTAGGGTGACTAGGACATAGTCAACCAGCACTGCGGGTTGGTTGACTTCACACATATCTTTGAATTTCTTCTCCGATATGTGCAGGCAGCACGATGTTTTCCTTCGCCGTAAGAACGTCGGCTAAATTATGTACATATGAAAATTCGACAAATCGAAAATCACATTGGTACAGTGGGATTCGAACCCAAGACCTGTAGCCACCGACGCAGGTGCGTTGCCTACCCTTAAACGGAGATGCACATAAAGAGGTCAAATCCACTTTTATTTCTTATCCGTTCCTCTTAAATATTGAGCGGACGAAGTTTTGTGTAGATGAGTGTTTATGTTTTTAATGTATTTGTGTGTTGTGGCCTAATTTAAGTCCCTTTCTCTTTATCACCCTTTTCTTATAAGGAGAGGATGGGAAGAGGAAGTGGATTTGACAGTGGAGGAGATGCATAAGAAGGAGAAATATCCTCTTTATGTGCGTCTCCTCCTCCGTCGTATAAGGGTAGGCAACGCATCTGCAATTGCGGATGACTATGAGCAGCGGTCATTTCGCCATTTTGGCGATTTCAGGTGGCTGTTTGCTCGTTTGCCACCTTATGTTATAAAAAAAAAATAGGAGGTGGGCGCGGCGCTGCAGGCGCGCGGGCACGAGGTGGGGGTGACGACGCGCCGCGTGCGCCGCTGCGGCTGGCTCGACCTCGTCGTCGTCAAGTACACCGCCCTCGTTAACGGATACACCTCGTAAGTAAGAAAAGAAAGGAACTATATGCGGCCGATAACAGAAAGACGGTACTACACTAATGGCGCAAAAAATGTGTACAGCGAGCGCACGGCATCATACATTGTACCTTTTTTTATAGTGGGGTAATTCTTTACGCATACCCCCGCGCCCTAAGAAGGGAAAGGCGCGGAGGTTATGTTCGACTCACTCCCGATAAGCGGGAACATACCAACTAAAACCCCACTGTCTCCATCTTTTCACCGGGAGATTAGTTAATGAACTACCCTCATGTTTAATAAAATGTATAACACAAAAAAACATGCATAAACTGAAACAATATTTATATACGCAAGCCACTGAAAAGCTAGTGAAAAGCAATTGAGGTTTATTTACCGTTTTTTTTTAGATAATGCCAGATTTAATTGTTTTTATATTGTTAAAAGAAAAAAAAAGTAATGGTATCTCTTCACAAAAGGCAATATGCGTGTTTTTATATTTTCTGTTATTTCTACTTGTTATGATATCCAGAAAAAAATATTGACATGAAAAAGTCAACCATTGAGCTAAAAAAAGTCACGATTGTTTTCGTGCGAATGTGGAAGTACAGTAGAGGTAGACAGAGATGCATGAAAGGTGACATGATGATCATTTTCGTGCGACTAAAACGTGGCCGGAGACTTATGACGTCAGTAGTCATTCCGATCAGATGTCACTTCAATGTAAACCACAAAGTATTTCATTGGTTCTCAAAGCTATCAAAAGTCGAAAAGCGATTATATTTACCTATAATTTTTGAAAAACACAAAAATATGTTAAATCAATACAAACACGAGATATGACAATGTTTTGTGATCACAAAAATATTGTCACCTGAGGCTGGAGTCTACCCTAAATAAGTAGCCTGGAAGAACACATAGGCTAATTTTGTAATTTTCACACGTCACGGACTTTTTTTGATAAAGTAATATTTTTCAGTATTTGCTTGACGAAGCTGGACATCTTGGACACTCTGAAGGAGATGAAGGTCGGCGTGGCGTACAAACTGGACGGCAAACAGATAGACTACTTCCCCTCCTCTATGACGGAGCTCAGCAATGTTGAGGTTTGTTCAGCTACGTCCCCACTAAGGGGCTAGGAATCTACCCTAAGGGGTATTTAGACTGTGGTGGTTTTACTTGGCACGTGGATTATAAGAGTTTAGCTCCTTGTGGTGTGCCAACTGCGTTGTTTAAAGTAGAGACTCCCAAACTTTTGTTTCTTGTGGAAATCTCAAAGTTTTGATAGTTTCGGTACAGAAACTTTATTATTTAAATTAAAAAAAAATAAATAAAAAAATAATTTTACATTTGAATTTAAAAAAAAACTTTTTTTTACATTTCATTGATTTTACATTTATTACAACGATCCTTTAGTGTTCAAAATATTATAATAGGTGGACTGTGGGCTGGGATTAATCTGGACCATTGAATCATTGTTATTTAAATACTAGCTTCCGCTAGCGACTTCATCCGCGGGGAATTGAAACAAAAACGTTTTAAGTTATCAAGGGTCTATGTTATAGAGGTTTTTGGCTCTGATAGGAAAGGACATTATTTTTTGAAGTTATAAATGTTTTTATGTTACCGAGGTGCTACTGTACTAGTAACATTAAATCCATTAAGACTTGAATTTCTCTTGCATTTAAGAACAGAAAATGATGAAAACATATGATTAACTTCCAGGTGGAATATATAACTCTGCCAGGCTGGGACTGCAAGATAGAGGATGTGCGGCAAATGGAGAACCTGCCGCCGCAAGCCAGGCAGTACGTCAAGACTATAGAAGACTACCTACAGATACCGGGTAAGATATTTTTATATATAAAATGAGCTATCGTCTGCAAACTTCGTTAGCGTAAATTACCAGTTACGCCGTTTTTATCATCATCATCACCAGCTCACTATAAGTCCCCACCGAGGGGCTCAGAGCCTACCCTAAGTTAGGGTGACTAGGTCATAGTCAACCAGCACTGCGGGTTGGTTGACTTCACACATATCTTTGAATTTCTTCTCCGATATGTGCAGGCAGCACGATGTTTTCCTTCGCCGTAAGAACGTCGGCTAAATTATGTACATATGAAAATTCGAAAAACCGAAAATCACATTGGTACAGCGGGATTCGAACCCAAGACCTGTAGATTACAAGTCAAGTGCTAAAACCACTGAGCCACCGACACTCTTATCCGTTACGCCGTTTTGACAGAGTGAAATTAAAAAGTAGGCTATAATATGTCTACGTTAGCAACCCTTTAGTGAAAGTCCCGTCGAAATCGGCCCAGCCGTTTCGGAGATGGACCAGAAACAAACGCGCCTTGAAGACAGACATATAGACAAACATTTTTAAATACTATTTTTGTTATCAACAATGCAAAAAATTCATCTTCCCGAAGATGGATGGATGTTTGTTAGAGTTTGTAGCCTAAACTCCTGAACGGATTTCAATGAAATTTGGTGTATATGAAGAGAATAGTGTTGAAGAACACATAGGCTACCCACTTTAGTTTTTTTTATTCCCACGCGGACGGAGACGCGGGCGAAAGCTAGTATTATAAGTATAGATTCAGATTTGTTGAGCTATCTCTTTTATTCCAGTGAAGTATATCGGCGTGGGTCAGGGGCGGGAGTCCATCATCAGGGCGGACTAGCACCCCCTACCCTATGACGTCACGACGCGCCGCTCATTGCGCACTAGATAATATCACAGTAGACTAACACAGACTGTATAGTCGAGGAAGATAATTTCCTACCCATTTGAAATCAAACTCAATACTATTGATCGAATAAAATATCTGGCCTTGTAGAAGACGCTTCTATCCATATTTATGTCGGAAATATGTAAAATGTACAGAAAATGTCGAAAAAACATGACAGCTGCGCAAATATTTAGGACATGTATAGACAAGACGGAACATTTTTACTGGTAACTTCTTTGTATGTTCTCAATGTGAAAGACGTCGAGACGTTTCTCAGTATTTATTTAAACAGTGAAAACAACAATTTTGTTTGTTTGTGACTATGTGAAAAATGTTTCATTGAAGAGCAATTATGCTTCCTCTATTTTTTTGTATCTCTGCAGCTTTATTACGAAATCTTATAAAACTTTAAATATAGATGGCGCTAGTGAGCTTCAATTTAGTTTTTGTCTTAGGTCAGATATACTTGTCAAAAACTTGAGCTAAAAAGCTCTTTAAAATAACGTATAAAAGCAAATATTTTTCAATCCATATGGTTTTAAAATATACCAGAATCATTAAACAAGCATAGTTTAGTTTGCATTTGACAGTAATGGGTAGGGAGTTAAATTCTTCGACTGTGGAAGAATTGAAATCAAATTACACTTTCATACTAGTGGATATTCCAGCAACTTTCTTTTACCATTATTTACATCTTTGTGTTTGTAATATTTTAATATTGGGTTCTTTTTTATGTCTGTAAAAGTTTCTTTGTCTTGAATTTCGAAAATCATGTTGAATATAAAAAATGAATATTTAAAAATGTAAAATATTCCTTTTAACCCTTAACTCGATAGTTTTAGTTGACATTTTAATTAAAAGAACTACTGCAAAAATTTAGAGAATTAACGTGCGATTTTTTTAGTGTTGGCAACATTTAATAATCTTTGGCAACAAAAAACTCAGTCGAATTAAGGATTAAAGGCGATAATTAAACATGGGATCTAGATATCGCATTCTAACACATTCAATGCCATTTATTTAGTTAAAAAATGGCATTATAAATGTTAATTACAAAAACAACTTCCTAAGTAGTATAATTCTTTCCGTATTAGAGAAATACTTAATATTACAGTATTTCTTTTAGTATTAATTGAAAAGATGGGGTTTTAAAGCCAGGTATATATGTTCAGTTTTAACTGAATTTGAATTTTAACTTAACTAGTTTTATGTTTTAACTGACTATATGTGTTCAGTTTTAACTGACTATCTGTGTTCAGTTTTCACTGAACTGCATACGTTCAGTTTTAACTGAACAACGTTTAATTGTATTAGAACTACACATTTTAAGTTCTAACCAACTACATAGTCTTGGTCTTAATCGGACATTTTCGGACAATTGGAAAAACTTACTAGTACACACTTTTAGTACTTTTAGTAACTTCAGGTTTGTGAGAACACAATACATGAATATAACGAGGGTTATAAATTACTTCACATCAAATTTTAAGCAGTGTCAAACATATGTTATTAGCGAAAATAAATTTAAGTTATAAATAATTTTATCCACTTTTGTTTATTACCGAAGGTGGATGCTTCTAACAAATATACAATCAAATCAAACGAAGATGCGAACACTGATATCGTGTAGTACTAAAAGTACCAAATGTCCGATTAACAGAAGCCGTTCGATACTGTTACTTATAGTACAGTGTCGAGTAACATTATTAGTACATCGTATGTGTACTACCCATGACTGTAAAGTTCAGTTTTAACTGAAAAGTCGATGTGTTCAGTTTTAACTGTACATATGTATCAGGCTTAAATTAGTGCGTAATCTGACAGCAAAGTGAAAAAAAACTATTTTACAGAGGTTTGCAAAATTAAAAAAAAATAAATATATTTTACAGTGGTTTTGTAATTTATTAATTCAGTTTGATATTGAAGATATTTTGGTTTAAAACAGTTTTTTTATTCAACGTAATTTAATACCAGGCCTAGCATTTTTGCGAGCGGATAGATTCTTCCTCTAAATAGTGAAAATGTACAATTTAAAAAAATATTTAGTACTGAATTTAAAATGTGTAAATTACTGACTAAATTACGTTCCTACAGATGTGTGAAAATCAACCAGGAAAATAAAAATCTCGTATAGATGTCGTCACTTACTTTATCATAGATGGCAACACCAATATTTCGTAAATGTCACATTTTTTTATCTGCGTTAATAATCTTTTTAATTATGTTTTTTCTAAGCATTGCAGTTTTAATTTTCCTGGTATGGTTTTTACATACAAAATGTGCTTCATTTTTATAAGAAACTATATAGTTAAATAGTAAAGCAATGCACAAACTGACGGCCATTTTGTGGATTACGTAATACGCGATCAGAGAAACCAACTTCTATGAGGTATCTGACTTTTCTTTAACAACTAAAGCGAACCGAAGCTAAAGCGAAGATAGAAAACGAAACGAAAAATGATAGCACGAAAATTTGTAAGACTGTGCCATCGGGTATAAATTACTCCGATAAAGTCGATGACTACACTTTCACGCAAATTTTCGTGCTATTCGCTTCGCTTCGCCATCGCCGTGGCTTAAGTTAATCTAAAATATTTTATAGCAATCAGAAGTCAGTATATAAGTGTTGGTACAATTAGTATTTAAAGAACGTAGTAAAATTTGAGGCAAATGCTATTTTAGCGCCCTCTTTAAAGGTTGTAGTTAAAACTAGCAAATGCGTGTCATTCCGATTGACGTTTACATTTTTATATGTACTTACTTAAAGTTCACTGTTTCGCTTTTTACAGACATTTCGACGGCGTGTTTTATGTGATATCTATAATATTTTAAATGTAAATATTTTTCATTAATACTATGCCAATAAAATAATGGTTTATTCTTTTATGTGTTGTTTTATTTGCCCCTTTATACTCTGACATTCTATTGACGCATTTAGATTTTTTTTTATTTGGGTAGTTCAGAACATGTACCATAACCTTTTACAAAAAACAGTAAGGAAATCACAAACAAAAAAATCTTCAATCAAGTGGGTAAAGACCTTTTCTCTTTACCACCCTTTTCTTATAACGAGAGGATGGGAACGGGAAGTGGATTTGACGGTAAAGGAGATGCATAGAAAGGGGAAATATCCTCGTTATGTGCATCTACTCCTCTGTCGGATAAGGGTAGGCAATGCATCTTGCAATTGCGGATGTCTATGGGCAGCGGTCGCTTCGCCATTTTGGCGGATTCAGGTGGCCGCTTGCTCGTTTGCCACCTTATGGTCTATAAAAAAGACATTTAACAAATATGGTATATAGATAAGACAGGAACATTTTTTCAATGGTACTTTGTCTTTATGGTAGTACCTCAATTTTTCTTCTCAGTATTTGAATCATAATTTACGTAATTCGTAAGATACCTAAATACCTTCGACATATTGTAATAAGCTCCCTCTGGCGTCAAATCGTTTTAGTGAGATATAGTAGTTAAGTTTCCAGTGCGATCACAAGATAATGGCTTGTCAAGTAACTCATGATTATAATTAAACTAGCTTTCGCCCGCAACTCCGTCAGCGTGGAATTAAAAACAAAATGAGTAGCCTATACGTTCTTCCAGACTATCCTCTACATCTATACCAAATTTCATCAAAATGGGTTCAGTCGTTTAGACTACAAATTCTGACATCCATCCATCTAAACTTTCACATTTATATTAGTATGAAGTATGGTACAGCAAATAAAACAATTATAACATTTTTACATATTTATTCGAAATTCTTAATTCATAATGTATTTACATCAGTCAGATTACACAATATTCCAATTACTTCTATAACATACAAAGCGAATAAGAGATTATCACATAAGTAATTCAAATATTTATATAACACTAGCGTTTTTCCGTCCGTGGAATAAAAAAAGCGAGTAGCACTATACGTCATTGCCAAATGTCATCGAGATCCGTTCAGCCATTTTGGCTACAAAATCTAACAAACACCCATCTAAACTTTCACATTTATAATATTAGTAAGATTCTGAGTATAAAATATTTATTTAAAACATAAATACCACTAAGATCATAACCTCAAAGCATTTTATATTTTCAAGGAAATACCCATTTATAAATAATTGATAAAATTTATAGACAAGTCAGTAAGAGTCAATTATACATATGGCACATACATATATAAATAAAAAAAGCTTTTTCATTATAACCTACATTCAATAGCTATATATTGTAGTCAGATTTTTTTTATATCATAAGGTGGCAAACAAGCAAGCGGCCACCTGAATCCGCCAAAATGGCGAAGCGACCGTTGCCCATAGACATCCGCAATTGCAGAAATATGTCCATACACAAAGCTTTAAGTTAATACAATTTTATTTAAGTAAAAAAAATATTAATGTTAACACTGAAATACAAAAAATCTTTCAATTTTAGTATATATTCCTCTAGTTAAGTCAAAGCCGATATTTTAAACCAAAATATCAATTCATAGATAATGCATAAAATTCAATAACAAAATGTCATTTTCACATAAAAAATTACAGTCAAAAATAATACTACTAAAGTGATATACAATTTTATCCGTTTAAAGCAAAATGAACTCTAATCCCTTGCGTTAGGTGATATATTCCTTTCGCGTTTACTTTTAATTTTAGGAGGTGCTCGGTGCCTGTCCCGCTTGCGGCTGGAGGAGGAACAAGAGGATGAGGGGCTGGAGTCAGGCGGGGAGCCTGCGTCATCAGCTGTCAATATAGTAGACTCCGGTGTAGAAGGTTCTAGAACACTGTTGCGGAGAGCGCGTCGCTGTTCCTCCGTGTGTTGTGGGCAACGTGTTGATCTGAATATTTGGAGACCATTAACATAGAAATGAAAAAATAAAAGCGTCGGTGGCTCAGTGGTTTAAGCACTTGATTTGTAATCTATAGGTCTTGGGTTCGAATCCTGCCATATACCAATGTGATTTTAGATTTTCTTATGTACATAATTTACCTGAAGTTCTTATGGTGAAGGAAAAAGATGCCTGCACATATAAGCAAAGAAATTCAAAGATATGTGTGAAGTCAACCATCCCACACTTGGTCAGCATGGTTGACTATGGTCTAGTCACTCTAACTTAGGGTAGGATACGAGCTCCTTGGGAAAATATATAGTGAGCTGGTGATGATGGTGATGAAAGCATATTTACTTTCTATATCATACTCATGGCCATAGCTATGGGGGTTAGGGGAAATGCCCTTAAAATACCAAAACTAAGGTTATAAAAAAACTGTATCCTTAAGAACCTAAACATTTTGTGACATGCGCCAGGGGAAGCCACTTTTAAGCCATTGCCTTGCTTTGAGGGCAAATTAATTTCGTTTAGACCTACCTGTAAACATTGCCATACTTAAAATTCGACTCTAGCCTTGGTTACACTAAAAATATTCATTCACTTGTTGCACATGTGGATAGCATTAAGTGGTTTTAAACTTTTGAGCATTCATAAATCTATACAAAGAAAATTAAAAAAGGCAAGAAATGGCATTTAGCTTACCTTGTGCAAAGTTTCTTGGTATGTTCAGAAACAACGCCACATATCTGAAGTAGGAGGTTTTTCTTCTCGTTAGCGGACATAGTTTCGTATGTGGCGCCACCTTCGTTAGTGTCGGAGTTTGTGATACCATTGTTGGTCCGACTGCTGTTGTTTCTGTTGAAAAATTTAATATGTTACAAAGATTTTGTTTAAAATATCTGCTAATTCCCTTTTTTTTTTTCAAATGTCATAATTGTAAATAACCCTAGTGATAGCTTATTTTAAAAATATATTGACACTGGACTAAACATACATTCTTTACAAATTAGACAAAAAGATTCACAACAGAACTAAACCTTCAAAGTTCGATTTTTAAATATTATTGTATCTTAAACTGCAATAATCTACGTTTTCTGAAAATTTAGCTACATTAATGTTTTTAATATAGTAGGTGACAAAAAAGCGAGCTGTCACCCAAATTTGCCGAGAAAACGAAGCAACCACAGCCTCTATACATCCGCAGATGTGTTGCCTACCCTTAATACAGTAAAGAAGATGCACATAAAGTTGATATTTCCCCTTTCTATGCCTCTTCTCTACCGGCAAATCCCTTCCCATCCGTTCCGTTTAACGAAAATAGTAGGAATGGAAAGGGACTAAATTAAAGCCTTGCAACAATATACAACTGGTATTATATAAAACAACAAAAACAACTGACTTATGAACTTTTGCTGGTTTTCTACTAGCATTGTTCTTGATCCTGCGTTTCCTACGCTCCGTGTGAAGTGAGCCACCAGCCCAGTCAGCATCATCTTCATCATCACTCAGGAGTCCAGCATATGAAGTTGGTTCACGGCTGTTTGATGCAATCCGTCGTGATGCTATACGGGAACTATTTCGACCCATTCCTGATTGAAATTAAACATATCAGACTATAGATGCACTTTCATATAAGGTTAACACTCCTAGCTCTACTGAAATTATACAAGCTTCAAAATCAATTATAGTAATCATACTGGTATTTTAACATTATAATTGTGATAGTTTAGATGGATGGATGTTTGCTAGTTTGTACCCTGAACGGGTGAACAGATTTTGATGAAATTTGGTATAGATATAGAGGATAGTCCTGAAGACCACTTAGACTACAGACTTTTGTTTTTTTTTATAATTCCATGCTGATGGTGAACTAAAGTAAATTATAAATTGTAAACTTCTACTACCAATAGAATAGTATACAATAAGTTCTGAAAATGATAAAATGTGCTCAAGATAATGAGTTGGTAATATAGTAAGACTAGGTATTTTTTGCAAATCCATCCACAAATTAAAAAAAGCCTAAATTAGTAGATTAAGTCGTCTACACTATGTTCTACATCTATGCCAAATTTCATCAAGATCTGTTGAGCCAATTTGGAGATAAATAAATAACATCCATCCATCTAAACATTCGCATTTATCATTAGTAAGATACTTACCCATGCATTTTTCTAAATGAGGTGCGAACCTGGTGGCGGAAACAGGTCTCTCGCAGTTCGGGCAGACGCAGTTCGTATCTTGAGTCTTTTTTAACACTGATAGACCAAAAACATCGCATTCTGGTGAATTTACTATTTTAAAGCTATCATCTTCCTCTTTTTCTCCCTCGATTAAATCTGTCAGACCAGTTTTAAGTCCATGGTGAAACTCAAACATTAAACCTAAAGTAACATCGTCAAAAACACTATCGAAAATAAAGCTGGCTGCTTCCTCCGCATTATTTTCATTTTGCATTATTTCAAAGAACTTAATATTGAGATCGTTCATGCTTAGTTCACTCACTATTTTATTCATTTTACAACAATAAATTCCTTACGGAATTAAATAGCTTCTTGCAATTTTATATACTTATTCCCCCTTTTGGGTGTAAACCACCAGATATCTTAAATTAAATAGGGCTTCCAGTCCGATATTGATCTTTCATCTTTTTTCTTTGGACTATCTGACAGATCTTAGGTTTTTGACAATAAGAGAAATAGAGTTACTAGTTAAAATTAAAATGATCCTAATTTTTTCTCAAATTCTTGTATTTTGAACATAAAAATAGATTAAATGGAAGTAAATTGCTATTTATAACTTGAGTGCCTGAGCAAAATAACTACTATTTTCTTATTAACGGCGGGAATACCGAGGTGTTAAATTAACACATCCACACGAGCACGAACCCTAAGTTGTAACGTGTTTTATACAAATGTAATATGTAAGCATCTCCTACATGATATTAAGTTAACAAGTTCAACATTTATCATAAAAGCCCTTCAAATTTAGTATAAATTATTTCTTTGAACAAACGAAGTCAAGGGCATTTCCACTAGGAAATGATTTATGACTAGTATAATTTGCGTGTCTTGTATATAAAAGGGAAGGATTTCCATAAAATGTGGAAAATTTTGCTTACGGGTAACCCTAAATGCTCGTACCCTTCCATCCCCCTTGCTACAAAAAGCTGCCACTGCCCTTGTAAAAACTAAAAATCTGTCAGATATAAATCTATATTTTATGTAAGTTATATTGTCTTTATTCTACCGTCTTTTATTTCAATTCTATTTTGTAATTGAATTGAATTTGACATTTTTTGTCTTGTTTGCCGATTTGAGGTAAGACAAGAGTTTAATTGTAAATTATCCTGGTTTTATACTTAAATAGGTATAGTTTTAAAATGTATTTAAGTGCTTTGTGTAGATGTTTTTGTGAGTACTTAGCGATTCACTTGTGCACAGATTTCTGCGCGAATGTCTTCTTTTAAAAACAGTTACTTAAAATATGAAGAAAAAAATACATAACGCTATACAAAATATAAACTAAAATAAACATTTATAAAACCTTTAAAATTATCAGTTATCTTTTACAGCGACGTAGTGCAGTAATTTACGTCATTTGCGTTGCGAAATACAGATTTGTGTGGTAATTTGTTTTTTTTTTTTTTAATTTTTACTTTTAATTATTTTCATACCTCAAAAGAACAGACAAAAGCAACCACTGCTCAAAAGAGTAACGCAATTTTATGTATTAAAAAAAAAATTTGTCTGGTTCACACTACCACTACAGTTGGCCAGTTGCACTAGCCAGGTATATATTATATGGACAAACTGGCACAAATTTGTTTTTACATTATGCTAGTATATTGCCAGTCCAGCTATTTAGCCCTACTAGAAAACTATAAAAGTGTAAACCAAACAAAAATGACGCTATGACCAAATTAACAATAACCTATTTATTATCAAGCAATTACACTCTAAGGTAGTAAAAAATTAAAAATATTTCAGATTTATAGGATTGGCAAAAGAAATATGAAAAAACAAACTGCATTTATGCCTACACTGGAAGTGTTATTAGAGAGATTGCCACAAGCTGTTATAGATTCTGCAATAGCTCCTACAAGAGTTCTGCAAGAGGTATTTAAAATAGCTTTCTTTTGATTGAACTATGTAATATATCATAATTTAGCCTGTGACTTCATTTGCACAGAATAAAAAAACAAGGTTAATATCATACTAACACTATAAATGTGAAAGTTTAGATGGATGGATGTTTGTCAGAGTTTGTTGCTTAACCAGCTTAACGGATAGTCTGGAAGAACACATAGGCTAATAATTTTTGTTTTATTTTTTTCCCACATGGATTGAGTCACGGGCGAAAGCTAGTGATTATATATTTTGAAATCCATATACAAGTTTTTAAATTTAATGCATGTTAAAGCTGTTATTTTATTCTTATTTCAGATACCTTTACCAGATGAATCCTCACAGTCTCTGCTATTAAAATCAGTAAAAACAAAACTAATGCAGGATGCATGGATGAAATCAATGCCGTGTCTGCAAGTTTCATTGGAAAGATTACCTGAAAACCTAATGGCAAGTCTATTAGCACAAAAGAAAATAAATGTGGTATGTATATATTTGATACTAGCTGTTGTTTACGACTTCGCCTACAAGAATTTATAAAATATAGCCTATGTTACTCACAGATAAATTACCTTTCTAATGGTGAAAATACTTTAAAAATTGGTTCAGTAGTTTTTGAGTTCATTCAAAACACACAAAAATACAAATCTCTCCTCTTTATAATATTGTTTAGTTATTTCAAATACATCTGTAGTATAAGGAAAGGAAATAATTTGATTGCTTCTTAAACTAAGACTAATAGAAACATTATTTAGTGATCAGGCATAGTGAAGTGGATGCAATTCCGCTTTTCTTCAGACTGAACAGGACACATAATTTTAGTTCCCTTAACCTACCCACCCTTTTGTAAGAAATGGGAAGGGGAATGTGGAATAGATGCATAGGATGCAGTAATATCTTTCTGTGTCCCCTTCCCTGTCAAAGGTGTGGTTATGCATCTGCAGATCGAAAATAAACTAATGCATGAGTCACAACTAAAGCTAACCTGATGTTATTTTCAGGCACAACAAAAAAGGAAAGTTGGCAGACCAAAGAAGATAAGAAACACACAATTTAAAAATCAAACTCCAATGTTTGATTTTATTTCAGTTTAGATAATTTATTTTTTCGAAAATCGAACTTTTAATCATCGTGGTTAATAAATTTGCAAGACGATTTACTTTATGATCTCAAAATAAGATTTAAAAATATTATGCCAAAAATACAAATTTTAATTTTTGAATAAATCGATATTTTAGTCACGAAAATGATTGACGGAACTACACTGATGTTAGCAAGAGAAGCGAATTTAAAAGCGAATGAGCGAGACGTGTTGTCTCTTTCACATTTATGACATACGTGTTTTTTGTCTTGCTTATTTAATGTGTATGAATAGTTCCGTCAGCTGTTATAGTGATGTGTATTTTAGTGTTGGTTAATGTTATTATTTTAATAATGACATATAATAATAATGACTTATATAGTCAAAGTATGTACTTATTACTTACTTAAAGTAGACTAACATGTTTACCTTTCTTAATATCTATTTAATTACCTTTTCTCTTTCCGTCGATTTCCGATCTCCTTTCCATTCACCTATTTAAATTTCCTAATAATCCCCTACTCTTCCAAAGAGCGGCTAAAATGAAGTTTGTAAATGCTTCATGATTGTCAACCGAGTTTTAGGACTTGTGATGCCGAGAATTAGGCGTATTATGCTTTTTTGGACTAATTTTTGTCTAGGAAAATTGCTAATATCTAGTAATTGTTAGACGCTTGTAAATTATTATTTATTCATAAATTTTAACGTAAAATATCTTTAAAACCAAGGATAATTGACTTATTTGTGTAGGTTTTATCTTTTACATACGATATATAAAGTATGTTTTAAAATTAAAAAATTACAATAATTGTTTTGTTTTATTTTAAACCTCCCAATGAATGGAATAAGCAATAACCCATATACTGACTTTAAAAGATATACCATACTAAAAAACCACGGTGGTTCGAAACTTTTACACGTGTGGTGTAAAATACGATTGTACGTGAAGCGGGGCGTGAGGATAAGGCGCGGTTGGGTTACCGCCCAGGGGGTCTTGAAAGGGGTGCCACAGGTCTGCGAATTAAAAGGACGTTATGCCCTTTTCCTAGTTATCTTACCAAAAATATTAACACGAAGGATGGAAGGATATTAGAGTTTGTAAATGCTGAACGGACCGATGTAGTTTTGCACAGATGTGGAACATCTGATCTTTACGTTAATAAGTCTGGAAGAACACAGGCTTTGTTGATTTGTTGTAAAAACTACTGGACCGATTTTAAAAATTCTTTCACCACCAGAAAGGTAATTTATCTGTGAGTAGCATAGGCTATACTTTATTATTACTTATGTTCAGGAACTATTAATATGATAAATAAAGAGAGTGCCGCCCTGTAGACATTACTACAGAACATAACCTAACACAAACCTATAGCTTTGGAGGAGTGATTACGAGAAACTCCTAATAAAAAACGGATAGTTTCCTAGACAAAATGCGTTGCTAGCCTGACGTAGTCTTTACTATTTTTGTACATAGTTTAAATTAGAGTGTGAAAATGGAAGTCTAAATTAACACTGTAATCTAAATATGAGTCACCTTGAAATTGTGATGTTTTTATAAGCGTGTATAAACAGTCGTAATTGTTCATCAAATAAAGAAGATAATGTAAATTATCCGAGAGTTATTTTAGTCTCCGATATGTGATAACACATCTTTTAATGCGTGGTTATATTATACACTGGCTTTCCCCCGCGACTCTTTCCGCGTAGAATTTGAAAAACAAAAGTGAGTAGCCAATGTGTTCTTCCAGACTCCTCTACGTCTATGCCAAATTTTATCGAGGTCCATTCAGCCGTTTAGGCTGCACTCTAACAAACATCCATCCATCTAAACTTTCGCATTTATAACATTAGTAAAATTTAGCTAAAATACTAGGCATTAGGTACTGTAGTCAGTTAACATTTTTGTAGTGATAATACCGGCTTTAGGGTAGAACGATGGGGCGTCCGCCCAGGGCGCAGGATATACAGGGGCGTCACAGGCTCATGCGGGGGGCGTTGGCAATGGTAAAACCGGCTCAGCATCCAAGTACAGTATAAATAAAAGTTTCTGATAGTTAAATATAGTTACATTAGTTGTGTTAACTTGCTTAAGTATTAAATGTGGGAATGGGACAACGCAAACGAAGGGAAAGCAGTCGCTCCGCTATCGGGATTTTTTTTTCATTGATAATAAAATGTGTTGAATGTAAGATATTATGTTGGTCATTGGAAGTAATAGTTCCAGTTAATAATAAAATACATTGAAACTGTCAATATGTTCAATAATAATAGTCTGTCCATTTCGTTGTGAGCAAAGGTGCACTTCAGGAGATATTCTATATTTATTTGTAAAATGTAGAGAATAAATGTTATAGAATTGTTTGAAATTAATAAAAAAAAGTGTTATATGGAATTATTATGTGTTTGTATCGTAATTTAACAACGTTATTAGCTCTCGTACAAGAGTAGTAAGTAAACGAAAGTCGCGGATTTGAATACGCCATTTGATTTTTGCTAAAAACAAAATAAAAATTAATTCGGGTAACTTATATTACTAATTTTACATTTATATTCATAACGAGACATATTTGCATATTTTTATTCCGTCCAGTCTGCGTCATTTATAACATCTATAGGCGGGCTTCCCTATGTGAGAGTTCAGTCTAAATCTCGCGTATCGCTTCAGTCTGCGGTTCAATGTCGAGCCCGCGCTTGCGTCTCGCTGCGACAGATTAAAAAAATAATTTAAAAAAATCTTTTTCACTTGACCAGAGATATTTTCCATCAATTTTTGACATAATTTTGACTTTTGACGTTTATATCAAAATAGAAATGGAAGCAAACGGCATTTCGGAATGCAACAACGTTGACAGTTCATTGGGACATTTTATTTTGAAAAACAGCACCAAATATGAATTCGACTCGACGGAGTATGTTGGTGATGTGAAAGTTAGCGGGAAATTTAAGAAATCTCGAAGTTTTGTTGAACTTAGTAACATGAGTTCTGTACAAAGTTTGAACTTGATGGAGAGAAGGGTACTGGTTATTTATACAGGCGGTACTATTGGTATGGTAAAAAATGCTAAAGGAGGTAAGTATTTCATATTTTACTCATTAAATAAAAAACATAAATAAATATTGTTAGATCAATTGACACAAACAAGAATATTAAACTTGGCTTATTTTTAATTTATTTCTAAGAAGTTTACCTCGTTAAGTAATGATAGGCTTATTTTAACAAAATATATAACAACTAGCTGTCGCCCGAGACTCCGTCCGCGTGAAATTAAAAAAACCAAACGTGAGTAGTCTATGTGTTCTTCCAGGCTATCCTCTACGTCTGTGCCAAATTTTATCGAGTTTCAGCCGTTTAGGTTACAAACTCTAACATCCATCCATCCAAACTTTCGCATTTATAATATTAGTAAGATTATACACTTGACATTTTAAATACTTCGCCTCACCAGCTAAATATATATTTAGCTAATCTAAATAATTCATTTTAATATTTAAAACAAGATTTTAAAATAACTCACGAGCACTCACATCGCCTCAAACACGTGTAAAACAAGTTGTATCAATAAAGAGTATTATGGAACGAATGCCCTGTCTTGCGTCATTCATTATCGTTCATGATTAAACTATGTTGTTGTATATTTCATTCAGAAACAACATAAACGCATCTTAACACAGAGGGGTAGGCAGATTACGAGTTTTCAATTGGCGCGATTATATACATTCTGTATTCGTAAATTAGCTTATGTAGTTTTTTTTCATTTAACATTTCCCGCACAAAATGTTTTACAAAAATGTACAGTCATCTCTTTCATTCTCAATGGAAAAAAACGAAACAAAAGTTTTGGATTTTTCATGGATTAGCAAAATACAGTCTTATAACTAAATGGTATAAGATTCATATTTAAAAGAGTATATTTTTGTAAATTCGATTTATTCCTAAATATCACGAAATTTTAAATCCGCACGCAATAACGTAAATTACTTTTATCTAGTGAAATTTTAATGAAATTGCACAGCGTACCATTGTGTACAGACTAATTACGTCGTGCTCGTGTTACGATAATCCGGTAATAGATTATCGTGACTGACCTAACTGATGTAAATACATGACGTATGTTTGTATGAGACAACGCCTCTGTTTATTGTTTACTCTGTACATACTCGATCACGTATATCAGTACTAATCTACGACCTTAAAAACAGAGTCCTACGGTATATAATCATCATACTAATATTATAAATACAAAAAGTATAGATGGATGGATGTTTGTTAGAGTTTATAGCCAAAACTACTGAACGGTTTCCGATGAAATTTGGCATAGATGTAGAGGATCGTCTGGAAGAACACATAGGCTACTCCTATTTGTTTCTTTTTTAATTCCGCGAAAATGGAGTCGCGGGCGAAAGCTAGTAATAAGATAAAAAAGAAGCCTATATGCCGTCTGCTACTTCAGAGAAAGTCAGTTCGAAATCGTCTTAGCCGTTTCGGAGATTACCCGGAACATACGCGACTTGAGTATAGACAGACAAAAACTTTTTTAAATGCGATTTTCGTTATCAGCAACGCAAATACGTCATCTTCCTAAAATCTAGTATTATTCTATTGATATCACAAACAAACACTCCAGTTTTATAACATGTATAGATGTTGTACCATACGAAATGAGTATATTAGAGGAAGTCTGAGAGTAGCCCCAGTGGTTGAGAAAATAAGGAGTAAAAGGTTAGAGTGGTATGGGCATGTTATGAGAAGGGATGAATCGCATGTAACAAGAAGGATGTTAGTTATGAATGTGGAGGGGTAAATCGGTAGAGGTAGACCTAGAAAGAGATGGATGGATTGCGTGAAAGGTGACATGATCAAGAAGGGAGTGATGACTGAGATGACGGATGATAGAATGCTTTGGAGGACGAAAACCCGGTGCGCCGACCCTACGGGAGTAGGATAAGGCAGGGGAGATGATGATGATGATAGATGTTGTACCATAATAGCTATAGGAACAAAACGAAAATCAAAGAAACTGGTTTTATAATAATATAAAATACAAAAAAAAATAATAATATAAAATTTAACCCCTAACGACACAACATAATCAGAAATAACAAAAGAAAAACAAACATGACGTAGTTATTAAGTAGGAAAAAAATATAATTAAATAAAAGATTATAATAAGCATTGTGATGATGGCCAGATATACAGAGAATTTAAAAAATACTGAAATTTAAGAATACGAGTACATCGGTTCAAAAGCAAAGCAATGTTAACAGTTACGTTGTCAAATTCTTCGTTTAATATCTTACTTCTTACTAAAACTAATATAATAAAGCGTAAACACACTTCATTGTTGCCTAAGATGTTAGAAATTACAGCATATTTTAAATAACCATTTTTTTATCAAAAGCCCTACACTTACGTCATGCTTTAGGCTTTATTCAAAATCCAACATCCAAAAGGATGAAAACCCTAATGTGGGAAAGAGACCATAAGTTGTTGCTAACATCAAGGAATCAAAATTGCCGAGATTTGTCATGTTATGTCATTTTGATATTTGCTATTTGCTAATTTGTCAAATGTAAACAATAAAATAAAATTATTATATGCCGATGAAGCCACACGGGAACAGCTAGTTAATACTATAAATGCGAAAGTTTAGATGGATGGATAGATATTTGTCAGAGTTTGTAGCCTAAAATTAGGCATAGAAGTAGAGGATAGTCTGAAGGAACACTTAGGCCACACTATACAATTTGTTTTATTTTATTCCACGCGAACGGAGTCGCAAAAACTAGTAATTCAAATGATATCTAGGGAAAGTACCGGATCGAAGGAAATGCACAATTTACTAGTGAATATAAATAAAATTGACAAGCGCGAATGCAATTTTATAATGCGTTTTTGATAACATTGCACGCTCCTTGCTCGGTGGAGCGTAGATTATAAATAAGGGAAACAATAGCTTTGATTTGATACGAGATAAGTCATTCATACGTTCATTCCGTCATTCGTTCTTATGACTCTTACAATGGAAAGAAAGAAAACAGTCTGCTTGAAACTAATATGCGATTATTTTATTTTTATTTTATAGAATAATAGTAGATTTTTGTTGAACTAATATTTCCTTTAACCATTCCAACTAAGCTCTAGGCTTGTGCTAGGATATGGTTCAAGACAGTAGTCGAATGTCGAGATTCGAACCCTCGACCTTAAGATCGGTAGTCCGTACCCCAAACCATTAGGATAGTGGCTTACAAACACGCAGAAAAATTCAATTTTATTATCCTGTTTAAAAATACACTATTCCATGTTATTAGGTTTAAGTAACTCCAATAAATATGTCATTACCTTTTAGTGTTTCGTTTGGAAGTCGGCTTTGTTTCTTTATTAAATTTTTTAATTATCATTTGGTTCCAGTATTGGTACCGCAAAAAGGTGCTTTCGAAAATCTGATTAGGACGTATCCACAATTACACGATAATGCCTCATGGAAGCAAAAACTATCGGAGAATAATTACGACACCAGCTTTTTGGTGTTACCAGGTTTGTAAAGAAAATACAATTGTCTTGTAATAGGGCTACCACCTTTTAGTCAATATAGACTTAAATTTGGTGCCAATAAAGTCAATCAGTACAATTAAGTAAACAACGAAGGTAGAGAAATTAAGGAGTAAAATGCTATGGGCATGATATGCGCAGATATGAATTGCATGTAACAAGAACGACGTTATGAGTGTGGGACACCGGTAGAGGTAGACCTAGAAAGAGATGGGATTGCGTGAAAGGTGACATGACGAAGAAGGGAGTGATGACTGAGATAGAGTTTTGAAAGACGAAAACCCGGTGCGCCCTGTGGGAGTATGATAAGGGAGGGGAGGTGATGAACGAAGAAAACGAAAACCGAAGAGGTGGTAGCCCTAGGTATAACAGAGAGATCTATGGTTTTCACGATGAGATATAATGTTTTTAAATATTATAGATGCTAAGGATTCTTGTTTAAAAGTGATGTACAAAATAATGGAGTATGAAGAATTATTGGATTCTTCTAACATGACTGAGGCGGAATGGATACGAATAGCTCAAGATATAATGGTAATTTGTACTCTATATGTATGTTTAATAATTTAAACAAGATATTATTTTGATTGATCACAATTGGACATGTTCAATGAAAGAATACCGATGGTCCACCGGTTGATTTTAAAATGAACTTGTGTTATAAAAATAACAGACATTTAATATGGTAGACAGGAAAAGTAAAATTACATTGGTGCTTTCTCTGAAAGGTACTAATCAGTTGTCAAGTTTAGTGCCACCTCGTGTATTTTGACATGTAATAAAACTACAAAATTATAGTAAATCTATCTTTCGTTATAAAATAAACTAGTGTTCCAATTTATATTTAAGTAATGACACTTATTGGCAATTAATTTAAATAAAATTATATTGACATGTGGTTTCTATCAATGATAGTGTTAGTGGTGAAAAACGTGTCAAATAAAGTCAACTATGCCTTCTCTAGTAATTTGAAGCTCTTTGGAAAATAATATCTTTTTTCATAGAAAAACTACTCAATGTTCGATGGGTTCGTAGTACTTCAGGGCACGGACACTTTGTCGTATACGGCCTCTGCTCTCTCCTTCATGTTTGAGAACATTGGCAAATGCGTGGTACTAACTGGATCTCAGGTAAATTCGTTTATTATATTGTACCAGCTTTTTAAAATATGTAGCCTATTTGTTTTTTGCTTTTATCATCCATTTGCCCTTATCCCTTTCGGAGGGTCGGCACAGTATGTGCTGCTCTTTCATACATCTCTATCAGCCGTCATATCTGAATCCACTCCCTTCTTCCCGATGCTTTAATATGCCAAATTACATTAAGATCCGTTCAGCAGTAAACTGCTAAAGGCCTAAAGGCTACAAATTCTACCATCAATCTAAACTTTGCATATATAGTTACCCTACCTAAAGTTAACTAACACCGTCTGCCTACGTAGATGTTTTTGTCGACAGCAAATACGAAAGTTAAAATACTATCTAATTTTTATCGATAAGTCTACCTAATTCTAGACAATCATTGTCTTAACGGAATAGGACTTACTGCTGTTCTCTCCATCGGGACATTTCATTATGGGATTGTATTTATAAGGTGGTAAACAAGGGAACAGGAGCAGCCATCAGAATTTAGAAAACAGGCGAAGCGACCGCTGGTCAGACATCTGCAATTGTAAATGTTGTCTACCCTAATTCATGGAGAATAGGAATTATTTATGGATATACTAGCTGTCCCCGTGCGACTTCATCCCCATGAAATTATAAAAATCTTATTTTATTGTTTACATTTGTTAATTTATAACAAATGTCAAAATGACATGACAAGATGACAACCTTGCTTTCTTGATGTTGGCAGCAACTCATGGTTTCATTCCCACAATAGGGTTTTTATCGAAAATATTTACCCCCTAAGTTTAATGGCGTTAAAATATATAGCCTAAAGCGTGACGCAAGTGTAGGGCTTTTTATTAAATAAAGAATTAAACAAAAATATGCTTTAATTGCTGACATCTTAGGCAACAAAGAAGTGTGTATTTACGCTTTATTATAATAGTATAGATAGATTAGTATAAGTATACAAATAATACTCTTGATGGTTTTGTAGATCCCAATATTTGAGCCTCGTAGCGATGGCGCCGACAATTTCGTGTCATCTCTCATGATTGCAGGAACCTTGCATATCCCCGAAGTTACTATATTCTTTGGCAGTAAACTCTTTAGGGGAAATAGGTATGTACAAAATGTATCTAATTGTTTATACATGAATAACATAGTCATTTCAATACAAATTAAAAGTATTAACTTAAAAAAAATATACTTTTAATAATTTGTGAACTCTGCCTATTCGTAGTTTGCCTTAGCAATTAGTTGGAAAAGACGCTGTAACTAATTTACGATACCATTTGCTCAAACAAACTACAAAACTACAGGCAAACTACAAACTACAATGCTACAGGCAAACTACAAACTACAACACTATTGGCAAAGTACAAACTACAATGCTACAGGCAAACTAGAAACTACAAACTATAAACTGGTGATAAACATTTTCTTTCCAGAACGCGTAAGATATCGGTAAATAATTTCTACGCTTTCGACTCCCCGAACTGCCCACCGCTAGTAGAAGTGGGTATAAATTTCGTGGTCAACAAGAAGTTGATCTTCAAGCCAAATGTTATCGACAAATTTCAATTGCACGCTAAGATGTCCAAGAATGTGGGATTATTAAGGATATTCCCGAGCATTAATGCATCAGTTATTAAGGCATTTTGTCAGCCTCCTATTGAGGGTAAGTAAGTAATATTTGCTGAAGTACTAGAGGCGGTTAAACAAAGATCTTAATGTTTAGTAATTTTATTGTTTCCCTTATTATTTTGAGCGTCCAATAGCAAATAATTACCTTAAGTATAACATAATTTTGGAGTTTTGTTTCCTATTCATGTTAAATTATTTATTTTTGAAATCTTGTGCTAAGTCATTATTTAACTTGGTTACTATTAATTTGTAAAGACTATATCAGCTCAGTTCTGACAATTTTAACCGTTTAACTTAAATTTAGAGGTTAACTGACAGTTAAAACTTTGTCTACACAGAACTTAGCGTCTGTAGTGGACCTAAGAATCATTAGGAAAAAAAGATTATTAGTATATGATTATTCAATATTCCTAGGTGTGGTATTGGAGAGTTATGGCGCTGGTAATATACCATCGAACAGAAAGGATGTTCTAGAAGAAATTAAAGAAGCGGTGAACAGAGGCGTTATTGTTGTTAATATCACGCAGTGCAATACTGGCGGTGTCTCGTCTCTGTATGAGACTGGAAGAGTGAGTCATTCACCATTCATCATTCATCATTCATCAGGTCTCCGGCAAATCGTAAATGTTGCCCATTTCTTATCTGCCCGGTTAAATCATATAAACTGCCTTAAATAAAATTTACAAAAGTATGAAATACAGTTATTTTATGAATTTACCAGCTGTTGCATGTGACTTCGTCCGCGAAGAATTAAAAAAATACGAGTATATATAAAGTCTTACCTCACTGATAACGTAGATTATTGGTGGAACAATTTGTGACATTACCCTAGTAGTTTTTTAAATTATTCCAAGATATATATAAATGCAAATATTACTTTTTTACAATATTGTTAGGTTATAATATTTCCGAGATAACGACCGCGTAAAATTAAAAAAAAAACAAAAGTGGGTGGCCGATGTGTTCTTTCAAACTATCCTCTACGTCTATACCAAATTTCGTCGAGATCCGTTAAGCCGTTTAGACTGCAAACTCTAACATTCATCCACCTAAACTTTCGCATTTATAATAGTATGATAGTACAGATTACCATTTATTATCATACTTCATACTAATATTATAAATGCGAAAGTTTAGATGGATGGATGTTTGTTAGAGTTTGTAGCATAAACGGCTGAACGGATTTGGATAAAATTTGGCATAGACGTAGAGGATAGTCTAGAAGAACACATAGGCTACTTAGTATTTTTTTAATTCCACACGGACGGAGTCGCGGGCGAAAGCTAATCATTATATAAATATTATAGCATTTACCATTTGCATTTATTCAATCCGAAAGAGAGCGAATGAAACCAGTTCAATCCAGTTTTTACAAATATCTCTCTATCATAATAGTGCATTTAAATTACAACTCTATTCCTATGTACTTACAGATGATATCAGAATGTGGTGTCGTGTCAGGTTACGATATGACTCCCGAAGCTGCATTGACGAAACTGTCCTATATTCTGTCGAAAACTGACCTCACGCTACAAAAGAAGACGGAGGTGATTTTGCACTGTATTGTATTCTAATAAGGTTTAGTTTTGCATATAAAATGATGTGTTTGTTACAGCTTATGTCTAGGAATATAAGAGGAGAGTTGACAAATACATCGACCATAGCTATTGAGGTAACCTATATCTTTTTTTTGTATCTATACATATAATACCAGCATTCTCCCGTGATTCCGTTCGCGTGGAATTAAAAAGAAAGAAAGTAGCCTATGCATTCTTCCAGGCTATCATTTACATCTATACCAAATTTCATCGAGATCCGTTCAGCTGTTTAGGCTACAAACTCTAACATCCATCCATCCAAACTTTTACATTTATAACATTAGTAAGAAGCAAGATAATTTTAGTAAGATTGGAGTGTCTGTTTGTAATATCAAAAGAAAAAAATCCAGATTTCGGGAAGATGATGTAAATACATCGCATTCATACATCGCAAATGCGATGCTGATAACGAAAATCGATTTTTTTTTAGTCTGCATGTCCGCAAGTCGCGTTTCTTTCGGATAATTACAGAAACGACTGGCCTGATTTTAACGGGCCTCTGTAGGTTAGCTGATATGGACGAGCATATTATAGGCTTTATTTTTTTAATCCATGCTGTCAAAATGGCCACCGCTATCTCTGGAACGGGTGGACTGAGTTGGATGGGACTTTGACTGGAAGGTAGCTGGTTAAAGGTAGATGCAAACAGAGTATCCTGCGAAGTTTGCGGACGACGGCTATTAATAAAACCTTCAAATATTTTTTTTTAGTATTGTATTTCAAAATGTTTCTTTTGTAGGACCATACCTTAATAGATGCAATAGCTAGCAGTCTAAATATAACATGTCCAAGGAAATTAGTTGAAGTAACAGAGAAGGTGTTTACCGCTCTTCTCTTCTATGCTATAGATCATAATGACTTCCGAGGAGTTAAGAAGATGCTAGGTAAGTAAAGATTTTTGAAAAATTATACATCTTCTACAGCTGTTCTCTCTTACTGATATCTACATATTTACATATAAACTGTTTATTAAATGAAAGAGTTTTATATGTTAGATATTTATTTCTGTTAATGTAATATAATACCATGAAATGTTAGATACAGTCACAATTTTATTTTAGACAAGAAGCAACATGTTGGAAGGAATTGAAAAGTGTTGCCACTATAAAAAATTACATGTTCAATATGTCATGTCATATTGAACGCTGTCAGAAATTAGTGTATACCGGGCATTATAACAGCGGCTAGAGTTAAAATATCTTTAAACAGTGTTTAAATTTATTTTGTGTGGTAATTGAGAAAATAAGGAGTAAAAGATTAGAGTGGTATGGGCATGTTATGAGAAGGGATGAATCGCATGTAACAAGACGGATGTTAGTTATGAATGTGGAGGGGGACATCGGTAGAGGTAGACCTAGAAAGAGATGAATGGACTGCGTGAAAGGTGACATGATCAAGAAGGGAGTGATGACTGAGATGACGGATGATAGAGTGCTTTGGAGGACGAAAACCTGGTGCGCCGACCTACGGGGGTAGGATAAGGCAGGGGAGATGATGATGTGGTAATCCAGTAGTTATATATTTTAGATATGGGTGCTGATGTAAACGTGCAAGACTCTGATGGTAAGAGCGCCTTACATCAAGCAGTTATTAAAGGAAACATTGAAATTATTGAATACCTCCTCAAGAATGGAGCCAGTGTTCATATGAAAACTAGGTAAGGAATTTGTTACGTGTCTGAGCTGTTATATTAGTTTAAGGGCCTGTCCCACCACTGACTGATAGAGGCTCAGATAGCTTAAGAATGACGTCACTGTCAGATAAGGGAACAGTATCCGATATTTCCATCACATATTTTACTCGTTGGATTATCAGACAATTTACAGTTTCGTGGGACAGTTCCTTAAGCTTACAGAAATGTTATTTCACATGCTTTACTTTTACTGTTATATGGAGAAAATATTTGTATTTTTGTTTGTATCCAATAATCTTAAAAACTACTGGTCCGATTTCAAAAATTCTTTTACTATTTAAAAGCTACATTATGACTAATTTAAATAGGCTATAATTACTAGACTTTTTTCAAATTCCCCGCAGACGAAGTATTGAGCGAAATAACTAATTTCTTGCGAAACGGAATAAACTTATTTTATGCTTTGATACTATCATACTGATATTATAAATGCGAAAGTTTAGATGGATGGATGTTTGTTAGAGTTTGTAGATTTAACGGCTGAACAGATTTAGATGAAATTTGGTATAGATGTAGAGGATAGTTTGGAAGAACATATAGGCTACTAACTTTTGTTTATTTTTAATTACCATATACGCGGACGCAGTCTCGGGCAAAAGCTAGTATAATATAACTTTAAGATTAAATTCAGAGACATACTATCGGCTCTTCTAAGGTATAATATCCATTCGTACTATTATAAACGCGATTTGGATTTGAATTGAGGTTTATTACTAAGTATCTTCAATTCGGATGAACATTTGTAAAAAAGACTACCACCATTATTTAAAACCGGTCAAACAAAATTCTCAATAAATATCTCACATTTATCGATTACGTATCAAGATTAATCGGTCGAACTTTCCTGGTCGAAGATGCGGGGAGTCCCCACTCCTGACGGCGGTGAAGCACGACGAGGAGTCGGTGATCAAACTGCTGCTGCAGTGCGGAGCGCACCTCACCACCGCCGATTCTAACGTGGTGATGGCGCTGCTGTCGCTGGCGGCGCGGAGCGGGGATGGCGGGAGCCAATCTCGGTGGTTGTGATGAGTTGAAGCAGACGCCGTTGCATCAGGTGAGTGGTTGATGGTTACGTGAATGGTGAATGAGATAACGTGACAAATATTATGTTAATGGTGAGTGAAATGATGTGGTCAATGATGAATGTCATTAGTGGAATTGTGAATGACAACGCGATGAATGATGAATGACTATACATGAATATTTGAATGGCCACAGATTATGTGATGAATGGTGAATGATATTACATGATGAATGGTGAATGACATTACGCGATCAATGGTGGATGAGATTACGTGATAAATGATATTTAGAGATGACATTACTTGAATTATGAATGACTACGAGATGAGTAGTGAATGACTGAAAGCGGAAGAAAGAATTACAAAGTAAAGTAATCTTCATACCTTGTGCTATCTTTTATGTTTTAGGCGGTACTTTGTAATCAAGAAGGTGTGGTACAATATTTGATCGGCAACAACGTGAGGACGGATTCGACAGACGTGTTGGGCTACACCGCGCTCGCTTACGCCGAGAAGTTGGGCCACGAGAAAATTAAAAGAACTCTAAGCAATAGAGCAGTACTCTCCGTGTTACATACAGAATGAACTTTAGTAATAATGTTTTTGTTTGAAATTGTATTTAATATTTTTTTTAGAATCTGTTTTATTGTAAGAATATATAATATTTTTTGTGGAATTCAGTTGTTTTATTTTACATTGTCAGACTTTCAAAGGTAAAAGTTAAGTTTTGCAATAGACTTCATACTATTGTATACTAGCTTTTGCCTGCGACTTCTTCGCGCAATATTGTAAAGATAAGATTATGTGTTTTGTATTTAAAAAAATTACCTTCAGAAACTATCGGCGTTACAGTAGGGCGATCGCTCAGGGCGTCGAACAGAAAGGAGCGCCACAAACAAAAGGGCGCCACAACCTCATAAAAGGGCGCCATAAACACATAAAAGGGCGGCTCAACCTCATAAAAGGGCGCCACAAACACATAAAAGGGCGCCACAAAGTCATAAAACGGTGCAATAAACTTATAAAAGGGCGCCATCGACACACAAAGTGAAATTTTTTCGTATAGACTTGTATTGCATTTAGGGGGCACCGTAGAAATCGGCTAGCGCGCCGGTAATACTAAAACCGGCACAGATTAAAAAACTGCACTCTCATTGACACATAGACTATATTTTACCTAACAGGACAAGGCGGATTAAAAAATCTCTTAAAATTAAATTGTTAATTTATTAAGGGTGAACATTCGACGATGAAGTATTTCTATAACATACATTTTCAATGATTTGTGTAAACTGATTTTCATTTATTGGACAAGGTCTGAAGCTTTCGCAGTGACCTCCAGTTCTGCCAACTCTATATGCATCTTCGACTGCAGTGGTGTTGAACATCGACGATAGTAACTTGTTTCTGGAATAAATGTACAATTTATTTAATTTAATGATTCAAAGAGTTCTAAAACTCACTAGGGTTTGAAAAAAATCATAAAAATGACGCACAATAACCGCCATTGGAATGTTAAAAGGGAGATAAACATAAGAATCTATGGTCTATAAAATACTTTAAAATGCAGTTTCCTGTATATTTAAAAATACAACAAGCCTGGAGGAATGTTTTACAAAGCTATTTTACCTGGTAATTCTCTTCCAAGTATTTAGATTTCTAATGTTGGTAGTCCGACCAGCCAAACACGCAAGTCGAGCTGGACAACTTTGACCCTTAGATATTATGATATTTGCAATGTCCATAAATCCATCAGGCAAATAATAATCATCACCTGAAAACAACAACCGTTTAAAATAATATAGACGAATAGTTCGAAAAATGTATTTTTGTGATCTCTATCTAGAGCCCTTTGTGTGACACGAGTCGTGATGTCTATTTTTTTATGTGGCAACAACCCTGATTCTATTCGGCCAGCTACTTTTTACCCTATTTTTTTTCTTTATTTATAAAAATAAAACGGTCGAAATATTATTATTCTTTACATTGTATTTAAGGCATGGGAATAATTTTTACATTAATCGTGTTATATTCATTAAATAGAATTAAAACTGAAAAAAAAGAAAGAAAACGACCATCGAGTGGGCGATGACGTTCTATGTTTGAATAACAAAACTGTTACAAAATTGTCAGTCACATAAAAGTCATGGCGTAAAGTCGTTTTAAGGATTACAAAATAAAATTTCAGTGATAATATCCGATTCAACCGGCAAATAATAAATCAGTAAGTATCTATTGAAATATATAAATCTCAAACATATGAAAACGTCGCTCTTTAGAACATTCTTTCTTTGTGATTTCGCATTAAAGAGGCAAGGAAAACGGTAGAATTCTACCAAAAATGTGGTCAAAATTCTAAATATCGGTTAAGGACACATCGTCTCATTCGCGTGTTTGACGATAACATATTTAATTTCCATTGATACGTGTAACGTGTTTTATCATCCGCGAGAAAGAGGCTAGGTAATTTCGAAGTATAACCTTGATTTTACTTTTTAAGAAATATTTGTTTCATAATTAAATTTTTCAAAGATCAATTTAAAGTGCACAACTGCAATGAAAATCACTATTTTGGTTTCGTAATATGTTTAAATTATGAAGCAAACACAGATTTTGAGTTATAACCTATAAATTGTCAAGATTCAAATGTTTGAAGAGGTCTGAATCTGATACAAAACCATTGAACTCGGCAGGTCATGGAGCAACTGTATATGCTTGAGATGTTCATTGACAAAGTCACAATTTTTGTATCCGATGACGATGAAAAAAGCGCAAACAATAAAAAACTGATTGTTAAAATCAAATTTGGACCTAATGCGGAATTTATTATAAAAGAAGGACAACTGGCGATAAACGAAGGCAAAGATGATGATGTAATCGACGTTGATGAGAGAGGGAGAAAGAAATGGACGAGAACAATCAGAGTGGGTAAATCGTATCTGTTTCCATCATACCCAGATACGTTACTAGTGATACTTAGTAAATTTCCACTGGAAATAGAAGTATGGAACGATGATGATACGGAAATTAATATATTTGTTGGCGTCGGTACTATGTATTGGCAAACAGAATTTTTCCACATGCTGAAAGAAACCGCTGATGTTTGCAAGGTTCATGAACCTTTATCCATTAAAGAGAATGCGCGTTTGCTGGCAGAATGTCATTGCAAACAAGTGGGAGAAATCTCATTTATTCTCAGACTTAGCGCATTAGGTAATAGTATAATAACAGAATTCCAACAGCCGATGAGAGATCCTGATTCCTTTGTATTTAGAACAAATAAAGCTCCGAGTATGTTCGAATGTAAACGAATCGAAGGCGACAATCCTAACTTCTGTATGGTAGGTAGTCTTTATGAGACAACAACACTGGAAGACCCAGATATTATAAAGAACGCTGTCACGAAAATAGAAATCTGTACAGAAGCCTCAACCTGTGGCATGGACAAATTAGGTCCAGAAAGTACTTGTAAGCACGGAGAAAAGGATAAACGACCTTATCCGATAGATAAGATTAGAATGGGAGATATACGTGGACCTTGTGGTAACACTAACTGCCCCTTAGCACATAAAGTTAAAAACTATATTAGGAATCTGGATAGTTATAAAAATAAAGTAGGTGTGGTTAGTAATAAAGGTGACAATGTGACGAAGAAAATATGTGGCAAGTGTGATTGTAAAGATGATCGCTGGCACAGGGAAACTTGTCCACTAAAGAAGGAAGCTGCGCCTAAAGTTGAATGCGAAGGATGTAAGGGAGTCACTGAAGAAGGAGAAACATGTGAGGATAAAAAGAAAAAGTTTATGGGCACAGGTGTTACTCCGAGAGGCAGTAAAACGCAAGTCAATTTCCTATTTAGTACTGTCAAATTTCAAGGCCTTAATGGCGGTGCTCAATTAAGAGATGAGTTTATACAGAACTCACTTATGGAACCCTATTTAAAATCTGATTCGACCAACAAAAGTGGATGTTCCTGTTCTCAAGAGCAGACATTTTGTAATTCTGAAGATATAAAGTGTTTAGCAAATCAGGATATTACAATAGAGGGGCAAGAGAAAAATGTCGATACTGATGACTCCAAATGCTATATTAATGTTTACAATTGCGTAGTAGTTCGTGATGAGAAAGATTGTTCTTGTAATCCCCCAAAACCGGCTCCGTTATGCAGAACATTTGATTGCGAATGCTTAAGTAAATTGACAGAAATCGCATCAAGGAAGAATCACAAACCTTTTTGTCCTTTGTACAAGCACAAGCATAATTGTCCTGTAACAAAGATTCATGAAGAAGAGACTCAGAAGGAGGACGATGAAGACGAAACCGAGCCATTACCTTACGGGCTACCTCCGATAAGTCTTGGGCCCTGTCCTGTAATGGGAAGACCGTGTAGCGTTCCAGATGGTTTCGCTAAGATGTACAAGAATGCGGCGTTACCAGCTCTACCGCCTAGTTATAGCGATGCTGGTAAGGTTTGCTGTTCTAAAGAGTATGAAAGGGTAAAGAAAGCGTTACAGGAGTATATGAAATATGAAAAAGACCATGACTATAGATGTGTTAATAAATTCGACGTGGACACTGAAAGACGTTGCTGCGATAAGGAGCAGCAGCTAATGGCTCTGATGGGGAAAGGCTGCTGCGGCGCCCACAAGATGGCAATACAAGAAAAGTTCAACGATAAAAAGTAGTTTCGGATATGATTCATTGACATTTTATTTTGTAATCTACATGCGTTGTAAATCTTGGTCAATTTAACACCTATTCTATTCCTATTTAAAGAAGAAAATTATAATGCGTTCATCTAATGATCTCTGTCATATTTATATTCTGTTAACAATCCTAATGTAATAAGTAACGTTCATTTAACTTATAATAAATATTTAACACCTCTGGAGTTTTTTGTTTTACACAACATAAGTCCTCCAATGTATAGTCAGAATAAAGAATGTAAAACTCCCAATAGTACAAATGTAGTTAAAAGTAGTGTTGGAGACTACTAAATAATGTTAAAAGGCCGCACTTTGTAATTTCATAACAAATGATCTGTGTGAAAAACCTGCGACGGAAATTGTCCTGTATCTTGTGGCTTGTAGTGTGTAGTGCATGATTTATATAATGGATTGTTTTAAGACCTGAAATGGGCGAGGATGAGGAAAACGAGAAGAAGAAGAAGAAGAAGAATGCATCTAAATATAATTATTCTTTCGGAGATGAATATCCAGGTATTTACTTGACTTTTTTTTATCTAAAAGCTGTAACTCAACTGTGTCTTCTAGACGTCAGGTCGTTCAATCGTATTGTCTTTTTCAAAGGGAACCTGATCGGCCACAAGACATGCAATCCGTTCCAGCCCGGCCTCCCTGTGCCTGCGGAGATGGGCTGGCTGTGGAATGCAACTGATATTCCCGGCCTTAAGGTAAATTTGAATAACGTAATGAAGACCGTTTAAACTAATCAATCAGCTTAGTTTGACGGGATACTCTTTTATTTTTTTAATCTGTTGACATAATGAAGCCTCATGTCATCCGGCATTGATAGATTTTCTTAGTTCATTATCATATTTCAACCTTTATAAAGTCGAATTATAATAACATTTAATGACACTTTACATAATTTTCCAGCCTAGGCGTGGCTGGACGCCGGGTGGTATTGGCAAAAGTATCGCTAAAATGATGACTTTCAAATGCCCTCGAGGTGGCCAAGACAAGGATAAGAGTAAAAAGAAAAAGAAGAAAGGGCAGAGACCTGGTGCCGACATGGGGGGAGGTGATTCGGAACCCGACGAGCCACTTGAACCCAAGCCAGCGTTGAAAGTACAGAGAAAGGGAGATATCTTTACTATACAGGTAAATAACCTAAGCTTATTTCGATATGATTATATCTTCCCTTGAAGAAACGTTACTTTAAATCAGGATTTAACAGAGGGGAGGCCTAGAAATGGCTAATGTCTTCTTTCTGTGCTTCTCCTCCGCCTTTCTGTAATTTTTATGGGCAGTTGTCGATTGCCTATTTTGGCAAATTCAGTTTACCGCTCTCTGTTAAAAAATGAATGCCTTTGAAAAGGTTAAGCATTTGTAAAGTATAACTCAGTAATATTGAACTGTATGTGGTTGTTCTAAGTAAAATTATTTTGTCAAGGTAAATCCGTTAAAAGACCTTACTGAGATCGATCCTAATGAAGATCCCTACGTTGACTGCGATCCAATGGTCTTTAAGATTATAAAAAAGCGCAGTCCAGAGGAACAGGCTAAGGTGGAAGCTCGTAAAATGGTGAAACTAAAAAAGCAAAGAGACGCTGATATACGGAAAGCATTAGCCGAGGCAACTGAGGATATTTGCAAATGTGCTTACATGGACGTATATTGTAACGATTTGAGTGCTATAGATAAAGTTATTGAAAGTTGTCCTGCGTTTAAAGAACCAGATTGTATATGCAAAGAAGAATCTCTCAGTTCTTTATCAAGTAATGCTACTTGGGATATAGAGTATACTCCGCCTTTTGGTTGTTTCGATTTGGCTCCACGAAAGCGTCAGAATCTAATTCATGTTGAGACCCAATATTTGCCAGAAGATGCCGGCATTGTAGAGGTTACGAAAGTCAATAAGAAATCCTTCACCTCAATTAAGCCGAAGAGGGTTTGCGGTCCTAGGAAATTGAGAAAGATTTGTACACCGTGTGCTAGTAAGTTTTGTTTTTAATTTGGTTTGTAGTAAAAATGTTCGGTCCTTTTATTTTTTAACAAAAAACTGAAAGAGCAAATCTTTATGCAATGTATGTTACATGAAAATTCGTGTTAAGACAACTTATTTGTCTTATTAGAGTATATTTTATAGTTTGTCTAAATAAATTAGATTAGTTTGATAAATGACGTATATGAAGTATCGAATTCAATTTGTATGAAGGCAAAAGGCGTACTTAATAGACAGGTATCGTAGTGACGAAACAAACACGCAGCGAACAATTATGAACTATCGATATTCGGCTTAAATAATTATCGAACTCAACTAAATTATTATTTTCTTATTAACTAATTTAGAGGACAATTCTATTATTGATTATAGTGTAGAGAATTTAGCGATGACAGAAATAATAGCGAAATCCAATTCGATTACGTACGGCTGTAATAGTAATAAACATTTATTTAGTCTCATTATTTGTAATGGTCATTATTAATTTGAGATAACAGTGTTTTTTTTTTCAATCCATAAGTTATAAATATGAATCTATCGATTCCAACTTCTATAAGAATAAAAATCGAAAATCGATAAGATTCATGACTGATTTTACACAACATCCCTACTAAATTTGAAGTGAATTGTCAAACTAATCTAAATTATTTAGACACACTATAAAATACTTATAAGATGTCCTTTGTTTGAAATATTTTTGTATATGCAGGATGTCCTGGGATGCCGTGAACAAAAGAAGACTTCAAGTTTCTTGTCCACAAATATTGGCTTGTTTGGTCGTAAAGTGGCTTTTAAATGGTTAAGATGAATTTAACATTCCGAATAATTCGAATAATATTATTTTATTTTAACCAAAAAAATTAAGTCATTTGTTTCGACAAAATTTAGCTGCGATGTTAACATTTTATAAAGGACTGGACGATTGAGCGTTTTATTTAATATTTTTATAAATAAATTATTTCTAATACCAACCAAGGTTTTTTTACTTTCGTGGAATATTTCTGTAAAGGCTATGCGATTAAAACTTACGTCTGTTATATCGATGATTTTGTACAGTAATGCCCTTACTGAACACCGAGGCAAGTAAACTGGTTACAATTACGAGGGCGCCGCCAAACGCTAGTGATTTTGGGTCGAAGTTTATTTTAGGCAAACCCTGAAAAGAAAAATAATTATTGTTTCTGATCTGAAAAGGAAGATATATTTTGGGATTCTGTAATAGACTAAGATCCCATAGACGGCAGACTTAGGTCATTTCAGTAAAAAAAGTTTTGAAAAAATTACACTTACCAAAGTATTGTCTGGATGGAAGTTAGCGTTTTCTTTGATTGGTATTTTTAAAAATGGAATCGAAAAATCTAAATTCACCTAAAACATATAAATTACTTTTTGTAAAATTTTGTAGAACATACGTAAAGTTAAAAAAATTTTTTTAAATCGTCGGTTAAATAGAAAAATGGCAGAATTCAAAATGTACATTTTTACAAGTATTTAAAGTTTTTAAATTTATTTTCCTTTAAAGATTTAAATTTACACAGAAATGCTACATATCATAAAACATTGTCAACAGTTCTCTTTTAAGTAATAATCTGATTGTCCGATTAAAAAAAAACATAGAAAAATGTTTTTTAATCAACGAAATACGTACACCAATTCCATCGGAGAAAGAATTAAAAGTGATTATCTTCGGTGATCTTTGATTTTCACTTCTGTCACAGGAGATTAAAGTTAAGAAACAAAAGAATAACAACATTTGAGGTGACATTTTTAAAATATGAACTAATAAAAAGCTTTGTATCAGAATGTTGCGTCTGTCACTTGTGGCTTGTGACTTAGATAAGTTACTGAAGTTGTCACCTTAGTTTTCTTCATTGTGCACTAATAACGAAATGACTAGGAAGATTCGACAGCTTTGCATGAGAGCGCATGGATATAGAATCATAAACTAATAGACATGGCTCCTAAAGTAGCAAAATTTTTAATGTCAACAAGCAATAATAATCATTATTATTTATTTAAAGTCTAAACATAGCTCATAAAAATGTTAGTGAGTCTCTTATACTATGTTAGTAAATACATTATATAATACAACAATCAAACTAAACATTTACATAATTCTGTGAGCATCGTGCAGTATGCAATGCCGGTATTATCCTACTTGCACCATAGATCGTTCTTTCTCAACCTTTTACTGTGCGTATAAAAATTTGCAGAGAACCCCCCTTCTTGTCAGGTGCCTTAGGCAGTCAACCGTGTGCAACCCCAATGCCATACTGTCTATAAGCAAATCACTCTTTAAATAAATAACAGATCTACGTTTATTTCTAAACTGTAGAAAAACCAAAAAGGTAACTAACAATGTGGAGTTTTTTTTTTACAGGTTCTTTGCTGATATTTCCGGAATGTTTATGAATAAGTTTTACGAATGCAATCCCTTTGTTACTTATATAACTTCCATAACTTTTACACAGCTGTAATAATTATTAAAAAGTTTTTTTTATAAAACATGTCTGATCGCTTTGTAACTCTGTAGGTGATTTGTGACAATTTCACACTGGTTGGAGTGTTTTACTTATTTTCACATTACATTGTTGACGTTGCAGCTATTTATTTCTTTTTACGTACTTATAACAATATGACTCACGCTTTAACACAGTGGGATAGGCAACCATGGACTTCCATTAAGTTAACAAAATTTGTTAAAACAACTGTAGCAATATTTTGTATTTCTATATCGTTAAACTAGTATAATTTACAAAAATTTAGTGAATTAATTTAAAAATCGAATCGTTATTTATGATTATGAATATAAAATTTGACACGAACAATATCTCCCGTATGGTCTAGTGGCTAGGATACCTGGCTTTCACCCAGGAGGCTCGGGTTCGATTCCCGGTACGGGAAATTTTTTTTTGTTTATTTACTGAAATCTGACTATTACATTTGAATACATTCTTACTAATTAATAAAAGTGAAACTTTGGATGGATGGATGTTTGTTAGATATAGTACTGTTGAACGAATCTCGATGAGCTTTGGCACAAACATAAAAAATATTCTGGAAAAACACATAGGCTACTTACTAAGTTTTTTAGTTCCGCGCGGGAAGATTCGCGGGCGAAAGATAGTCTTTTAACCAGAGTTTGAGATTTGTATCTAAGGTATATGCGTTTTTGATATTCGAACTCGATGAAAATTATTTTTTTACGTCTCATCTTTTATAACTTATCTTAATAACTCGTAGATTGTGTTTTTACACATTATTCACTACTATACAATCATCTAATAATTTTTCACACATTACATTACATAAACGGAGTTAACTGCTTTCAACAAATTCTTAATTGTAACAGTTGGAGCATAAAACGTCTTTTTGCCAAAGAAATGTATTCTCGACATTTTAAATTTTATTTTATGTAAAAGTTACCTTTTAAATTTCTATTATACATATAAAAATGTTCAGTAAAGTTTTTTGTCTAATATTTAGAAGTTTGAGTAAAATAAGATGTGTTTATTTTACACCTTCTAAATAGAATAACGTTTATGCAATTTAACTTATTAGGTTACAGTTAGTTTATAAGCATTTTATGATATCCATCATAATTGACCGACTTCCCAAAAGAAGGAGGTATTCAATTCGTCTGTATGTTTTTTTTTATGTGTGTTACGGCATAACTCCGCCGCTAGTGGACCGATTTTGATAATTCTTTTTTTATTCGAAAGGTAATGCTTTTAGGTGGGTCTCTTTTTTTTGTTTGATTTTTGGAGTCAAAGACTACGACGTAGTTAAATAGTTTAGCTCAAAATCGCGCGACGAAATTTAGGGTCATTTTTGCTTTCTCTGCTTACGTAGCCTAAACTATAAGACTTACATAAAAATGACATATGGAAGAATTGTAGCCCTTTAAATTTGCTAAATAAAAGTCCGCGATAGCATATATCTATTTATTAAGGTTGTCGCACAATAACCACTTTTCATTAAAATATCGCTCGAAATCTTTATCTAGACAACATTCATGCATTGCTACACGCAATGGGAACCAATTCATTGGTTTCAAAAAAAATTCCTAAATGAACTGATAATTTAACATAGATGACGTGTCTTTGAAATCTTCCCGTTACGATACCATCAGGCTAAATACCGTAACGACTTTAGTAAAAGTGTTGTGCAACTAGAAGATGTCTCGACACACGACAATACTGTTTCCTAAGTCATTGTTTATAGCCAAGCCATGGAACGCCTCGTATAAAGTATGTAATGGATGTGTGGAATCCGGCAGTCTGGTTTCTAACTTCAAAATGGGTGGAAATGTTTGTTTTGCATTTCTTTTTGCTTTTATAGGTTTTGCAGCAGCTAAGTATAGGAGTGATGGGTATGTTTGTTTATACTTTTAAGGATTCACTTGTCTACTAACCACAAAAAGGTTATTATAAATATTATAAAGGGGAAAGATTTGTATTTTTGTATGTATTGAAATAACTCAACAACTACTGGGCCGATTTCAAAAATTCTTTCACCAATAAAAAGCTACGTTATCAGAGAGTATAGCCAATTTTTTTTTAAATTTTACGCGGGCGAAGTCGCAAGCTATTACTAATATTGTGAATGCATATTATCGTTATTACGTAAAATGCTACAATTTTCAGAGGTTTTATGCCAAGTTCTGGATACCAACGTACAGAAGATCAGTTAGCAGAGCCATCTTCCAGGCTAGAGAAAGGCAGTAGAGAGGAGAGGGACAACCAGCCTGATAGAACGCAGCGGTTCGGCATTTCAGCGTACGGGACCACCGGGGTAAGTTCTGTTTAGCGCCGTGATACTATGACATGGTTAATGATTTTTTTGTGCTATTTCATGTTAGAAGTTGGCTTCCAAATATGTAGAAAATTCTCTTGATTTTAAATTTAATTTAGTTTAAATGTTAATCTTACTTTAGATGCTGACATCCAGGAAATCGTTTATATTTAGACGACAGGACAGACTAATAATGAGTAGGATTTTTTGCCGTATATGTGTTGTAGTAATCTCTAGTATATAAGATATCTGTTATGTTAAATAATGTGATTTTAGTCTCCTTATGGCGGTACCGCTCCAGGCATTTACGGTCCAGTGAAGATAGATCTTGGCGGAGTACTTCTTGGTTCCATTTTAGGTTTTGGCGCGGTTATAATACTGCCTAAAATTATACATGCCTTTTCTTACGGATATGGCGGTGGTTACGGTAGAAGTGAGTATTGAATATTACTTACTAGCCTTCGCCCGTGGCTCCGTTCGCGTGGAATTAAAAAGAAAGAAAGTAGCCTATGTGTTCTTCCAGACTATCCTCTACATCTAAGCCAAATTTCATGGAGATCTGTTCAGCCGTTTAGGCTACAAACTCTACAAACACCCATCTAAACTTTCGCATTTATAATATTAGGAAGATAAATGCCATACAGTTCATAGGTTTAAATATAGTATATTATTATGCTCTATGGTCGTTCCAGAACTTTCCGGAACACTCTAGTCGAAAACGACTAACTTTTATGTCTCGTTCTAGGTGTGGAGACAGATTTCAACCACGTATCGGACATGTTCAGCAAGTTAGATGAAACATTAAGTAGATATAATGTCGATACAGCGGCTTGCATGCAGCGTTTAACTTGTTCTTACGTGCAACTCGCCAACGAAAACATGGCCGCTGGAAATGCGAGCGATTTTGATGTACTGCTTGCTTCTTTGTCGAGGTAAATGCCATATTTGGAAAACTATCGGTTAAATTGGATGTATTTTTTTTGGTGACTGAATGGTCACTGTTTGCCTTGAAGAGGCATTTACAGATTCACCGAGCTTGAGGTGGCAGCAGATGTCGCTTAGCCTAAACCTCGCGCAATTTAATGTACTTTGCACGTATGTGAAGGTAGTTTTATTAGTCGGTACTATCCGCGTACGGTGCGTGAGATTTCTTATTCTCAAAACGTTAGTTATTAGTGTACACCGTTAGAGGTAGAGGTAGAAAGAGATAGATGGATTGCGTGAAAGGTGACATGATCAAGGGAGTGATGACGTATGATGCATACTTCACGCCTACGTTCACCGCGTGATCTTACTCATTGTACTCCAGTCCCCGCACGATGCTTTCTATCGATCCATCATTTTCTTTGGTCGCTCGAAATTACGCCCTTGGTAGTTTATTGTTAAGTGGCTTGTAGACTGTCTGTTTTGATTTCGAAGTGAGGTTCCATTCAATTTGTGTATTCCGGGTTTTTAGAGCGATTGTCGATTGTTTCAGACCATTAAATTGTTTAGCGCAAGTAAACAGTTGTGCGATAGTTTAGTTTCTGGTGACGCACGCTTTAAGACTCTAGTCGGTATATCTTTTTTATTAATTATTTTATTTATTTCAGTAATTCTCTGGTGCGTCGTATGATAGACGGCACGTCGGTGTTCGAAGCGATGTCAGTCGGTAAATCTCTGGATACAGATTGTCAAGTGGAATATCCCAAGTGCAAGTTAGATAAGAAGACAGTTATTAAAATAATGTCTCAGTTATTACCATCATAATAACTCGTAAAAGTGTAGTTATTTTTATGTTAAATGCAATAATTTACGTGATTTTTATTTGTTTTACTTCGATTTTTACTGAAAATAAAAAGTTGTGAAAAAAGAATTATGGTTTTTATTTATCTCGTTTGAGACATTTTAATCAATTACGATTTTTATAGCAAATAAAATTGAGCTTTACACGATTGTAATAAGAATCAATTTTACTTTGCACATCTTTTCGTATCAAGAAAAAGAGTACACATGTGAATAATTTTAAACCTTACTTCAATAGCATAAAGCTCAATTTTATTTGCATGGAAACTGCTCTATTTTCTGGTCTGAACACTTCTAAACAATAAACTTTTCTAGAAGACAAGAGTTTTCTTAGGCTCAGGCTATGTCGTAGGAACAGGGGGGTTTAGTGGGTATGCCCCATTACGGAGAGAATCCCACATAACTACTGTATCTCTCCCGGTACGCGGTGTATGCATAATCCGTTCCCTTCTGACAAAAAAGGCTCCGGCTACGTGAGCCAGGATATCAGGAATAGGTTTTTTTTTATTACCTAAGGTGGCAAACGAGCAAGCGGCCACCTCCAAAATGGCGAAGCGACCGCTGCCCATAGACATCCGCAATTGCAGATGCGTTGCCGACCCTTATCCGACGGAGGAGGAGACGCACATAAAGAGGATATTTCCCCTTTCTATGCATCTACTCCTCCGTCAAATCCACTTCCCCTTCCCATCCTCTTATAAGAGGATTTTCTTATAAGAAAAGGGTGGTAAAGAGAAACAGACTTAAATAAGGCCTCCGTTACCACACTCATCAGACGAAACACGGAATTGTTTCCATTTCACGCCTGTCTTCTGTGTGGTCGTGGTATTTCACCGGGCGTGCCGGCCCTGCAGTGCTAAGATGTTAAAGCGGGCACTACCACTGTTAAGGTTAAGGTGAACAAAAACAAATCAATGTATAAATTTAACAATTTTATTACATCAACACCAAACCCTATCTACATTTGATATGCTCGGCTCAAACATCGACATATGACAATCATTCATTGCATACTAAATCTAATGGGTCCCGGAATACGTGAACGCTTCCTTTGCCAGTATTAATCTAAGCAAGTCCGGTATTTTGTTAACTACAATTAGAGTAGAAACTTGTAAAATCACGCGGGCGCGTTCTCAACTGACGTTTGCATAACCCAGTTCATACCAGTTATCCCTTTCGTGCAAAGTTACACAAATCTGTGATTTTAGTCACAAAACGACTTATTTTGTTGCAAAGGGACTTAGTAATCCTAGATGTGTCTTTCAAACTGCGCCCGCGATTCAACATTTAGCCTTTATTTCCACAAAGCGATCACGCGTTCGGCCTTTGTTTTATTAAATTGCATTTATCACTGGCGTGTTACGTCTATACGCTTAGTGGAAACAGACTGATGTGGATATAGGAATTGTTGAAAAGGACAGACGTAGTTGTAAATTTTATGGCGTGAGTAACAATTTCATAAAGATTGTGTTTTGTAAATATGTTCCACTGCTGAATATCTCTTATCTCTTTCGTTCCTAAGGGAATGACAAGGACAAAAGCTTCTGTACATCTCAGGAATCGAAATTCATTTGATTTGGCGCTCCCACATTTATGTGGTATTGAATTTTTTTTGCTGTAAGGACACATACACAGATCGTAAAATGCGGTCGATATACAAGAAATACTTTATTACGCAATATTAAGGGCCTGTCCCACCAAATTGTAAATTGTCAGACAATAATCGAACGTGTAAAATATGCGATGGAAATGATTTTATTCTCTTTTTAAGCTATCTAGCCTCTATCTGCCAGTGGTGGGACAGGTCCTGAGAGTACTAAACAGTCCGTGTATGGCCCTTAGCCAAATTTTCTATACATAGTTACCGCATTCCATTAGCACCAATCGCTTACATTATATCGAAACCCGCGTATTATTGTCTTAAAATACATACGTAATCGACCATTTCTTTATGTATGCTAAACTAAGTTGTAATTGACATAATTCTCATTTTGATAAAAGTTATAAGGAGCACCAAATCAAGAAAAAAATATGTGAAAATCCAAAGCAAATCTATTGACGTGAAACTGTAATTTCTTGGTTATTAAGGCGAACAGATTTTTTATAATTTACATACATATGTATAAATTCACAACCCTATTTTGGCTTCAAGTCAAGTGAAATAAGCACACGACCCGACGAAAAGAGTTATCACTTAAGAGGGTATATGCCCGGGCGATTTTTTGACGCCGCGTAAAAATAACGCTCAGCGACAAACGTTTAAAAACTACTCTTGTATCAACTGCGCGATAAAAAACATCACGCATTTGTTCTTTCAACGTTTTTTAACGCGCGTAAAATCGCTCATGCGTATGGGGACTTAGATGTAACTATTTTCGTCGTATAGTCGAATGGGTTGAAGTGTCGGTTTGGGCAGTGTTTTAATTAAGGCCACTACAACTATCGTAAGACTACGAACTTACCCTGGATAAGTCCTAAGTAATATAAAAAGCCTAATTTTAGTACTTTCAGTGTCAAATTCTTCCCATATAAGGCTTTTAGTTGCAAAAATTTTTGTAATCTTTTTGGATATAGCACAGTATGTGCACCGGCCGATGGCGTAGGCCCAGTCTAGACTGGGTCTAGAGGGCAAGTCTATTTTTAGGTTATCACATAAACGCCAGCAAAGGGATTTAAAAGATGGCTTGTGGTCGATTTTAGACCACTTGGCAACCACTGGGTCAGAAACATGGTGTTTTTTGCTATGTCCGTATGAAATTAGCAATTTAGACGGATATAGACAAATTATAATTTTATATACGTTTTCGAACACTAAAAATGTAATACAATAATTTTGTGAGCAATGGTTTTTTGCTAACTGATATTTTATTTTTAATTAAAAAAATATATATTCATAATTCATTTAAGTTTTTTTAAACTGTAAATGGGTTTTAATTGATTTTGTTACATGTGTGTCAATTTTTTTGTTAAATATTTTGTTTTTTATGGCAAAAAATCGACAACGACCACACGTATTTTTAATAATTTTTTTAAAATTAATTTTCTTTAAGTAAAAAATACTTAAACTGGCATGCCACATCTAGAGGACCTTTGATCAAATATTTTTCTTGGTTCTAGATTATTTTTCTGACATTTTCGTCTAATAATATGTTATTGCTTATTTTTAATACGAAAAAAGAACATAAGAAAAAAATAATAAATTTTGACGAGTTATAGTTTTAACAGTAAAATCTTAAAGAGATAAATAAAGAAATATTTGACATTTTTATGGAATCAAATCATGTTTAAAATCAATAAAAAATCAGATTTTTTTTAGTTTGATTTTTTTTTCCGAATTACGCACATGCGCCTTTACTCGAACAGAATATTTTAAACACATTCGTTTGTACAAATCTTTAATGTACTTTTTACATAAAAATAAAACATAATTTTTAAAACATCAATTTTTTTAACAAATTTTACAATTTTTTTTCGAGATTTTACAACTGGCAAGTGTTAACTAAATAAAAAAACATGAACTAAAATTCAAATTTGATACAACGTTATTAAAAATTGTCAATAACAAAATCTCATTAAATTAATTTATTTTGAAATATTACGACCTTTAAATAATGCGAAAAATTTGGTCCAAATACAAGTATTTCAGAGAATTTGAAATTAAAAATGAATGAGCAATTATTTATGGCTGGCTCTACGCCGCGGTGGTTATTTATTATTATATTATCTATGGTCGATGATATTACGAATTTTTATTTATAGCGTAACCAGAATAACACCTTTCTTTAAAACTTTCGGAATTGACATAACCAATATTATAAATACAAAAGTTTAGATGGACGTTTGTTAGCATTTGTAGTCTTTAGACAGATCTTGATGAAATTTGGCATAGACATAGAGCATAATCTTGAAGAAAACATAGGCTCTACCTTTTTGTCTTCAATTCCTTCAGACAGATTCGCGGGCAACAGCTAGTTTTTATAATGGCAACAATTTCAATAAAAAACCCATGGCATATAATCTTTAGATGTAGACGATATAAGTTAGAAATACTAAGGGTCTAGCACGAAAATTTGCGTCAAAGTATTCGTCATTGAAAAAAATTTGTAAGATTTGTGCAACAATCGGCCGTAAAGTACAGATTTTGTCAATGTCGGATAGTTTCTCGTAAATTTTCGTGCTACCTGACGTCGACATAGAACGTAATATTAAAAATATTGCGTTGTAATAGGAATGTTTTATTTCTGGTTACACTATAACTTACCAAGAAATTCCAAGATACTATTGATAAAAATATGAAATATATGTAGGAAAAAAAAGTAAAAAAAAAAACTCTCCGGACATACTCAATAGTCCCTTAGTATCAATCCACACTAAGCGACATTTAAAACCGACAGAATATCACATAAAAGACGTACCTTGGAAAAACGTGACATTTTTCATCGACCATACATTTCATACAAATCCATACAAACGTATTGGAATTCCATTTGTGATGTGTTTTTGTAACATTTAGGTATAAATGTGGATATCCTTTGAATGGAGGACGTTCATTGGACGAGAGTACTGAAGAATGGGTGTGCATACGTCATAGGTCTCACGTTTGGATGAGGCTGGAACAAACACGATATTAAAAATATCATACTCAGAATGTTATAAACAGAATAATGTAGGGATTTTTTAAATTAAATCTACCCAACATTCAAGTAAACATTAAATGCAACTGGTTTATTCATATGTAATAAAATTGGAGTGTCTGTAATATCAAGAATAAATTTCCAGATTTTGTGGATATTATGTACTAGCTGTTGCTCGCGACTTCGTCTCATTAAAGATAGAATAAAACGTAGCCTGTTACTTAGTGATAACGAAGCTTTTTAATAATGAAACTATTATTGAAATCGACGCAGTAGTTTTTGAGTTATTTCAATACATACAAAAATACAAATCTTTCCTTTTTATAGAACTGGTATAGAAGTATGGATTTCCTTATCTTAAAAAAAATCTTTACTATTATAATAAAGCGTAAACACACACTTCTTTGTTGCCTAATATATTATTTTTGAATAATTCTTTTTTTAATAAAAAGCCCGACACTTACGTCACGCTTCAGGCTATATATTTTCACGGCATTAAACTTAGGGGGTAAATATTTTGGATAAAATCCCTAATGTGGGAGTGACCATAAGTTGCTGCCATGCTTTGTCATCGTGCCATGACATCTTGACATTTGCAATTGAATTTGACAAATGTAAACAATAAAACAATATTCATAATTTCATGCGGGTGAAGTCGCAGGGAAACAGCTAGTATACGTAAAATAACATACCACAGCCTCGTATGTGGTGAAGTTGGGCTTCAAATCCTTCCCATTCATTGTTATAAACGCTCCGAGGTTCGCCATCGTGTCACTGGAAATTATAAAACATTAGTTTCACTGGCGCACTCAGAGTTGTGTCCATTAGTATAGGTTTAGTGCGTGAATTTTAAGGGACATCTTTAACTCTCAGCAACCGAATTTGGCAATAATCATAATTTAAAGAAAACATAACTAAGAAATTTCAGTCGAGTACATTTTAATGAGTCTCACGTCAAAAATCTATTAGGCCTCTAAAAGTGTCCATTAAGCATCTCTGAGTACCTTGGGATGGGGCCACTATCTTCTAAAGTCGAAAATTGCACTTAAAACAGCAGAATTGCTTCCGTATTGAGAAAGGAAAGAAGAAACATATTTAGCAGGGGAGAGAGTATAGGAAGGGGAAATATTCTCTTTTATACAATTGCGGATTTCTACGAACAGTATTTATTTGAAGCCTAGTTACCCCTAGGGTGGGCTCCTCCAGCGGGGAGCTGGTGACTCACCAGTAATTAGGTGCGGAGAAGACCGTGATGCACTTGGCGTCGTGCGCGAGCTCGTAGCCCTCGCTCTTGACCTCGTGGCTGCGGATGATGTAGTCGAGGCAGTTGCGCTGCAGGAAGCTGTGCGTCACGTCGGGCCCGAACTGGCAGCCCACGCCGCGCTTGGACGGCGAGCGCCCCGCCTGCGGCTGCGGGTCCGACCACAGCAGCTCGCACATTATACCTGCAAATTTTATTTAACTACTAGCTGTTCGCGTGCGGCTTCATTCGCATCAAATTATAAATTTACGAGCTGTTGCCCGCGACTTCGCCCGCGTGGTATTAGAAAATACACGAACTATACAAATTACAAAAAGCTACGTATCCCTCGGGAACCGGACATTTCTCGGGGATGAAGCTTATCCCATGTGTACTCCAGACTTTGTTTTATATCTGTGCCAAATTTCAATAAGATATATTAAACCGTTGCAGAATGATCGAGTAAACATTAAAAAACTAAATTAATGAATCCCAGGGGAACCGTAACTATTCCCGGGATAAAAAGTAGCCTATGTGTTCTTCCAGACTATGCTCTAAACCTGTGCCAAATTTTATGGAGATCCGTTCAGCCGTTTAGGCTACAAACGCTAACAAACATCCATCCATCCATGCATCCATCTAAACTTTCGCATTTATAATATTAGTAAGAAGTAAGAAGTAAGATTGTTTTGCATTTGTCAAATTCTCAATTGCAAATGTCAAAATACCTACTACCTTACTATGGTAATCTTGCTTCCTTGATGTTGGCAGCAACTTATGGCCTCTTTCTCACATTAGGTTTTTTATCTAAAATATTTACCCCCTAAATTTAATGGCGTGAAAATAACCTAAAGCATGACGTAAGTGTAGGGCTTTTTGTTAAAAAAAGAATTATTCAAAAATATGCTGTGATTGCTGACATCTTAGGCAACAAAGAAGTGTGTGTTTACGCTTTATTATAATAGTATAGACTAGATTTCACCATTCCGCGTGGATTAAAAAAACAAAAGTAAGTAGCCTATGTGTTCTTCCAGACTGTTACGTATCTATGAAAAATTTCATCAAAATCTGTTAACCGTTTAGGCGGCAAATTCTAACAAACATCCATCCATCCAAACTTTCGCATTTATAATATTAGTAGGATAAAGCGTAAACACACACTATGTGGCGTAGGATGTCAGCAATCACAGCAGTTTTGAATAAATATTTCTTTAATAAAAACCCCTAAACTTACGACTTTAGGCTATATATTCTCATGCTATTAAACTTAGGGGGTTAAAATTGGAAAAAACCTTGTGGGAATGGAATCAAACTACAAGATGCCAACATCAAGAAATAAGGTTATTATGGTAACGGTAATTTTGACATTTGCAATTGACACTTTGACAAATGTAAACAACAAAATGAAGTTTTTATAATGAGACCGCACGGCATTTACTTTAACAATTTTTTAATACTCACCATCTTCCGGTGGCTGTTTATTTCTATCCACGTTCCTTATATCTTCGAGTGTGACGTCATCGCTGGAGAACAGTCCCCCGTGCATCACCAGCACCCTGCCGTTGATGCAGTGAGCCAGCGGGAGCCAGTTGTACACCTCCGTGAACAGATCAGCCATCTGTGCGGTGTACTTGAATGTAACCTCGCCACGGAAACCGTACATACGGTTCATATCTAAAGATTCATGGTTACCTGGAATGTATGAAAATTGTCTTAAAAAAAACTACCTGGAATGTATGAAAATTGTCTTAAAAAAAATTACAAAAAATTTAGCCTGTGGAAATTTTTTAGCAATCTTACTAATATAAATGCGAAAGTTTAGATGGATGGATGTTTGTTATGTATCTTTACAACTGCTTACGGATTTCTACGAAATTTACCAGTCTACAAAACATAGGGTATTAATTTATTTTTAATTCTATGCGAACGGAGTCGCGGGTCACAGCTAGTGTTTTATATCTTATGTTACAAAGTAAAAACAGCATTTATGCTAAAAAAAACTAGTTAAAAAGTATAATAGTTCTAAGTTTTCATTAAACATATAAATCTTTACCCTTGAAATTACTGTAAAATGGCTGAGTATTGGTAAAATGTTACTTTAAAAAACCCATTTTTAATTTAAAACATTTTCGCATCTAAGTAGTTTTAAAAAACAGTCTTACAATGCTAAAAAAAACAACTATTACAAAGAATGAATTACCAAAAAGCCCCAAAATATTACCAAACAGTTATCAAAACTAAAAAAAAATTACCAACTCACCTCTCGACATGAAAAAGTGGTTGGGGTATAAAAGTTTAAAACTAAACAGTGTAAATATGCATTCAACACTGAACGATCCTCGGTCAACAAAGTCTCCATTGAACAAATAAGGATTCTCTTCCGAAGGTAGTCCGTTTAACTTGAATATATTCATAAGATCATAAAACTGTCCATGAATATCTCCACATACTGTGAACTTTTTGTCATCAGGCACTTTTATATCAACAAGAGTTGGCTGATTGCTTAAATATTGTTTCACATCAATAAGGATCTGAAAAAAAAAGATTTAAACTTAATACAGGAGAACCTCGATAAGTTAAAGTCCAAGGGAAACACAAAATATTTTAAGTTATAGAGGTTTTAAGTTATCAAGGGTCTATGTTATAGAGGTTTTGGGCTCTGAGGGGAAGGGAACATATTATTTTTTGAAGTTATAGAGGTTTTAAGTTATCAAGGGTCTATGTTATTGAGGTTTTGGGCTCTGAGGGGAAAGGAACATATTATTTTTTGAAGTTATAGAGGTTTTAAGGGTATCGAGGTTCTATGGTACATGTGATTTTAAGCACTGAGTATTAAAATAAACTATTCAATAACAATATTTTTGATTAAAAGACAAGAGACCAAATGGCCACTTTATTCATTCAAAGTAGTGAATAGATCACTGCCCATAGTTACATTTGCAGTGAATTGTTTATCTTTACTCTACATATAGGACAGCAACAGTATATATCGCATTCTTATATGTCCCTTCCTCTGTCAAATCACCTCCCCTTTCCATATATCACTTACAATGAAAAAAACTGTATATCTGGACTAAATAGAATAAAAATGCCTTAAAAACTACACAATATTGAATACTATATAATTTGACAGATAAAGCACTTTTTAAACACTAGTTTATACCCGTGACTTCATCCGCGTGGAATTAAAAAGACTTATTAAGTAGCCTTTGTGTTCTATGATCTACATTAGGGCCAAATTTCATTAAGATCTCTGGCTGTTATGGAGATAAATGGTTTTTTTTTTATAACATAAGATGGCAAACGAGCAAGCGGCCACCTGAATCCGCCAAAATGGCGAAGCGACCGCTGCCCATAGACATCTGCAATTGCAGATGCGTCGCCTACCCTTATCCGACAGAGGAGGAGACGCACATAATGAGGATATTTCCTCTTCCTATGCATCTCCTCCATCGTCTAATCCACTTCCCCTTTCCATCCTCTCATAAGAAAAGGGTGGTAAAGAGAAAGGGACTTAAATTAGGCCTCCGGCACCACACTCATCAGACGAAACACGGCATTGGTTCCATTTCACGCCTGTCTTCTGTGTGGTCGTGGTATTACACCGGACGTGCCAGCCCTAGTGCTAAGATGTTAAAGCGGGCACTACCACTACCACTGTAATAAACATCCATTCATCCATTCGCATTATTAGTAAAATGAGAGTATGGCATATCATAATCCCTTTTAGAATTTCCGTAAAAACAGACACAAGAATAAATATCCAAATAAACATTAAGACAATTTACCTTATAAGCATATTTCTTATGTAGATGTTTTTCTTGTTTGTAATGTTCAATTAAATCTTTAATAAATTTAACAGTTACTTTGCCGTCTTCCAACATTGGTCCTTCATATTCATCTTCAATTGCTGCAAATATACACATATAATAATCACTAGCTGTTCCCATGCGACTTCTCCCGCATGAATTTATAAAAAATCATTTTATTGTTTACATTTGTCAAATTATCAATTGCAAATGTCAAACCGTGGCAACCTTGCTTCCTTAATGTTGGCAACAACTTATGGTCTCTTTCCCACATTAGGGTTTTTATCCAAAACATTTCCTAAGTTTAACGGCGCGAAAATATATAGCCTAAAGTGTGACGTAAGTGTAGGGCTTTTTATTAAAGTGTTATTCGAAAATATGCTGATTGCTGACATCTTTGGCAAGAAAGAAGTGTGCGTTTATGCTTTATTATAATAGTAAAGATTGTGTGGTACATGTGCCCTCACAATTGTTCCGAGGGGGGCATCATTGTCGGGTGTTGGGAGGGGTTTATCATCTGACTCCTTCCTATGTGTCGAGTCCCTTGCATGGTGGCTCCCCCTTGCCGGGTCGTGGATAAACTAACGTAGACAGACAGAAAGCTAGTTTATAATTTTAGTAAGATAAAATAAAGACTTACTCATAGCATCTAAGTTGATAGAGTCGGCTATGTTCACTTCCTTCTTGTCAACGGCTATTGCTTTTTCAAATGCAATTTTCTTAACAATCTTATTACATTCATTATATTTCATCTTAGCATCCTGGTCATTTGGCCTAACTTTGGTTACCTGTGAATAAAAAAAAATTGAGAAAATCATTAGCCCCTTTTTCCACTAAACCAATTTAAACCAGAGCTATACAAGTGAAGATAGTTAATTTGTGGAAAACAATATTCTTCATAACAAATAAATCTTTTTTAATTTTAATATCCGGTTTATTTATAACATAAAACTAGTATTTAAATTTAATTATTTTCCTTATATTGGAATATAACTGAAATGCTACATATAGAAGGAAAAACTGTTTAAAGTAAACTATGTACTAAATAAATAAATAAGTACTTTATCTATACTTAATATTATAAAGAGGAAAGAGTTGTAGTTGTATGTTTTGTAATAACTCAAAAAGTACTGGGCCGATTTCAAAAAATCTTTCATCATTAGAAAGACAATTTATCTGTGACTAACATAGGCTATATGTTTTATTATCTTTTAATGTCACACAGATGAAGTGGTGAGAAACAGCTAGTGTTTCATAAGTTGATAAAATAATATTTAAATCCAATACGACCAGATAAACTCGGACAGCAAATGTATTTTAGATAAGTTGTAAAACTCCAAGCAACTATACTTATTGGTTAATAATTTCACATTTTACAACATACATATAATATATATTATTTAATGAATATTTGAAAGGTCTGATAATATATTTTATATGTGATTCAAACCCATGTTATTTTAAGTCATCTAAAGACAATTTTTTCACTTTAAATTTTATTGTATCAAAGAAAAACATAATTTAATGTTAATAGATTTATCAAATCTAGATAAGATAATACAAAAGGCAAAGTATGGTATCCTTTTGAAATACCTTGGCAACTCAAGGTCATTGGTGCACTACATCGGGTCCTTTACCTGTATGTTACACCTAAAATATTGTTCTGCAAGACTCTGAATGACTTATGTGAAGTTAAGTACAATTTTAGAAGTTACAAAGGTATATTGATTCTTAGTCATATACCTTAATTAATAAAATACTAGCTTACGCCCGCGACTCCTGCCGCATAGTACGAAAAAGTAAGTAACCTATGTGTTCTTCCAGACTATCCTCTACATCTATACCAAATTTCATCGAGATCCATTCAACGGTTTAGGCTACAAACTCTAACAAAACATCGATTCATCTAAACTTTCGCATTTATGATATTAGTATGATTAAGGTCCAAGTACATAAAGGTTCAGCGTATATTCAAAACTCGGGTAAATAAGAAAAATTTACATATAATTGTGAAATTTTATCAAGTTAGGTTAGTAGTTTAGTATCCCTGACTCATATGGTGATAAAATATTATGATACTTACAAATTCAAAATCCTTAAGGGCTAATTTGTACTTTCCTAAAGACATGTGAGCAGCCGCTCGCCTATAATAGGCCTTAGTATAATTTTTATCCAAATCTATTGCCATGGATGCATCGACGAGCGCGTACCCAAAGTTTTCCAATCTTAAATTAGCTATGCTCCTATTTGCGAAGAAAACCGCATTATTCGGGTTCTTCTCTATTGCTTTTGTATATAATTCGATAGCAGCATCGTAGCTCTGCTCTGAAAATTGAGGTTAGGTTATCGCATACTTTTTTATCTTGTCAAAGTTATCACATATCCGCTGTAATATAAACTTTTAATTATTTACGTAATTTAATATGGTTATTTTTCAGAATTAAACTTACTTTTAAAGAATTCATTAGCTTCATTTTTCAATTTTTCTGCTGCCTCTATATCCTCTTGAGATACTGGCCCGGTTACTTCAGCGTTTGTAGCCATATTTTAATCAATTAAATTAATAATAAAATTAAAGCAGTTTACAATTACATTAATCAATCATCGATAATTAACGTGATTTTCTTAATAGGCATAAAATGTAATCCGTAATTCATGAAAATTTAAGTAATGAATGATGAACGAATTTGTGGATGACTGATAAAATGAGTGCTGCCATAATTTTGAGTGTTTAGCGCAGATAAAAAACAATTAGAATAGTTTTCTTTTAACTTGCAAAGTTCTTTAAAGATGTAATTATTAGATAACATTCAGTTAAAATGTTAATTTGGGGAAGAACACATTTAAAAAATTATAACAGAGCCCTTAACATAATTGAGTAGTATTTTTTTCATTAGTAGAAAGCATGACAATGTTTTAAAAACAAAACTGGCTATGAGTCGTTTTAGATAAGACATCAGAGATGGCGCTTGTCCGATATTTCTATTATCATTATAGTAGTGCACCTATAAGCAAAAAAAAATACTCTAATAACTGCAATAAATTCACAGGCGACCAGCCGTAAAAAATAATCTTAAACGTTTTCCAACATGGTGAGTAGGATAAGGCCAAGGACGTCTCCCTTATTTCGTTCATGTTAGCTTACTAGTATTTCATTGTATTTTTTTATTTTATAAGATGGCAAACGATTGAACGGTCACATGAATTCACATAGAAATAGAAGCGTTCGCTGCCCATACATAGACATTCGAAATCGTAGATCGTGGCCTACCATTAAAAAATGGAGGAGGAGACGCACATAAAGAGGATATTTCCTCTTTCCCTTCTCATCCTTTCCGTAGAAAATGGTGGGAAAGGAAAGGGACTAATATTAGGCCTCCGGCACCATTCATCGGGGAAAACACGGAATTACTTCCACTTCACGCCTGTCTTCTATGTGGTCGTAGTATTGCTGGGGGCGAGCCGGCCCATTCGTGCGAAGATGTTAAATCGGGCTCTTACATTGCGATATTATTTGTGATGATAGCTAGTAAAATTAAAAAAAAAATACTTTGATATCGTTTCATTTGCCAGTATTATACTAGAGTAAAAAATCAGCACATATATACCAGGAACTAACAACATTGAAGATAAAATAAAATGCAATTTACAAATAAAAATTTATTTCCTTACAAAAAATAATGCAAATATAAATTAAATTACTACTTAAAATACAAATATAAGGTTACTTATACAAACATCTGTAAAACGACGCAAACAAGCATCACAATAATACTGCTTTTGACTAATATAGCCGAGCTGGGTTCTTCGCAGTCATCGTTCTGTTGGACTTGTACGAAGTATGGTTGGTGTAGTTCCTCTCTAGTTGTCATGTACTCGTTGATGGCGGTCGTGCCAGCCGCTGGCATCACCCTGGCACGACTTAATTTCCATACACCCACTGGAAACACAAAATTAAGTGTAAAGGATTTGCGAGCTTCGATTGAAACAGTTTTAACGCGTTTAAATCGGCAAATTTTTTTTATTTTTTCACACCCTGTGCATTTTTTTTCCATTAGAAATGAGATATCTACAAGGTGTTTTAGAGTTAGGTTTCGCATTCGTTGTTAAGAGACTTTAAAGTGATAATTGCAATGTAGTAATGGTAGTGAGATTTCGAAATAATAATATAGAATGAATTCATATTACCAACTTTTACAGACACGTTTAACCTAAAGTTGTTATTTTCAAAATGACCTATCTATTTACACAGATCAGTGAAAATGAATTTTGTGACGATTTCGAAGTGATTGTACTTCATTAGCGTTCAGTCTTTTATCTCATACTAGCTGTTCCCGTGCGACTTCATCCGCATCAAATCGTAAAAATGTTATTTCATTGTTTACATTTGTCAAATTACAAATGTCAAAATGACATGATGACAACCTTGCTTCCTTGATGTTGGCAGCAACTTATGGTCTCTTTCCCACATTAGGGTTTTTATTTCAAATATTTACCCCCTTAGTTTAATGGCGTTAAAATATATAGTCTAAAGCGTGACGCAAGTGTAGGGCTTGTTATTAAAAAAAAGAATTATTCAGAAATATGCTGTAATAGCTGACATCTTAGGCAACAAAGAAGTGTGTGTTTACGCTTTATTAGAATAGTATAGAGTCCACATGTGTTTTTAGTGTTGCTATCTACAAATTAAAAACTTACCAGATCTCTGGAACTGATTGACGTTGACGCAGCTGTACGCTAGAGAATAGGATACATAGTCTGTGGTGAGCACGTACAGTCTTGTGGTCACTGTCGCTGCTGGGTCTAGAAGATAATGCATACGTTAGGTACAGAAATCTTATTACATTTAGCTGTAAATTTTGAGAATCTGATGAAATTAGATTATTAGGCCCTGTCCCACTACTGGCTGATAGAGGCTCAGATAGCTTTAAAATGACGTCACTGTCAGATAAGGTAACAAAATCCAATATTTTCATCACATATTTTACACGTTGGATTCATATCAGACAATTTACAATTTGGTGGGACAGACTCTTAATGTAATCTATGGTAATCTACTGATGTTTTTGTCTGGCTACCGTAAATATAGTAACAAAGACATCTTGGTAATTAGTACTACAGTAAGTGCAGGCGCAGTCTTTTGACTAAACTCTCGCACAACTGTTGTGCGATTGTCGATTGTTTCGCAAAACAATTGAACTATTTAGTTGCACAACTAAACGAGTAGTACCTCCATATAAGATCATAGCAATCAAAGCGAGACTAAACAGTTGTGCGATATTTTATTAGTTGTGTAGTAGTTGGAATGGTATAAAAAGGAAATCTACTAATCATACTAATATTATAAATGCGAAAGTTTACATGGATGGATGTTTGTTAGAGTTTGTAGCCTAAACGGCTGAACGGATTTCGATGAAATTTAGTATAGATGTAGAGGATAGTCTCGAAGAACACATAGGCTACTTACTTTTATTTTTTTTAATTCAACGCGGACGGAGTCGCGGGCGAAAACTAGTATTTTCATAAAAAAAATACAACTTACCATCACTCAATCTGTCTGGTAGTGTTACCACTAATCTGGCACTGCCATCTGTGGAGTTGATAGTCGCTGTCCCTTCGATGGTGTCAAGAACTCCTTCAACCACCTCCCAGTTGAGGAGCGTCACGACGCCGGTGGCCTCGTTCAATGTGTAGCGAGCGCCAGTGCAGCCCCCCACCTCATGGAATTGTGGATACCGCTCTATTTGGTACCACGTACCGGTGTACTGTTGGGAAATTATTTTTTTATGGTTACCATATTCATAATGGACAAGGAGAGGATATCGTTGACTGGACGCGTTAGAATATTGCGTAATGTGAATTTGCATGTTACTATCCACTTGGAGTGGTAAGAACTTGTGCTTAAATCTATTCTATCTATACTGTTAGGAACAAAATTAGTACCGTGCTATAGAATTAGCGCAACTCTACATTATCGGCATAAACGTCACATCCCTAGCTGACAGCTGTCAATGTCACTAGAAGTATGGATAGATTGGCGCGCAACCTGGGTCTGGACGAGAAGTGTTGCTCTGAGTTTAAAGCGACAGTATCAATAAAATAAGTTGTCTAAAAATACATATATTGTAATAAAATTATAGTGTCTGTAATATCAAAAGAGAAATTACAGATTTCGCGAAGAGAGTGTATTTGCGTTATAAGTAGCATAAACTGCTTGTAATTTTTTTCCTATTTGTCTGTCCCCAAGTTTGTTTCGAGTAAACTCCGAATCGGCCTGGCCGATTTTGACGGAGCTTTATATGTAGGTAGCTGACATGGATGGGCATGTAATAGGCTACTTTTTTTTACTATTTAAACTGCTAGGTAGATGAATGCACGCGGGAATGTTACAGAAGACCATTTTTTAATTCTTCACTAACGAAGTTTGCGGGCGACAGGTCTTTTAAATAAAATTGTGTAATTGTAGAACTTTATCAAAATACAAACCTGTGCGGGATCGAAGTTCATAACCGCGGGTATGTTCAAATCACATTGACCAGGTAAGATGACCTGTCGTCCAGTCTGCACGGGGTAGTGGAAGCAGGCATTGTCAGTCTGGTTCACTGGCAGGTAGAACTGCGGGTACAAGACGCGGTTGAAAGCAATGACTGGAGCCATCGCGTTCTGAGCTGCTTGTGTCAGTTGCCGGGACTTGCTGTGTTTGGCACTCCATACTGGAAATAAGGAGGATTTTTATACATTTTACTATTATGAATGCGAAAATTTAGATGGATGGATGTTTATTAAAATTTATAGCCTATATTGCTGAACGGCCTAATTTTAGTTCCTTTCCCTTTCCACCCTTTTCTTGAGAGGAAAGGATGAGAAGGAAAAGTGGATTTGATCGTCAAGGAGACGCATAGGAAGGGAAAATTTCCTCTGTGTGCGTTTCCTCCTCCGTCAATGAAGGATAGGCAGCGCATCTGCAATTGCGGATGTTTATGTGCAGCGGTCGCTTTCCATTTTAGTGGATTCAGGTGGCCGCTTGCTCGTTTGCCACCTTATATTAAAAAAAAAAAAATCGGATCTCGGTGAAATTTGCCTCAGATTTAGAAGATAGTCTGGAAGAACACATAGACTACTTAGATTTTTTTTTATTCCACGAGAAAGAATTCGCGGGCGACAACTAGTTATTTAATGAGTACAAGAGAAATCTGCATTGACAACACTTCTTTTTCGCAAAAGAACCAAAAAATGGACAATGGACACCAAAAGTTTTGAAAACAACTACGATGACGTCATTAAAATAAATTAATACGTACCACGTCTATATTCTGCATTAATATTTTCACACGAATACAGGAGAGAGTATGTCTCGTAATCAGTAGCCAGCACCCACATATCTGTAAGAGAAATATGAAGATTAGCAGATACATTTTTGTGTAAATCTGTTCCATTGTTATACTGTGGATTTTCTATTAAACTTGTTTATCCAATTGTTTACTTACCAATAACACGTCCGTTGCTTAGAGTCTTTCTAAGTCTGCCGTTATTGGTAACAGTGATCGTGCTGGTGTTCACAACTGCGCTGTCACCAAACACGTTTGTGTCGACAACTTGGAACTGGTTCCCGGAGGAACTGAACACGGAACTGATGCAATCTCCGAGAGTGTCATCAGATGGATAACGTTCGATTTCATGCCACCAGCCCAAGTACTGAAAATAGAAGAAGTTTGAAAACGACTAGAATTAAAGTTAAATGTTGTTACAAAGTATTGACCATACGATTCCCGAAGGTAGGTACTCCTAGAAGGCTTTTTAAAATCTATACTAATATTTAAAACAGTAAAGATTTGTATTTTTGGATTCTTGTATGTATTAAAAAAAAACATACAGACGAATTGAGTACATCCTTCCTTTTGGAAGTCGGTCAAAAATACACAAAAACTACTGGGCGGATTTCAAAATTCTTTGACCATTAGAAAGAATTTCGTAAGACTTTCTTAACGTAAGACTATTTCTTTTTTAAATCCACATGGACAAAGTCGCGAACATCTAGTTATAAATAAACCAGCGCTTGACAATCCCACCTAGATTTAAATGGAGATGTGATCAAAGAGTAGTACAGGTTAGCTTCAATCAGTCAATCTTATTAAATTTTGAATAACAATTACGTATCTATACTTATATTATGAAGGGAAAAGATTTGTATTTTTGTATGTATTGAAATTACTCTAAAACTAATTGCCAATTTAAAAAATCACCAATAGAGAGCTACGTTATTTAATTACACGCGGGTGAAGTCGCTAGCAACAGTTATAGAAAATATATGCAGTAAATTCGTAAAAATAAGCATTTGTCTCAATAAGCTTAGTACAAAGGAAAGACCACAAAATGAGAAGACGACTGAAAATAATTATGGATGGATTGTGTGAAAGAGGATATGCTTAAGAAAGAAGTGGTTTCAGATATGACGGCTGATAGAGATGTATAGAAGAGCAGCACATACTGCGACCCTACATAAGGGATAAGGGCAAGTTGATGATGAAGCTTAGTATAAAGTAGTAGATTATGCCTTATAATCTATTTTTGGTGCTGTGAATTACAATTTATTTGTCTGTTTTCGCTCCAACTATTTTGTGAATACTTTTGCATCTTACCCTTTGCATATCAAATCCTTGAACACCAACAATATCCTCACATTGTCCTCTGAACGTCGGAGCCATGTTGGGGAACACATCGGGTATGTAGAAACAAGCCTCTTCACTTTGATCAGTGGTCATATAATAATCATTCAAAAGACCTTCTGTATTATTTACTATATTGTTAATTACGTTATTGGCTTCGTTACTCAAAGTTGTAGTTCTGCTAAGCTTCCAACTGTGCACTGGAATTGAGAAAATTCAGATTTAAGGCAATGTTCTTTAAAAAACATCTTAGATATTTTTAGAATGGATGAGACAGCATTAGATTGAAGAGAAAGCGTACAGTTAGCAAATCTTTGTCTATCTATACTATTATAATAAAGCGTAAACACACACTTCTTTGTTGCCTAAGATGTCAGAAATTACAGCATATTTTTGAATAATACTTTTTTTAATAAAAAGCCTTACACTTACGACACGATTAAGGCTATATATTTTCACGCTATCAAACTTAGTTTAAAACGTAAATATTTTGGATAAAACCGTCAAATGGGAAAAGGACCATAAACTACAAGCTGCCAACATCAAAGAAGCAAGGTTATTATGGTAACGGTAATTTTGACATTTGTAATTAAAAAATTGACAAATGTAATCATACCTTGTCTTCTATTATTAGCTATGTTTTGGCAGCTGTAAAGAAGGGCGTAGTTTGTGTAGTCAGTTTCCAGCACGTAAAGAGTCGCTACATTTACATCTGAAACAAAGAATGTATCAATTAAAAAACTGTCACTTCATATAGAAATCTGTAAAACTTAAAAGTGAAGTTACGATCCGGTTAAGTTGGTGTTAAAGTTAGAATTCCGTACCAATCGTATTTTCTTCTAAAATAGGAAATTTTAAATAATTTGCTTGATGTAATTAGTTACCAAAGAGGTAACAGTTTAATTTGAAATTAGTAGTTTTCAAACAACTGGAGTATTTTTTTGGTGGTTGATTTTTGGTGTTTTTTTACACATTTTTTTAAATTACTCACCACCATTAGGCAATCTGAACGTAACAGTAACTACTCCGCTGCCATCAGTTGAGGTTACAAAAGCCTCGCCGATGATAGTGTCCAAAGTTTGATTGATGACTTGAGAATTGATGACCTCAAAGCTGTTGTCTATGAGATCGTAGAACGGTCTGTTGCATTGACCACGTTGCGATGTTTGCGGGTAACGAGCGATCTCTATCCATCTTCCAGCGAACTGTAGGGTAAAGATGTGATAAACTATTAAATAAAAGCTTTCGCCCGTGACTCCGTGCGGAATTAAAAAAAAAGTAGCTTATGTGTTCTTCCAGACTTTCTTCTACATTTATGCCAAATTTCATCGATATCCGTCCAGTCGTTTAGTCTACAAACTTTAACGAACATCTAATCTCCTATAGACTAACTATTTCTAACAAACATTCATCCATCCAAACTTTCGCATATATAATATTAGGAAGATTCTTTTATTTAAATCTAAGAATATTGTCAACACAGTACTTTTAGTAGTTCCTCTTTTATTTCGTGCCTGTTTAAAATGCAAAATTTGATATAGTTTCAATACCAAGACGATTTCTATAATTTTTGTGTACAGTTTTGAGTTTTGTGCATCATTGTAATGTAAGTAAGGATTCAGATAATTCGACAAAGGTATCTTCTACTACGATCGTTTAAATATCAAAATTATTTACTCACACTGGCAGTATTAAAGTTGGCTTTAGCACGAATAGTTTGATCGCAAGGTCCTGGCAACAATATAGCTGGAGGCATCTCGTCGAACACCGGATAGTGGAAACAAGCTGCGTTACTCTGGTCGCTGCTCTCGTAGTAGTTCTCGAACAAATCGGTTGTATTACTAACAACTTGGTTTATACTGTTGTTGGCAGATTGCGATAATCCCGCCTGAGATCTGCTTAATTTCCAACTGTATACTGGAATTTGCAAAAATAAAGATACACGGTTTAAAACAAAATTGAATATTAAGTGCTGGAAGACGAGCTTTTTAGTAATTATTAAATTATTTACAAAGAAACTATTAATGCTAGCTTTCGCCTACGAATCCATCTGAATATTGTTAAAAACACACAAAAGTAAGTAGCCTATATATTCTTTCAAATTGCTATCTATGCTAAATTACATCGAGGTCCGTTCAGTTTGAGCTATAAACTCTAACAAATATCCATTCATCTAAACTTTCTCATTTAACATCATCTCGCGTATCTTTTTCTACTCCCGTAGGGTCGGCTCCGGGTTTTTGTCCTTCAAATAACTATCATCCGTCATCTCAGTCACTCCTTCTTGATCATGTCACCTTTCACGCAATCCATCCATCTCTTTCTAGGTCTACCTCTACCGGTGTATCCACATTCATAGCTAACGTCTTTCTTGTTACATACGATTCATCCCTCATAACATGCATCTTACTTTTTACTAATCTTACTAATATTATAAATGCGAAAGTTTAGATGGATGGATGTTTGTTAGCGTTTGCCTAAACGGCTGAACGGATCTCCATGAAATTTGGCACACACAGCATAGTCTGGAAGAACTCATAGGCTAACTTTTTATCCCGGGAATAGTTACGGTTCCTGAGGGATACGTAGCTTTTTGTTATTTATATCGTTCGTATGTTTTCTAATACCATGAAAGACGAACACGTCGTCGACGACGACGAAGACGACGAAGTCGCGGACAACAGCTAGTTTATAATATTAGTAAGATCATATAGACATCAATATACTTACTTTGCTTAGATTGATTTCCGAGGTTCCTGCAGGTAAATAGCAAAGCGTAGTCAGTATAATCCGTTGCCAGGACGTAGATGGTAGCATCGAAGGAAGCTAAAAAAAAATAGTTATTAAAACATGTTCCAAATATAAGTATTTATATAAATCCAGTTGTGACAAGACGTAATGTTCGTTAAAAGTTATAGAAGCTAGTATCGTATAGTTGCAAATAGAAATTTTTAGATATTTATGTCCCACTTCTGGCTGATAGATGCTTAGATAGCTTAATAATTGCTGTCAGATGGTAACAAAATCCGTTATATCTATCACATATTATACATGTATTTTGTGATGGATTGTCAGACAATTTACTATTTGATGGGACAGGTAATAAATCTCGGATTATTTTCAATCTTACTTCCTGTAGTATCGGTGAGTGTAGCGTTCAGAACACCTCTCCCGTCTGCAGAAATTGTAGCTCTAACATTGATTGTATTAAGCCTCTCATTGTCTACGTAAGTTTCATTGATCGTTAAAGTATTCAAACTGCTGGTAATTGTCTTTGCTGCACATTCTCCTCTTTGCAGTTCTGATGGGAATCTCGCAGCCTCAAACCATGTTCCGCTGAACTGAAAGAGAAGCGATATTATGAATACTTGAATGTTTCTCTGTTTCCATTATTTCTACTACTTTTACTTTCTAAGATTGTTATTGAAATATTAACAGTAATACATTGTGATGCTTTTGATTGAAAATTTATTTTAACATTGGTAGATTTCGTTTGTCTCGTCATAAAATGTAGTGTTAAGAACCTTTTGAAATGCAACCAAATCTAATGACTAACGGTTTCAATGATTTTCCAAATTATTTATACTATTGATCATTAGGATTTGGTTTATTTTTTCATAATTATTTTGAAAATCACTGAAACCATAATAGTAAAATTTCTAACTGAACAAAAGTTGACATTTTTATGGTTATTTAGAATTATACTAACGATTTTAGTAATTCAGATATGATATACAGATGAAATGTAAATTAGCAATAAGAAAATCGTAAATGGTAGTTGAGAATTCCCACCCAAAGTCCAACAAAGGAAACAGGATGGCGTTAAACCGCTAAATACAAATCAATTGACTTTCTCTTTCCTACTTATTTCTTTTTCTTGGGGCCTTCAAGATTGAACAATATTGAGATGACGCGTACCATCTTTCGAACAAAAAAAAAATGATACTAACAGCGTTAACATTGAAGTCAGTAACAGGGTTCTGTTCCTCACAAACTCCGTTCAGTATGACAGGTCCACCATTGTTCTCAGGGTAATAGAAGCAATCGTCTTCAGTATGACCTCTTGAGACGTAGTAATCATTGCTTAGTACTGGTATAGTTGTTATCACGTTGTTGATGGCTTGTTCTGCTGCCGTTGTGAGGTTCGTCTGTCTACTTAACTTCCAGCTGGAAACTATTGTAAGATACTAAGATTAGCATACTTATTACAACTTTAACTCCGTCCACGTGATATTAAAAAAAATTAGGTAGCTTTTATTCTTACAGACTATACTCTACTATGTCGTCGAGATCCGTTTAGCTATTTAGGCTACATATTTTTACAAACATCCATCTATCTAAACTTTCGCATTTATAACATTAGTAAGATAATATGTAAGTTTGGATGGATAGATGGATGTTAGAGTTTGTAGTATAAGCGCTTCTTCGATATGGCATAGAGGTAGAAGATAGGCTGGAAGAACACATAGGCTACTTTTATATTACACGCAGACGCGGGCGAATGCTAGTTAGATCGTTTTTCTAACATGGAATGTTTACTCAAATCATTAATTTGGATAAATTGTTGATAAACTTTCCTTTGATTTTGCTGGATTACTAGCAGAATACATTATATATTGAAAATTATGCAAAAAACACAATTTATAGCCCCGCAAAACCATTTAATTGGTTTGTCCGCGGGTACGATGTAGTCATATTATGTAGAGTGTAGTAATACATAGTAATACATACCTCTACGGGATTCAGTGTTGATGTTGGAACAGGAGTACACCAAGGCAAATCCGGTGTAATCAGTTGATAATACCCAGTATGGAGTGCTGATAGTCGCTGGAATTAAAGAAATAGATACTTAGAAGTAATGTACAATTAAAAATTATATACCCTTACAATTTTTGATCGAATATTGCTAAATAAGAGCAGTAACTAAACGTATATCTTGCTATGAGTTTTAAACATTTATGAATAATACAAAATAATAAATGATGATGAATAGAAGACCTAGAAAGAGATGGATGGATTGCGTGAAAGGTGACATGATCAAGGGAGTGATGACTGAGATGACGGATGATAGAGTGCTTTGGAGGACGAAAACCCGGTGCGTCGACCCTACGGGAGTAGGATAAGGCAGGGAAGATGATGATGATGATGGAATGATGACAAATAATCTTACTTAACTTTGTGTAAATTGTAACTGTAAAATCGACTACTTTTGGTTGCCAAGGAAGACCAGCATATGTGCTGAGTGGTTTTTAAATAAATAAACATTGCGTTGTCCAATGGGTAGGAAATAACTCGTATGGCCTGATGATTTCTTACCATTGGTGCCAGCAATAGGGAATGTGACGGTGAACTTGGCTGAACCGTCGTTGGAGGCGGGTACAGCGACAGCAGTGATAGTGTCTAATTGCTGGTTGATGACTTGTGTGTTGAAGACGTCGACGCCGTTGGGTGTGAGGTTGTAAGTGGCGGTGGCGCAGGTACCGTCTTGGAACTCCTGAGGATAGCTCTCGATGTCGTACCAAAGACCCATATACTGAAATAAAAGAGCAATATTAAAGGAGTTCCAATATCTAAAATTAGAGAAAAAAAACACAGACTACGCTACTAATAATTGCTAGAGTAGCTTTTTAATTGTGAAAGAATTTTTCAAATATGTCCAGTAGTTTCTGACTTATTTGAATACATACAAAAAATACAAATCTTTCCTCTTTATAATATTATTATAGATAGCATTGCTGTTGCTCTCGACTTCGTCCACTTAAAATTAAAAAGATATAGACTATGTTACTGATAACTTAACTTTTTAATTATTCCAATACGTACAAAAAGTCCAAAAATACACTCTCCACTTTATAATATTAATTTAGATGACAAATATACATTTACGGATTTCCTTAGTAACATATTAGAAATGAACATTACCGCATTAAGATCGAAGTTGCGCACGACTGGTATGGTTTCATCGCACTGTCCTCTGAAGACGACTGGTCTGCCGTCAGGAGTTGGGTAGTAGAAGCAGCTGTTGTCAGTATGTTCTATCCTCTGGTAGTAGCGCTCATCGAGCACATTGATGCTGTTAACAGTATTGTTAATATTCCTTTCAGCATCAATTGACAATGATCTCGTACGACTGAGCTTCCAACTCCAAACTGAAATGATATTACAAACCGATATAACTATGGAGTAATATTTCTTGTAAGAATATTTTTTAAGAATCTTAATTATCCTAATCTTATTATTTTTAAGAATCTTTTTTATATTATGAGATGGCAAACGAGCAAGCGGCCACCTGAATATGCCAAAATGGCGAAGCGACCGCTGCCCATAGACAACCGCAATTGCAGATGCGTTGCCTACCCTTCATTGACGGAGGAGGAGACGCACATAAAGAGGATATTTCCCCTTCCTAAGCATTTTCTCCACCGTCAAATCTTCCCCTTCGCATACTCTCCTTATAAGAAAAGGGCGGTAAAGAGAAAGGGACTTAAATTAGGCCTCCGGCACTACTCATCAAACGAAACACGGAATTGCTTCCATTTGACGCCTGTCTTCTGTGTGGTCGTGGTATTACTGGGGGCGAGCCCTGCAGTGCTAAGATGTTAAAGCGGGCTCTACCACTCTCATTTAATAGTGGGGTTAGTTGACAAATCACCGATTTAAAGATTAATAATTGAACTCTTGTTAAGATCAATGCATATATATTGAAATCTTCCCTCATCAGATTTCCTGATAAAACCAAAACGGTTATATATTTAAAAACATGTCAAATTTCATTAAATGTTACTGACGTATACCTAATACATTCACTATTGAATTTGTGCAGAAAAAATAGGTATTTCTTTCAATTTGATGTAGCTACAGTCTTACCTCTTCGCCTTTCAGTATTAATATTTCGACAACTATAAACCAGTGCATATGTATCGTAGTCGGTATCCAAAATCCAATATTCCGAGGGTTGTGATGCTGAAACAAAATGCGAAGGTTAATTTACATTATTAAAGATACATATATGAACAAAAAATCTATTTTCCTAATATTCTTCTCTTGGATATGAGTCATTCGATTAGATTTGAAGAAGCATTGGAATAACTACTTAATTTACTACCCCATATGATTAAGATTATAAAGATGCCTTGTACTGGTATCGTGTAGATAACATCTTCCTAATACTAAAATGCTAGAGTCTATAGACAACATAGGATGGATGGACGTTCTCTATAAACCGAAGATCTAGATAAAATTTGGCTTAGAACTAGAGTTTGGAAAAACAGACTCACTTTTGCTCAATTGTTCAATTTGATCAATGCCTCGCGGACGGAATCGCCGGCAAAAGTTACTTTTAAGAATGAAGCTTTAATATTAATAAAAAAGAACTTACTGCCAGGGAAAGTAACAAGTAATTTTCCCGTATTATCGGTAGTCGCAAGTACTGCAGAGCCAGTCATCGTGTCCAAGGTCTGGTTGATGACTTGAGTGTTGAATACATCGACGGTGCCGTTCGGAGTCAAAGTGTAAGTAGCCTCGTTACAAGCTCCGCTTTGGAAGTCGGATTCATAAGTTTCTATGAGACGCCAACGTCCGGCGTACTAAAAAAACGAAATTAAAATGGTAAAGAATGATGGATTTTTATCTTAAAGTTATTTAAGTATGAAGTAAAGAAAGAAACATCTAGTAAATATAATAGTTTTGATTACAACGACTACAAATCGCGATTTAAAACAAAAGACAGAATTGAGATTAGAAAGAATAGTAGAAGTTACATTATCATATAGTTATAAATTTAAAACTATTGATGCCAACGAGGACGTACAAGATATTATCCAATAAAGAAGACTAAAACGGATTATTCCCAACCGTCACCCTGCGCTGTCCCCACGTGAGAATAAAAAGTTCAATCCGTCACACATTTTAATCCCACTATGATCAATAAGGTGACAGATGTAACCGTTATGAATTTAAATAAGTTCCAACCGTCCTTTCGTCGCACAAGGTAAGACGGATAAATCTTTATATTCTAATCTGTCTCCATGTGGGGACAGAGCGGGGTGACGGTTGGGAATAATCAACTAAAACTATTATATATAATTTTGGACCTAGATGTAAAAAGTCAAAACGAACGAACGTCGAAAGTCGACAAGTTTCTCGCTGGTAATTTTGTGAGTTTTGATAATCTGAGAGCTGAGATATTACGGATTTAATTATTTGATATTAGAAGTTACAGTGTGTTACTGGAAATGTTGATTTTTGTTTATAGTGATACTTACTCTAACAGGGTCAAAGTTCTGCACCACTGTGATGTTAGGGTCACATTGTCCAACAAACTCTACAGGGGATCCGGGAGATAGTTCAGGTAAGAAGAAGCAACCTTCATCGGATTGGTCTATGTCTTCGTAGTACTTGTTGTCTAATACCGGAATATTAGCAATGGTATTATTAATACTGGTATTAGCTACTACAGATAATTGCTTCGTTCTGCTGAGTTTCCAACTGTATACTGTAAATAATATGTATAATCTTACTAATATTATAAACATGAAAATTAGATGGATGTTTGTTAGAGTGTAGTCTTAACGGCTGAACGGATATCGATAAAACTAGGTATAGATATAGTTTTTTTTTAAATTCCAAGCGTTCAGAGTCGCGGGCCAAAGCTAGTTATTCAATAGTGATGATAAAGTATTGTATCTTTTTTTTTTTAATTTTGTATTAATATTAAACGAAGTAAAGTCATTGGCTCCTTTAATACAGGTAATAATACCTAGTAAAGGAGCCAAGGATATAAAATTAAACAAAATACAGAATTGTAAAAATTAAAAATATGAAATCTATTAAGAATTTTAAGTATACAAACCTGCTCTGAAGTCATTCCCTCTGTTGACGCAGCTGTACGCTAAAGCGTAATTATCGTAATCCGTGTTCAAAACCCAGAATGGAATTTGAATTGCTGAAACAAATGTTTTTTCAAATTACAAATATTTCGATCAAACTAAAAAACATTTGAAAATATGTCTATCAGGTTGTTCAGTGAGTTTTGTGATACACCCATACAAATATTATAAAGAGGAAAGATTTGTATTGAAATAACTTAAAAACTACTGGGCAGATTTAAATAAATCTTTCACCGTTAGAAAGATAATTTATCTGTGAGTAAGATAGATTATATTTCCTAATTGTAAGCGGACAAAGTCACGCGCAACAGCTAGTTCTGTCTATTATTAACATTTACAATGACATACTTTAAAATAATAATTAAGAAGAGAATGTAAACTTACATCCAGAAGCTTCTGTGAGAGTGATCAACAGTCTCCCGCTGCCATCAGTCGATGTCATACTAACAATGCTTTCGGACATGAACAATTCTTGTCCTTGAACGTTGAAAGATTCAAGATCCGCAGTACTGCTATTAATTTGTGAATATTGATGAATAACACATTGGCCTGTTTGTTGATCTTTAGGATACGCTTGGATTTCGAACCATCTTCCTTGGAACTGGAAAAAAAAATTAATCCTTTAAATTTTCCACTTCGGTTGTAAATTTTGTAAAACATAACTATGATTAGTTGATTATTTTATCCAGTAATAGCTTTCGCCCGCGACTCCGTCCGCGTAGAATTTAAAAAATCAAAAGTGAGTAGCCTATGTGTTCTTCCAGACTATCCTCTACATCTATGTCAAATTTCATCGAAATCCGTTAAGCAGTTTAGGCTACAAACTCCAACAAACATCGATCCATCTAGTATGATTAGTTACAGCTAGTAGTAGTCACCAATAGTCGCAATCTAATAATCTAACTAATATTATAAATGCGAAAGTTTAGATGGATGGATGTTTGTAGCCTAAACTGAAGAACGGATCTCGATGAAATTTAGCATAGATGTAGAGGATACTCTGGAAAAACACATAAGCTACACTTTTTTTTAATTCGATGCAGACGGAGTCGCGGTCTAAAACTAGTTCTATCATAATTCTAAATAATTTTTTATTATTTTCTATTGCTAATAGTGTAAAAAGTATAGTGGCTAAGTAAGACGTGTGCCACGTTTGACAAAACCATCGCACAACTGTTTAGTCTTGCTGTGATTCCTATGAGCTTATATGGAGGTACTACTCGATGTTTAGTTGAGAAAAACAGTTGAGCTGCGAAACAATCGACAATCGCACCACAGTTGTGCGATTGTCGATTGTTTTAAAGGCACGCTCTAAAAAAGACAATGTTCTGGTCTAAAACAATATTTTTTTTATAATATAAGGTGGCAAACGTGCAAGCGGCCACTTGAAACACCGAAATGGAAAGCGACCGCTGCACATAAACATCCGCAATTGCAGATGCGTTCCCTACCCTTTATTGACGGTAGAAGAGACGCACATACAGAGGACATTTCCCCTTCCTATGCGTCTTCACCTTCGAATCCACTTTTCCTTCCCATCATTTCTAAAGGGACTAAAATATTAAAAAAGTCTTTTTAATTTTTAAACAGTAATAACCTGAGTAAAGTTAAAGTTGGGAACAGCTTGTATAGTATTATCGCATTGTCCAGGGAACACGACAGGAACTCCCGGCTGTGGTTCGGGATAGTAGAAGCATCCTTCAGGGCTTTGGTCCGTGTTCTCGTAGTAGCGCGCGTCGAGCACCGGGACCGTGTTAATGACGTTGTTGATTATTGTGACTGCAGCTGCGGTTAATTGCTTCGTTCTACTGAGTTTCCAGCTGGCAACTGTATGACGTTAAATTAATAAAAAGAAATTAAAACTCAAGTTTTTTAAACTAGATGGCGCTATTTTTAATATTATAAATGCAAAAGTTTATATGGATGAATGTTAGATTTTATAGCGTAAACTGATAAACGGATTTTGATTAAATTTGCTATATCTGTAGAGGATAGTCTGGAAGAACATATAAGCTGTGCTGTAACTGCTTTTGTTTTATAATTCCACGCGAACGGATTCGCGGGCAAAATCTAGTACCGATATAAAAACCTTTCAGATCTTGCGCATTAAACTAGATGGCGCTATTTTTATTTTTTGTATTGCTAACTTTATGAGAAATAAATGTTTATTTCTAGGTTCTTGTGTTTTCTATAAAGATGATTTAAAGCCAAATAGAAATGGAATTATTAATATTAGAAGAAGATTTACCTTGTCTACGTTCTGCATCCAAATTGTAACATGTGTATACCAGAGCGTATGAAGAATAATCCGTACTGAGCACCCAGTAGTCAGTTGAGGTTGTTTCTATAAATAAATGTTTTTTTTAAATAGGACTACCACGCTAGATTTTTAATAGAAAAATAATAGTAGATTTATGTAATCTTACTAATATTGTAAATGCGAAAGATGGATGAATGTTTGTTAGAGTTTGCAGCCTAAAAGGCTAAACGGATCACGATGAAATTTGGTATAGATATAGAGGATAGTCTGGAAGAACATATAGACTACTTATTTTTGTTTTTTTAATTACACGCAGACAGAGTCGCGGGCGTAAGCTAATTTTCTAATATTACCTTTACCGTTTCAACTAAGCTCTATGCTTGTGTTAAGATATGGTTTACAAGTGAAAATGGGATTCGAACCTTTGTCTACAAGATTGATAGTCCTTTAACCATTAGACTATTAGACATTAAATCTTCCAAAATCATCTAATTATACTTACGATTTGTCCCAGCGATGGGGAAACTGACAACTATTTTTGCACTATTATTGGGGTCCGGTGTGAGAGTCGCTACTCCATTTATAGTGTCTAAAGTTTGGTTAATGACTTGAGTGTTGAAGACATCAACGACGCTTCCGTTCAACGTGTATAACGCGTTGCTGCAACTACCGCCTTGGAACAGGGACGGGTAAGATTCGATATCGTACCACAGACCCAAGTACTGAAAACATTTTAAAACGTAATTAATATTGAAACAATTATCAGAATCTATTGAATATAACTAGATTAATGTTCTGTTTATCTATACTAATATAATGAACGACTTCACTCGCGTGAAATTAAAAAATTAACAAAAATATAAATATAATTATAAATTAATATAAATATAAATTAATAAATATATAGCCTATGTTGGTCACAGATAAATTACCTATTCAATGGTGTAAGAATTTTTAAAATCGGCCCAGTAGTTCTTTAGTTATTTCAATATATACAAAAATACAAATCTTTCCTCTTTATAATTTTAATTAGGACTAGTGTTTAGGACATTTTCTTTTTGTCAATTGTAAATATTTTAATGATGTATAATTAATCTTATATGATTTAAATAAATAAATAAAATAAAAAAAATATAATCCAAAGATGTCTCCGAAGATTAAAGTTTATTATAACTATATAGCATTGATATCTCTTTATTCTCAGACTTTCAAAGTTTCATAACGATTTTATATGGTAATCTTACTTCTTACTAATATTATAAATGCGAAAGTTTAGATGGATGGATGTTTGTTAGCGTTTGTAGCCTAAACGGCTGAACGTATCTCCATGAAATTTGGCACAGGTTTAAAGCATAGTCTGGAAGATCACATAGGATACTTTTTACCCCGGGAATAATTACGGTTCCCGTGGGAATTATTAATTTAGTTTTTGAATGTTTACTCGATCATTCTGCAACGGTTCAACATATCTTATTGAAATTTGGCACAGATATAAAACAAAGTCTTCAGTACACATGGGATAAGCTTCATCCCCGAGAAATGTCCGATTCCCGAGGGATTTTGTAATTTATATAGATTGTATGTTTTCTAATACCACGCTGACGAAGTCGCGGGCAACAGCTCGTCTTTTATAAAGTTCTCTAGTCTTTAATTTTAACATCTAAATAAAATGAATCACTTACATCAGCTAGCCTGAAGTTAGTAACCACTGGTATGTTCATGTCGCACTGTCCTCGGAACACGACTGGCCTGTTCGGCGCTGGCGTGGGGAAGTAGAAACAAGCTGCGTCTGTCTGTGTGATTGCTTGATAGTAGCGCGGGTTTAGTACTTCTACTCTGTTTATTATTTGGTTAATAGCATTTGCTGAGGCCGCTGATAATTGTCTATCGCGACTTAACTTCCAACTCCACACTGAAAATAATTGATTAGTTTAATGCTGGGTTTCTGAAGTTTCCATTTATTTTATTACCTCGTGTCATTAGTGTCAGGTGGACAAAAGTTTGCTCAAAAAACGCATTGCGTGAAGTTATTGAAAACTCTAACGAATGATTAAATGTAGCTGGGAAACTGGGCATTAGAGATTTATTTATAAAAGCTGTTACAAAAGTTATAACAAAATAGTGGTCATGTTCATGGTTCCTACACTAGGCTCAAGGCCCGTCTTGTAGGTTCCGGTGTGTTCCTTGGAGATCCCGGAACTTTCGTCGATGTCACTAGAGGATGGCTACCGAGAGGGTTATAGTAGGTGAAATCCTTCATAACCCTGCCTTCCCCCCAGAAGGCAGGGTATCTTTTGAAGATTCCCCCCGACACCAAAAAAAAAGGCCCGTTTTGTAGACAGGGTTCTTTCGTCTTAGTGCTAGTTATTTAAGATATATAAAGTAATATAAATCTCAAGTACAATAAAATCTTGAGGGCCAGTCCCACCAAATTGTAAATTGTCTGATAATAATCCAACGTGTAATATATGTGTTGGAAATGTCGGATTTTGTTCCCTTATCAGCCAGTGGTAGGACAGGCCCTCTTTTGGGGCTGGATTTAAATTAGGTTATTTGTAAAGGATTGAAAAGTTTTATTTAGAGGTTAAGTTACCTCTCCTCTGCTGAGAGTTTATGTTTCTGCAACTGTAGACCAGAGCGTAGTTGGAGTAGTCAGTGTCCAAGATCCAGTATTCAGATGATTGTGGTGCTGTACACAGAAAACAATAATTATTCATCAACCAAATGTTACGCAGCAGTGTTATTTAATGAAATTATTCATTTGTTTCTGTGTTGATTCTTAATCGCGCACGAGTTCACTTTTGTTTTTCATTGATTTGATATTTTTAATCAGACAAACGAGCGTTCAACCACCTGAATACGCCGAAAAAGCCAAGCAATCGCTGCCTAAAGAGATCTGCAATTGCAAATGCATTGCACCCTTAAGCGGGGGATAAGGAGACGCACATAAAAAAGATATATCCCCTACTTTAGCGTTACCTCCACTGTCAAAACCACTTTATCTCCCCATCCTTCCTTTATTAGGAAAGTGCGGGAAGGGAATAGGTTTAAAATTAGGTCTCCAACATATACAGACTGTACGCGGAATTGCTTCCACTTCACGCCTGTTTGTGTGGTCGTTGTATTTCACCGAGCGAGCAGACCAATTGTATGTAGAATGGCTCTACCATAATTTATTTATTTGTTTTATTCTTTTTGGACAATTGTTGTGTGTTCGTTTTCATGTTAGTTCTGTGATATAATTACCATTAGGGAATGTGACAAGTAATTTTCCACTGCCGTCAGTAGTGGCTAGAACTGCAACGCCGTTTTCTGTTTGCAGTTGTTGGTTCACGACTTGAGTGTTTATGACGTCCACAGTCAAGTTGGGAGTCAACATGTAGTTAGCTTCGTTACAAGTTCCAGCTTGGAAATCTGATTGGTATGTTTCGATCATACGCCATCTGCCTTGGTACTGGAAATATATCAAATTGATTTGAGTGTAAGTATTTCTTTAGATGCAAATTACAATTGTAATAATATCTTGTGTTCTTTGGTTTATTTTGATTACAAAGTGAACATATTTATTTATTTATTTAATTCTTTGTGCCCAACAATTACTAAACATATATTTAAACTATGATAATACAAAATTTGTTCAAGGGCGGCCTTGTTGACATAAGCAACTCTACAGGCAACGTAGTTATGTAAGAAATTACTAAGAAATGTTAAAGAAGTAGATATTGGATAAATTTATATTTGAGTAGCTTTTGCTCGCAAAAAAACAAATAACCTATGTTATTCACAGATAAATTACCTTTCTAATGGTGAAAGATTTTTTAGAATCGGATCAGTAGTTTTTGAGTTATTTCAACACATAAAAATCCCAAAAATAGAAATCTTTATGACATATGTATAGATTATCTGTATTTGTAGTTCAACAAACTTAGATTTCGAGTACAAACTGTTTAGACTACTACCAACTTACTCTGACTGGATCGAAGTTTTGCACAACTGGAATGGTCTGATCGCACTGTCCTGGGAACACTACGGGGTCGTTGGGGCCGAGGTCTGGCAGATAGAAGCAGGCACGGTCTGACTGGTCGATGTTCTCATAGTACCTGTTGTCCAAGACTTCGATGTTGGCTATCGCTGTGTTAATAGCTGTGTTTGAAGCCGCTGACAATGTCTTACTCCTGCTGAGTTTCCAGCTGTAGACTGAAATACATTTAAATCAATACAGCGTAAAAAAGAACAGTTATCATATTTTTGATTTAAGAAAACCAAAGACATTAAAAATAATAGAGGAGGCAGAGATCACACTTCACTTGAATAATTTTTCACTATTACGTCCTCAAAACATGTCAATACTATAATAAATAAATGACTATAATAAGGTGTCACTAAATAATATTAAGGGCATGTCCCATTACTAGCTGATAGAAGCTCAGATAGCTTAAAAATGACGTCACTTTCAGATAAGGGAACTAAATCCGATATTCCATCACACATTTTACACGTTGAATTGTTATCAGACTATTAGCAATTTGGTGGGACATGTCCTTAAATGTTTACATTTTTTTTATGACACTGTTTAATTTTTTTTTTGACATAAAATGGACCTTTCTTTAATTTCATATAATGTTTTTGACACGTCTATACACGGACACGAATTGGCACTAAACTTGACAACTAACATGGTACGTTTCAAAGAAGTTACCGGTGAAAAAATGTTGTTCATTATGTCTATGTATTTCTTAAATGCCTTTGAATAAAACTTACTTGCTCTGAAGTCAGAATCTCGGTTGACACAGCTGTAGGCTACAGCATAATTATCATAATCCGTACTTAACACCCAAAAGGGTATTTCGATTGCTGAAACAAAACAAAGATCAATAAATTTAAAATATGATATTTTCATAAACTTAACCGAGGGAAATTATTGATACTCTTTGAACGAGTAAGTAACTGGCAACTAATAATTTTCAGTACTGGCTGAATGTACAACGGAAGATCGTTACCGTGATCTGCTTTCGAAATTGAATTCTACAAACCGCTTGTCACTCCGACAAAAAATTATTAAATAACTTTTGGTAAGGAAACTCTACAGCATCTCGAATATTAACTATTACAGAGTCTTGATTTCTCAAACCACACACATTATGGACTGAAATGTTTAGCAAACTTACTTTGAGTGCCTTCTCTAAGCGTGATTAACAATCTGCCGCTACCGTCAGTTGAGGTAACAGAAACAACGCTGCTGGTAGTTCTCAATGTTTCATTGAGGACGTTGAACGATTGAAGGTTCAAAGTCGCGGTGGTCGCAGTCGTGTACTGATGGTTGACGCATTGACCGGTTTGTTGGTCTTTCGGATACGCTTCAATTTCATACCAAGTCCCAGTGAACTGGAAAAAAAGTTTATAGGTCGTGTTGTAAATCTTAATTAGAGAAAACTGAATCTTAACATAGTATAAGAAGTATATTCTTAACGGCAGTTCTCTATAGTATATTTACTAGCTTTCGCCCGAGATTCCGTCCGAGTGGAATAAAAAAAAAGTAAGTAGCCCATTTGTTCTTTCAGACTATCCTCTACATCTATGCCAAATTTCATCGAGATCCGGTCAGGGTACAAACTCTAACAAACATCCATCCATCTAAACTTTTGCATTTATAATATTAGTAAGATGTAAGATTGGAAAGGTTGCAATTGCATGTTCAAAATACAGAATCAAATTAAATATAATATAGACAAAAAAACCAGAACAAACAGATGACAATCGTACAGAGCTCAGAAGAAAAACATTTTTTTTTAAATGAATATTAACGTTGAATGAAAAAATTTCACGAGATTTAAAATTAACATGGTAATAATAATTATTGAAATACTTACTTGAGTGAGATTGAAGCTGGGGACTGCTTGTATATTGGTATCACATTGTCCAGGGAAGATGACAGGTACGCCTGGTTCTGGTTCAGGATAGTAGAAGCAACCTGCCCTGCTTTGGTCAACGTCGTTAAAGTAACGGTTATCGAGAACGTTGACGGAATTGATGACGTTTTTAATAGCAGTGTTCGCGGCTGCTGATAACTGCTTGGTGCGACTGAGCTTCCAGCTACCGACTGTGATATAGAAAATATTGTTAATCATATTAATATTATAAATGCGAAAGTTTAAATGGATGTTTGTTAGAGTTTGTAGCCTGAACGGATCTTGATGAAATTTGGCATAGATGTAGAGGATAGTCTGAACACAGGCACTATGGTTTTTTTAATTCCACGCTGACATAGTCGCTGGCAAAAGCTAGGTAATGAACTAATCTAGTGAGTGCAAAATTCAGCACATATTTCAAATGAATCCTCACTGTGACTAAATAAATCATAAATTAATGAGCAGTTACTCGCGACGTCGTCTGCATGAAATTACAACAATGATCAAAAAATATAGTCTATGTTACTGAATGATAAGGTAGCTTTTAAATGGTGAAAGATTTTTTGACATCGACCCAGTAGTTTTTGAGTTATTCCAATACATAGAAAAATACAAATCTTTATATTAGTATATATAATAAAACTCACCACTACGACGATCTTCGGCAATATTCGTGCACGAATAGACCAAAGCGTAAGAAGAATAATCCGTACTCAATACCCAGTAATCAGTTGATGTCGTCACTGAAATAAAGAAACAAAATTAATAAAAATCCTCAAATAGTTCTCCTTAATTACATCAATATTAAGTATTCAAATGAATAATGCTCTATTAGATTATCATCATCATCATCACCAGCTCACTATACGTCCCCACCGAAGGGCTCGGAGCCCTATTAAGTGGTGACTAGGCCATAGTCATCCACGCTGGCCAATTGCGGGTTGACTTCACACATATCTTTGTTATATTAGCTTATAGAGGTCCAATACTAGATTTTTAGTTATGCAACTAAACAGTTGAGGCTGCGAAACAACTATCGCACAACTATTGTGCGATACTTTAGTCAAAGGTATGCGCGTTCTTACCAACGATCTTATATCGGTGTGTTATTTTATTAAAATACTTACGATTCGTTCCAGCGATGGGGAAGCTGACTATAACTTTAGCGCTGTTCTGAGGGTCAGGGACGAGAGTCGCTACTCCCCTGATCGTGTCCAAAGTTTGGTTCACGACTTGTGTGTTGAAGACATCGACGACGCCACCATTGAGAGTATACAAAGCATTGCTGCATGTCCCGAATTGGAAGACAGTAGGATACGAAGAAATGTCGTGCCATAATCCCAAATACTGAAAGCATAAATTACTTGTATGGTATACGTAGAACCTGCTATAGATTTGATCAATTGTTATATACTCGTACACTCAAGAGCAATTTAGGTCACTTAAAAAATTATAAATCACGTAAACTAAGAATGCTACATTATTGAACAGCTTTAAAACTTTTTAGTTTCTCTCTCTCACAGAAAGAGAACGAAACGAATGAAAAACGTATAAGAAATTTGGTGTACAGCATACTAAAATATTGTTGTAAAAAATGTCATGTTTTTTATTTTTGTATCATGGCGAGATCAGCAGTTTTTAAATTAGTTAATTTTTAATGAATAATATGAAGTGATTATAAATATTATTAATTTAAGGGGTATAACATTTTATCAAGCATTGTTTTAGTTCACAAGATTTTCAGCTCTTTCTACTGACACAGATTAAATGCTCTCGAGTGTATACTCTGTGTAAGGGTTCTGCTATTTACAATAAAGAACATGAACAGTCGGATTTATTTTCATTAATCTTGTTTATTACCTGTGCAAGATTGAAATTGGTCACCACCGGTATATTAGGGTCACATTGACCTCGGAATGTAACGGGTGTGTTTGGCGCAGGTTCTGGATAGTAGAAGCAAGCGGCGTCTGTTTGCTGAATAGTTTGGTAATACCGACTATTTAACACATTGACTCTATCCACGACCTGATTGATGCTGTTAGTAGCACTGGCTGATAACTGTCTAGTCCTACTGAGCTTCCAACTCCATACTGAAAATAATGGGGTCCAATAAAATGCTTGTATATCTGAGTTAAAGTTATGAGTAGCCGTTGCTCTAGATTTCATGTAAAATTATATAACTAATAAAAAATAGCCTATAATACTCTCAGTTAAATTACCTTTCTAATGGTGAAAGAATTTTAAAAATTGTCCCAGTAGTTTTTACGATAGTCAAATATATACAATAGGTGATGCTCCCGTCTTCATTCGCGTCAAATTAAAAAAAAATAGTAAAAACATATCCTATGTTACTCAGTGTTAACGTAGCTTTCTAATGGTGTAATAATTTTTGGAATCTTCCCAGTAGTCTTTGAGTTATTTCAATACATACAAAAAAAAATCTTTAACATTAGTACGGACAGTTGTTCCCTACTTCGTCCTTGTGAAATTGCATAATACAGCCAATGGTACTCAGTGATAACGTAGCTTGAAGTGAAATAATTTTTGAAATTGTCCCAGTAGTTTTTGAGTTATTTCAATACATATAAAAATACAAATGTTTAATATTAGTTTTACTTGACATACCTCGTCGTTGTTGGTTGTTAAGGTTACGACAGCTATACACTAAAGCGTAGTTATCGTAGTCGGTAGCCAGGACCCAGTATTCTGAAGGTGCTGGTGCTAAACAAAAATAAATTAGAAACTGTTAATATCAAATACATGTACATTTAGTAATTAGTTTTTTTTTTATAATAAAGGGGGGCAAACGAGCGGCGAGAACACCGAGGTGGTCAACGACGCCCATGGACATCCGCAACACCAGAGGAACTACAGATGCGTTGCCGGCCTTTGAGAATGATAGGCTCGCTTCATGAAGACCCTAAGTTAGTTAATTAGTTAAATGCTTTATGAGTTTGGGTATATTTTAGTAGTTAATTTAGGATTCTATAAACCTAATTCAAACTAGTTGTTGCCCGTGACTTCGTCCGCGTGAAAAAAAGATCAATAAAAAAAATATAGCCTATGTTACTCAATGATAACGTAGCTTTTTAATGGCAAAAGATTTTGGAAATGGCACATTAGTTTTTGAGTTGTTTTAATACATACAAAAATCCAAATCCCAATTTATAATATTCGTATTGATCCAGATTCTATTAAAAGTGATTTTTTTTGCAATTCTTTACATCTTTCAGGCTCTAAGGTACACGTTTAAGGAGTGATTTATTACCATTAGGGAAGGTGACAAGTAATTTCGCACTGCCATCAGTTGTAGCCAATACTGCAGATCCAGTGACAACTTCCAGGTTCTGGTTGACAACTTGTGTGTTGGTGACATCAACTGTTGCGTTTGCCAGCAAACGGTAATTCGCTTCATTACAAGTACCCGCTTGGAAATCTGATTCGTAACTCTCGATCATACGCCAAGTTCCCATGTACTGGAAAAGGCGAAAACCAAATAAAGGCATTGGAGACAAAAGATCTACTATTTCTCTGTTTCCTTAGTATTTAGATTATATCAGGCGTGTTAAGAATGTACACCTTTGACTAAACTATCGCACAACTGTTGTGCGATTCAAAGGTGTGCGCGATATCTAAAGTAGAGCGTTTTGCAAACTTTTATATTTGCAATCTTTAGTATCTTTAACAATACATTATTTGATACTAGCTTTAGCCCGCGACTCCGTATGCGTGGAATAAAATAAAATAAAGTAGCCTATGTGTTCTCCCAGACTATCCTCTACATCTGTTCCAAATTTCATAGAAATCTGTTCAGCCGTTTAGGCTAAAAACTCTAACAAAAATCCATCTATCTAAACTTTCGCATTTATAATACGAGTATAATATTAGTATGATAGAAAAATTACAATGTATTCTAATTAAATTGACTACTTACTCTAACTGGATTGAAGTTCTGCACAACGTTTATATTAGGGTCACACTCTCCAGGTAAAATAACAGGTTGTCCAGACGGAATGTCAGGTAAGTAGAAGCAAGCGTCATTAGATTGGTCGATAGTCTCATAATATCTGTCGTCTAACACTTGGATGTTGGCTATAGCGTTGTTGATCGCTGTATTAGCAGCAGTAGATAATTGTTTAGTTCTGCTTAACTTCCAGCTGTAAACTGAAAAAAAAATGAAAAAACGTTTATTAAACCACAAAGATTGTACAAAACAAATAACTTTGACAATACCTTAAAATTATACATGACAGGAAGTTAAAAAAAAGTTGTTATCTTAAGTTATTCTGGTTAATCTGGTGATGGCCACACAATACCTGTATCGTGGCCACCGGTTAACTGTGACCTGTATATAAACATTTCTTGAAATATGTTACAGAGAAATACTAGGTAAATAATTGCAAATTTTACCTGCTCTATAATCTGATCCTCGGTTGACGCAGCTGTAGGCCAAAGCGTAGTTAGAGTAGTCGGTGCTCAGCACCCAGAAGGGTATCACAATACCTGGATAAACAAAATAAATCATAGTGATTTTGATACTTAGAAGTCAACTTGGATCAGTGGTAGTCCGCTTTAACATCTTCGCACTTTATGGCTGGCTTGTCCATACAGAAGACAGACGTGAAGTGGAAGCAATTCCGTGTACAGTTTGATGAGTGTGCTGAAAACCTAATTAAAGTTCCTCCTCCTTTCCACCATTCTTATAACCAAAAGATAGGAAGGGAAAATAGATTTGATGGTGGAGAAGACGCATAGGAAGGGGCATCTTCTTCATGTGCGTCTCCTTCCCTGTCGATTAAGGGCAACGCATTTGTAATTGCGGATATCTATTGGCAGCACTTCGCCATTTTGGCGGTTTCAGGTAGCCGCGAACTCATTTGTCCATATATAAAAAAGAGTTTTATACATATTGCTTTGAATTACTTACCATCAGTTAGAGTAATCAACAGTCTTCCACTATTATCCACAGAGTTGATAGTGACCACGCCGTTAGAGGTTCTTAATGTTTCATTGAGAACGTTAGATGAGACTAGATTCAGGCTGTTTGCTGTAGGATTGAATGTGTACTGATGATTGACGCATTGACCTGTTTGTTGGTCTTTTGGATACGCTTCGATTTCATTCCAAACACCTTGGAACTGTAAAAAATAATATTAGTTAAATACTTTTGCAAATAAGCATCAGAGTGTATCACAGTAAAACAATTATTCTTACTCGGACAAATCTGTTTCAATATTTCAATAGATTTTACTGTGTCTAAAAAGTTTTTAGTGAAACTGTTAGTTACCAAGTTCAGATTGAAGTTGGGAACAGCTGCGATGGTGGTGTCGCACTGGCCTGGGAATATGACTGGCATGCCTGGTTCAGGTTCAGGGTAATAGAAGCAGCCAGCTGCGCTCTGATCTCTGGCTTGATAGTAACGTTGGTCCAACACGGGTATAGTATTGATTACTGAGTTTATAGCATTCGTAGCCTGAGTTGTTAGTTGTTTAGTTCTGCTAAGCTTCCAACTGGACACTGGAAAATTTAAAATTTTATGATCTGGATTTTTAAATGTTTTAACACGTTGCGAAACCAACTCTAAAACACCTGGTGTGTATCCATTATAGTGCGAATAAGAATGTTATATATGACTAGCTTTCGTCTGCGACTCCGTTCGCGCGGAATAAATAAAAACAAAAGTGAGTAGCCTATGTGTTCTTCCAGACCATCCTCTACATCTATACCAAATTTCATCGAAATCCGTTTAGCTGTTGTTGTTTGCTGCTGACCCAGGTGTTCAGGTGAAAAATGGTAGAATAGAACAATCTCTGCCGATTTATAATAATAAGTAATATCTTGCTTGCTTCATTATGTAGGGAGTTATTTTTTTAATTATTTCTTTTTAAAACATCAGTAGAGATGTAAATACCTTGTGATGTTTCTTCGTCAATATTCGTACAGCTGTATACTAAAGCGTACGAAGAGTAGTCAGTTGATAAGACCCAGTAGTCGGTTGTGATAGTAACTGTAATAAATATAACGGTTAATTGGAAACATTCAAAACTACGGAGAGCTACGAAGCAGGAAACATTTTTTATTTTAAACAATCTTTCTGATTCTTTTCTTTTTTTAATAAAGAGAATTTAGCAGATTTTTGATATTTAAGTAATTTTTCTTTTACCATTCCAACTAAGATCTAGGCTTGGGATAGGTTTTGGTTTACAATAGTCGAGGCGGGATTCGAACCCTAGACCACGTAATCGTAAATCTGTACCTAACCATTAGGCTATTGGCGCTTATCAGTACATCATAATCATCACCAGCTCACAATTAAGTACCCACCGAGGGGCTCAAAGCCTACCCTAAGTAAGGGGTGACTAAGCCATAGTCAACCATGCTGGCCCAGTGCGGGTTGGTTGACTTCACACATATCTTTGAATTTCTTCACCGATATGTGCAGGTTGCATCACGATGTTTTCCTTCACCGTAAGAACGTCGGGTAAATTATGTACATATGAAAATTCGAAAAATCGAAAATCACATTGGTACATGGCGGGTTTCGAACCCAAGACCTGTAGATTACAAGTCAAGTGCTTAAACCCAGTGGCTCAGTAGCCACCGACGCTCTTCAGTACGCTTATCAGTAGATATCATCAATCAAATTATACTTACAATTAGTTCCAACAATAGGAAAGGTAACGAGTAGTTTCGCACTTCCGTCAGTAGAGTCTCTTAAAACTGCTTCACCTCTGATCGTATCTAATGTTTGGTTTATAACTTGAGAATTAAACACGTCAACAGCTCCTGCTCCTAAATCGTAGAAGGCATTCGGACAAGATCCATCTTGGAATGGTGTAGGGTAAGATTCGATATCGTGCCATAAAAGCAAATACTGAAAAGAAATTTTATTTTGTTTAATTCATGTTCAAACAGAACCGATAAGAGTTAGCAGATAAAAAGGTAAAAGCTGTCTTCATTCTTTAATACACATAATAATAACTAGGTTGTTAATAAACAAAAGGAAAAATGTTAAATCTTATCTAATAATATAAATACGAAAAAGATGGATTGATGTTTGTTAGAGTTTGTAGCATAAACGGATGAACTGATATCTATTAAATTTGTCATAGATGTAGAGGATAGTCTGTAAGAACACATAGGCTTTTTAACTTTTTTTTAATTCCACGTGGGTGAAGTTGCGGCCAAAAGCTTGTTGACTTATAATGTTAAATGAAGACAGCATAAAAAAGGATCATTTTTAGAAATGTAAGGAAGAGTTTTAATTATAAATGAATTAGTAAGGTTAAGAGCAATAGAGAGTAAATAATATATTACCCTAGCTACGTCAAAGCCAGTGACCACTCTTATATTAGGATCACACTGTCCTCTGAAAACAACAGGATTGTTGCTGGGCACTGGATAGTAGAAGCAACCGGAATCTGATTGGTCGATGATTTCGAAGAAACGGTTGTTGAGGACGTCCACGGTGTTAATAACTCTATTGATGTTGTTAACCGCTGCTGGTGTTAAATTCCTGGTACGACTGAGTTTCCAGCCAAAAACTGAAAAAAGGTAACTTTTTTTAGCGGTTACAATAAGACATATACCCGAGGCGTAGTGTAAAGTTTAGATATTTATTATTCATGCAATAATTTTTTTTATAAAATTGTACACTAAACAGTGTTACAAAATATAAGTATTTAATATTTCATCATCCACTTGCCCTTATCCCTTATGGAGGGTCGGCACAGTATGTGCTGCTCTTCCATACATCTCTATCAGCCGTCATATCTGAATCCACTCCTTAAGCATATCCTCTTTCACACAATCCATCCATACTTTCTTCGGTCTTCCTCTTCCTTTGAAGCCATCCACATTCATTCTTAACACTTTCAGGTTTATGTCCCCATCGTCTCGTCACATAACATGTCCATACCACGCTAACCTTTTGCTTCTCAATTTTAATATTTAATGACACTATTGGCAATTAATTCGTGGTTTTAAGGAACTAATAATAGATGGTTTTAGTGATGATTACATGAAAAATGCTTCAAGTAAAGTGTCATCTATGCCTCCTATATATTTTTAAATATCTTTAAAAGACGGTATTATAATGGTTTTAATTATGAATTTGATTGCTTTGTTCAAATGTAAAAGGGGAATTTTACCTCTTTGTTGTTGATTGTTGATATTCCTACAGCTGTAGACTAGGGCGTAAGAATCGTAGTCAGTATCTAAAACCCAGTATTCCGCTGGCGCTGGTGCTGTAACAAAAATGGGACAAACATGTAAGCGTTTTTTATTTTTTTTTACTGATATCCACTGTAACTTGACCTTCCACATGGTTAATAACTAGCTGTTACTGGTTACTTCGTCCTCGTGAATATAAATATTAAAAAAAATTATGTTACTCACTGATAAATTACCTTTCTAACGGTGAAAGAATTTTAAAAATTGTCCCAGTAGTTTTAGAGTTATTTCAATACATACAAAAACACAAAACTTTCCCCTTTATAATATTAGTACATACTAGCTATTGGTCACGACTTCGCTCGCGTGAATTTAAAAAATAATTTAAAATACAGCCTATGTTACTCACTGATAACGTAGCTTTTTAATGGTGAGAGATTTGAAATCGGCTCAGAATTTGAGTTATTTCAATACATACAAAAATACAAATATTTCCTCTTTATATTATTATTACCCGTTGCTCGAGACTTCGCCCGCGTGTATTTAAAAAAAATATAGTTTAACTCAGTGACGTCGTAACTTGTTAATGGTGAGAGATTTTAAATAGGCCTAGCTTTTGAGTTATTTCAATACATACAAAAATACAAATCTTTTCTCTTTATAGTGTAGATCAAATACTTACTTCCAGGGAAGTTGACCAGTAGTTTAGCGCTACCATCAGTAGTCGCGAGAGTCGCGGTGCCATTTATTGTGTCCAGTTGTTGGTTAATAACTTGTGTGTTGTAAACATCTACTATGTTATTATTCAATGTGTAAGTAGCATCGTGGCAAGTGCCCGTTTGTTGCTCCGTGAAATAACTTTCTATCAGACGCCAACGTCCTAAGTACTGAAAATGAAATTACGTTATTAAGCAAAAAATGCTGCGTATTTTAAAGGACCGATTTATAGGTATTGTAAGTTGTGTAGTCTTTTTTTTAATATAAGGTGGCAAACAAGCAAGCGGTCATCTGATTTGCCAAAATGGCGAAGCAACCGCTGCTTATAGACATTCGCAATGACGGATGCTTTGCCTACCCTTCATCAACGGAGGAGACGCACATAAAGAGGACGTTTCTCCTCCGTTAAATCTACGTTCCTTTTCCCATCTCTTTCTTATAAGAAACTACTAAATGAAGTGGGGACTAAATTCTAATGTAATAAATACACAAACAGCATTATTATTTATTTATCACACATCTTTAAATTTCTTCACCGATATTCATGCTGATGATTTTCTTTACGTAACAATTAAGGGTAAATTGTATACATTTAAAGTTTTAATAATCGAAAAAAAAACATTAGTACATGAGATTCAAACCGAAAACCTGGCAACACGTCAAGTTAAACCCCTGAGCTACCGATTGCACACAATTGTAAAAAAAATATACACTATACGTCTTGTTCTGTTTACCTAACTAAATTTACTTAACTAGTTAAATATCAAGAATTTTTATACTTATTATTTACTTTTCTATTTTCAGAGCCATCTATTATTATTTTTAAATAAAGTATTACTTTTCCTTCAAATTCCAATTAGTGGCTGTGTAGTATCCACGAGAGTGATATTGGTCAATTTAGGTAAACGGAACAAGTCAATACAAAAGGGAAGGGAGAATCCCGAAGTAATACTTACACGAGCAACGTCGAAGTTTTGCACGACGGGTATATTTTGGTTACATTGTCCCGGTAATACAACAGGCTGTCCTAATGGTATATCGGGTAGATAGAAACAGGCGCTATCAGATTGATCGATGTTCTGGTAGTAGCGATTATCAAGTACAACATTGTTAGCCATTACTGTAGTAATCGCTGTGTTCGCTGCTGCGGATAGCTGCTTTGAACGACTTAGCTTCCAACTGAAAACTGTTAGAGGAAAGTCTTTAGAAAAGTTCTCTAAACTGGTTTGCTTTAATGATTATATTCTGTCGTCCGCGTGAAATTAAAAAACAAAAGTGAGTCTGTTTTCTTCCAGAATATCCCTAACATCTATACCAAATTTCTTCAAAATCTATTCAGTAGTTTAGGCTACAAACTCTAACAGACATCTATTTAAACTTTCGCATTTATAATATTAGTGAGATAATAAGATTCGATTCCGTTAAATTAGTAGTCATTTCATTTGGAAAGATGGGATTTAGAATTGTCATATTTGTGGTCCATTCTCACTTCTAATGAGTCATACTAAACGATAATGTGGTATAAAAATTGTGAAAGTATTTATTAAAGTGAGGTAGTTTTTGAGTTTATTAGTTACTAAAAAAAACTTTCCTGCTTATAATATTAGTACAGATAATTATGCTTACCCTTTCTGAAGTCGGTTCCATCATTAATACAGCTGTAGGCCAACGCGAAATCATTATAATTTATGCTTAGAATCCAGAATGGAATAACGATTTCTGCAAACAAATAAATTTCAAAAATTGTAGAACATAACATTCAAAATTAGATCTGATTATTAATTCTTTTCTAAAACCGCTAGATGGCGCTGATTCGATAACAAAAAATAAGTTTAGCATAGTATTGCGTCGGCGTGGAATCAAAAACAAAACAGAAGTATGTCTATGTGTTCTTTCAGACTATCCTCTACGTTTATGCCTTTCAATGAGATCCGTTCAGCTATTAAGGATACAAATTCTAACAAACATCCACCTAAACTTTCGCATTTATAATATAAAACACTATCCTGGCTTTCCCGTCTACGGACGAAACCAGGATTGTGTTTAAGGTGGCCGACATTTGTTCAAGAAACAAGTTAGAGAAGTCAGTTTTGTTAGTTTTAGATTAATTAAATAAATAATAAAAAAATAATCAGTAAAAAGATACTTATGCGTACCTCCAGAGTTTGTTTGCATTCTCAAAGTTAATCTGCCGCTTGAATCTGTCGATTCAAACGCCAGAACTGAATTTGTAAGTCCGAGGAATTGATCAGTGACACTTGATGATACCAAGTTCAATGTATTCCCTGTACCAGTGCTGTATGTGTGGTACACGCACTGACCAGTCTGTTGTTCTTTAGGGTACGCTTCCACTTCGTACCATATACCTTGGAACTAAAAGACATTGGATCTATTAGCCTATATCAAGGAAAAATATTTAAATAAAACGGCAGAACAGGACAAGAATTTATAGTAAGAATGCTGGCAATCAATAAATTAAAAATAATTAATATCCAACCTCTTTGTTTGAAAGATTAAGAAGTAAGTGGAAAATATAGTTGGGAAGCTTTGTGGCCAAAGAGATTCAAATATAGAGAAGGCATACTTGACACTTCACTTGAAACAATTTTCACATAATCATCACTAACTATTGATAGATCCTCAAAACCATATTTAAATTTAATTAATTGTATTTTAAATTGCCATAAGGTGTCTTTAGGAATATTTAAATGTTTATATGTTTTATAACTAAAGATGGAGCTTATTATAATTTTGTAAATTATTTTATTACATGTCAAAACACAAGAGATGGCACTAAACTTGACAACTGATATAGTACCTTTCAGGGAAAGTACCGGTGGAAAAGTTTGTATTAAAGTGTCTGCTTGTGGCTTTTTTTGAAAATTTTTTTTCAAAATCAAATTTTTTTTCAGAATTTGCTGGAAAACATATCGATTTTATATCTATGTCAAACTAATGTCTTTTTAATTATTTTATTCGTTATTCACCTGTTGCATAGAAAATCCTGTCACGACAGGTACATTTAGATCACATTGTCCCGGGAAACGGACAGGCACGTTGGTCTGCGGCTCGGGGTAATAGAAACAGCCCGCGGCCGACTGATCTTTGGCCACGAAATATCTTTGATCCAAAACTTGGACGTTATTTACAACAGTGTTTATAGCAATATTGGCGGCTGCGGTTAGTTGTTTTGATCTGCTCAATTTCCAAGCGTATACTGAAAATATAGAATTAATATTAAACTAATTGTCGTCTCCGACTTCGTTCGCGTGGAAAAACTAATCGAATCTTACCTTGTCTTCGATCGTTACCCATATTTGTGCAAGAGTACACTAACGAATAGCTGGAATAATCCGTATCTAAAACCCAGTAGTCGGTTGAGGTTGTGACTGTAACATAAATATTAATATTTAGTAAACGTTTCATTCTAAAAATAACAATTAAAATATTTAGATTTCAATTTGTGAAATAGATGGCGTTGTTAACAAAACCATAACATGTTAATGAGGTATAATTGACAATTCACTTGAACATTTTTTACATAATCTCACTAACTCTTTCTATTAATAGACCCTCAAAACCATATATTAAAAATAAAGCACCAGTGAAATTTGTTCATTGCCACGTCTGCGTTTGTTGAATATCTTTGGAATAATACAACTGTTCCAAACAATCGGTCATAACCGATTTCAGCTACTTTAATAATTCGTTAGTGTTAGTTCGAAAACTTTTTTATACATTTAATATAAAGTGGCAAACGAGCAAGCGGCCACCTGAATCCACCGAAATGGAAAGCGACCGCTGCACATAAACATCCGCAATTGCAGATGCGTTGCCTACCCTTCATTGACTGTGCGTCAAATCCACTTTTCATTGCCATCATTACCTCTTAATAAAGGGTGGTAAGGGAAAGAGACTAAAATTAGGCCTCCGGCACCACACAAATCAGACGAAACGCGGAATCGCTCCCACTTCACGCCTGTTTTCTGTGTGGTCGTGGTATTACACCGGGCGAGCCGGCCCATTCGTGCGAAGATGTTAAAGTGGGCTCTACCACTGTTCCATGTGTATCTCACAGTACCATGACATAACTTCATGAAATGCGATTACGAACTAACTTGAGTTTTACTCCGTTGAAACTTACTCTAACATAACACTAAAATTAAGTAGGTGAATACAAATGGTAACTTCAGAAACATATATCAATGCTAACTTACGATTGGTGCCGGCGATTGGGAATGAAACTGTGAGTTTAGCTGTCCCGTCAGTCGAGGCAAGAACAGCGACACCCTCCATAGTGTCCAATGTCTCGTTGATCACTTGAGTATTGAACACTCGCACTATTCCTCCAGTCAGAGTGTACAGAGCATTGTTACAGGATCCAGTTTGAAATACCGATGGATAAGATTCTATATCATGCCATAAACCCATGTACTGGAAGTAATAAATTATTATAAATAAAGAAAGGGCAGTAAAAAAAAACAAAAGTAAGTAGCCTATATGTTCTTCCAGACTATCCTCTATATTCCAAACATCGTGATCCGTTCAGCAGTTTAAGCTACAAACTCTAACCTCTATCCATGCATCTAAACTTTCGCATTCATAATTAGTAGGATTTGAAGCACTAAAGTAATAAAAAGTTGAGAAAGCATTGGAGAACATCAATAAATTCCTTTAGTTATGCTTTTTAAGAGCAGTCATGGTAACATTTATAACATGGAAACGGGTGTTTAAAAATAGTTACATTCTTGAAACCATTTGAAAGCAGTTTGTACTTACTCTATCGGGTTGGAAGTTAGGCATGGCTGGTATACTCATGTCACATTGTCCAGGGAACACAACAGGCTCGTTCGCAACTGGTTCAGGGAAATAAAAGCATCCCGCATCGGATTGGTCCGTCTGTTGGTAGAATCTAGTGTTCAAGTCCACTTCAGATCTAATCAATTCGTTAACCGCTTGTTGTGACACCCCTGATAATTGTCTTTGCCTGCTAAGGATCCAACTCCGCACTAAAATAAAAAAAATGATTTAGTTATTTTAAAACATTATCAAAGTAAATAGAAGAATGTGCATACTGTTCCTTCAATTAAATTTAAATTTATTTAGTTTTATTGTTTAAAAAATAGGGATGCGTTTAAAACAATTTGATACCTCTTCTTCGATTATTATCAAGGTTGACACAGTTATAGGACACGGCATAGTTGACATAGTCAGTCGCCAACACCCAGAGTTCTGCTGTTGAAAAAACTGTAAATAAAGAAAAGTAAAATTAAAAACTTGACATCCTTATCTGTGTTTAAAATCTATACTAATAGAATAACGAGGAAAGATTTGTATTCGTAGTTATTGAAATAACTCAAAAACTACTGGGTCGATTTTAAAAATTCTTTCACCATTCATCATATTCTCCCTTGCCTTATCCTACTCCCGTAGGCTCGGCGCACCGGGTTTTCGTCCTCCAAAGCACTCTATCATCCGTCATCTCAGTCATCATTCCCTTCTTGATCATGTCACCTTTCACGCAATACATCCATCTCTTTCTAGGTCTACCTCTACCGGTGTCCCCCTCCACATTCATAACTAACGTCCGTCTTGTTACATGCGATTCATCCCTTCTCATAACATGCCCATACCATTCCTTTTACTCCTTATTTTAATTCTTTCACCATTAGAAAGGTAATTTATCTGTGAGTAAAATAGCTTATGTTTCTACAATTCTTATTTCAGCGAACAGATAGTAGTTATGTATATCTGTGTCAAATTTCATCGAGATCGGACGAGCCACTCCGAAGTTACGTCCATTTTTAATATTAGTAAAATAGTGATTTCTATGCTTAATTTTCTAAGTTGATTCACGATACTTTGCTATTATTAAATTTTAGCGTTACATAACCGATTTATTCTAAGTTTTAATAACCTTGCAATCATGTTACTGTGTCTTGTAATATAATCTTATATTATGTAAATATTTTAGCCCACCTTAGGTGACTCCGATATCAAGAAATTAGTCAATAGAATATGAATCCTATGCCAAAGTTAGAAAAGCCATTCTAGAATGCAATCTGTATAAAACGTACTAATCAGTCTTCTCGTTTGATAAGTTAGAAACACTTGGAGTTTAAAATATACTTATGTAAAAAAACAACATCCGTAGATTATCAACTTAGTGTCGGAGCATACAAAGATATGGATGACCCCGTCAAAAATGTTTTTGAAGATATAATTTTATTTACTCAATAAGAGTTTCTAATATGAATTTTGAGAGCAAACATCGGTTTCGAGCAAGCGTTGGTGGATTAAGGGTTAAGTACTCGATTTGTAATCTACAGATTTTACGATGAAAGAAAACATCTTCATGTATGCATATCAAATTCAAAAGATATGTTTAAAGTCAACCCGCACTGGACCAGTGTGACTAGGGCCTAGGTCTATAACTTAGGGAGTCCTTCAGTGTGGACATATAGTGAAGATTTTTTATGAAAATTAAGTGACTTTGTATCTTCAATAAGAAAATAATTGTTTACCTTTGTAAAACTTTGAATTGAAAAAGGCAAAATGCCATCGCAAAAATGACAACGAAGGCCTTTGACATTGGACACATCTTACCATAAACTGGAATTTTTCTTTTTATACTACGACCAGACACTCCAATATTATTATACTAGCTGTTCCGGTGCGGCTTCATCCGCATGAAATTATGAAATTTTTATTTTATTCTTTACTTCTGTCAAATTATTAATAGCAAATGTTAAAATGACATGACATGACAAACCTTAGCAATTTTTCTTCCTTGATGTTGGCAGCAACTTATGGTCTCTTTCCCACATTAGGGCTTTAATCCAAAATATTTACCACCTAAGTTTATGGGCGTGTAAACATATAGCCTAAAGCGTGACGTAAGTGTTCGGTATAGATAGCACGGGTTCGCCACATTCGGTGGCGAACATAATTTTGTATTTCGCGCCCCGGGTTTAGTGCGGGTAAGCGCGCTTATTTTATTTTTCTCGCACGGGCGGGTAGAAGAATAAACCCTCTCCACTACGGACGGGTGCGGGGCCTGCGGAGAGGGGTGCGACAAAAAGGTCGGAATCGAGCAGCCAAGCGGAACGGTCGCGAACACTTGTGCGGATTAAAGTTGCTTTTTTTATAACGCGGAGACACAACAGGTGTGTCGATTTCGGTAGCGAACGGGGTCGCTAAATTCGGTTTCGCGCTCGAAATTGCTGATACATCTTCAGGCAGAATCGCTGGGCCTATAGACTTGACTGAACCAGACTGACTCGATTGACATTGACTGAGACAAGGCACCTGCAGGAGGTGACGCAAATTCATCGAGCTGGTGAGTACCATTTTCCCCATTACGTTTACAATATTATGCCCTCCGGTGCAATCGTAGTTCAAGGGTAGGTTGTGCCGCGGGACCCGAACCCGTTTGTACGGCACAGTAAGTGTAGGGCTTTTATTAAAAAAGGTATTAATCAAAAATATGCTGTAATTGCTGACATCTTAGGCAACAAAGAAATGTATGTTTACGCTTTATTATAATAGTATAGATATAGATTAAGGTATATATAGACTTAGTTGAGTCATATCGTTGCATTGATATCTGCTATAAATGTTATCCATACAATACATGATTATTGTATTAAACACACCTTCCTTAATTGTTTAAAGTTGCCGACACTATATAATAATGTAGAATTAAGTACAAACGATAACTACAGCTGAATTGTTTATGTAACGCTTAGGGCCTGTCCCACGAAATTATAAATTGGATAATAATCCAACGTGTAAAATAAAAGATTTTACACGTTGTGTACAATGTGATGGAAATATAAGATTTTGGTTCCCTTATCTGACAGTGACGTCATTTTTAAGCTATCTGAGCCTCTATCAGCCAGTAGTGGGACAGGCCCTTAAACAAGTTTGTGGTCTTCTATTGATCTAATTTTTAACGACGTGCCTAGACCTAGACCTCTATTAACCGTAGTTTTTGAGTAATTTCAATACATACAAATCTATCCTCTTTGTAATATCACTAGCTGTTGCTCGCGACTTTGTCCGAGTGAATATAAAAACAACGTATGTTACTCGCTGACAACGTAGCTTTCTAATGGTGTAAGAATTTAAAATCGGCCCGTAGTTTTTGACTTATTTCAATACATACAAAAATACAAATCTCTTTTCTTTATAACGTCACTAGCTGTTGCTCGCGACTTCGTAAGCGTGAAATCAAAAAGTAATAAATAAGCATATGTTACTGACAACTTAGCTTTTTAACGGTGAAAGATATTTTGAAATCAGCGCAGTAGTTTTTGAGTTATAATACACATAAAAATACAAATGTTTCCTCTTTACAATATTAGTATTGAAGAATAGATTTCTTCTAAAAACATACCGTTTGGTGCTACTTCTAAGTTGACAATTAATTTAGCGGATCCATCAGTACTGCTAACAGCTGCTCTGCCGCTGATTGTCTCTAATCTTTGATTAACCACTTGACTGTTAAGTACGATGACTCCGCCGTCTGATAACGTGTATTCCGCTCGGTTGCAAGATCCACTTTCGTTTTCTGTGTAATATCTCGATATTTGATGCCATACTCCACCGAACTGAAATTTTAATTATAGTTAAAAAATATAACAAACAAGATGTCGTATGCAAACTTCGTTAGTAAGGAATTTAAATAAATGCTCGTCTGTAACATTCCCGCTTTCAACCTTCTTAACGCTTGCGAACAAACTTATAATCCCGCGTGATTTTTTTTTAAATCTCTCTGTGTAAGCCAAATTCGACCCAACAGTTAAGAAGATTGGACAAGATTCAATTTATTTCTTTGTCAAATTAAAATCTTTCTACATAATTAGAATTAGGGCGGGGAGGGAGGGTACACCTTTGACTATCAAACAACTGTCCAGTCTCGCTTTGATTCCTATTAGTTTAAATGGAGGTTCGCACACTACTCGATTTTTAGTTGTGCAACTAAACAGTTGAATTAACTGCGGAACAAATGACAATCGCACATCAGTTGTGCGCGTGTGCGATTGTCATTTGTTTCACCTTTGTAGCTTCGGTAATAAGACAATAAATGTGTCAATTACATTATTGAATAAAAACTAATTTAATGAGTGAAATTACACTCGTATCATATTACAACGAGACGTCGTATGCAGTCATTGATCTGAATTATCTATTTACATATAATTTTATTAAAAACAGTATTAAAGTAAACACATTTCGATAGAAAAATAGAGACTTTTTCTGATAATGGAATGTTGAGTTAATTCCCAATCAATTGCGTCCGTAGTAAAGAGGTAAAAAACCTCTTTTTGCCCAAATCTGAAAATACTACACTTACCCTGGCAGCGTTGAAGTTGGTAACGACACTCATATTAGTGTTACATTGTCCAGGAAGTATCACTGATTGGTTGTCAGGGATATCTGGTAGGATGTAACAGGCGTTATCTGAATGTTCAATTCTTCGTAAGGCTGATGTGTCGATGCCAAGAAGGTTGCTTATGGTTGTGTTAACGAGAGCTTCCATCATCTCGGTGGGATATGAAGTCGCTCGTCCCAACTGCCAAAGGTACACTGGAAGGCAGTTTACAGTGGAACGGTTTATTATATTAGGATTAAATGAAGCCAGTTAACTTTCCTATATAACATTGCGAGTAGATGGAATAGTCTCTTAGCTCTTATAGCTTTGAAAACTACAATTTTACAAGACCCTGGTTCATGTTTATTTATTGACTAGCTGTTCCCGTGCTGCTTCATCCGCATGAAATTATAAAAACTTTATTTTACTGTTTACATTTGTCAAATTCTCAATTGCAAGTGACAAAATACCTTTTACCTTACTATAGCAATCTTGCTTCCTTGATTGTTGGCAGCAAGTTATGGTCTCTTTCCCACATTAAGGTTTTTATTCAAAATATTTACTCTCTAAGTTTAATGGCGTGAAAATGTAAAGCCTAAAGCGTGACGAAAGTGTAGGGCTTTTTACTAAAGAAAGAATTATCCAAAAATATGCTGTAATTACTGACATCTAAGGCAACAAAGAAGTGTGTGTTTACGCTTTATTATATTAGTATAAAATATAGTATTGATCGAGAAGATACCAGGATTCGTCTTTTTTTATGTTTTATATCAGTTTGTTATTGTGTTACTCCATTTTCCTTTTTTTTAAAATAGAATTGATAATAATTTAATATCTTACCGCTTCGCTGTACATTTCCAATGTTTTGACAGGCATATCCAACAGCGAAGTTATCATAGTCCGTAGTTAATATCCAGAAATCGACAGCTGTAAATAAAAGGGTAATTTAATTTTTAAGTCAGTTTGCCCATTAACTTGAACTAAAACGGCAAGATCGATTTTAAACAGTGAGGTCAAATTTGATTAACATTTATGTTTCATTTTTCTTTTTAATTGTCTATTAATGGACAGGTTTAGGATTTAGAAAAGGTTAATTTTATCCAGTCTTTAGGCGTATTAAGTAAGTTATCCGATTGTCTATACTAATACTATGAAGAGGAAAGATTTGTATTATTGAATGTATTGAAATAACTCAAAAACTACTGGGTCTATATTAAAAATTCTTTCACGATTAGAAAGCTACGTTATCGCCGAGTAATATAGGGTATATTTTTTTAATTTTAGACAGACGGAGTCTCTAGCTTGTTTATAATAATTTGTATACTTACGATTCTGCACGCCATTCAGGTTGAGCGTGTATTTCGCTGTACCCTGTTCAATTGATGCTGTGCCGGTTATTTCTTCGTAGAAATTGTTATTAACAGCTGTATTTCTTATATTGATAACATTATTGTTCTGTGTCAATTCGAGAACTGCACAGTCGCCATTTTGTAGATTATTATCAGCTCTAGCGATTCCATGCCACGTGCCGAGGAACTACAAAAATAAGAGTTAGAAATGAACTTAGATTTAGATACTAGGTTAGATTGACTGATATTCACAACTTCATCGTCGCTATAAAATATTTAGAACTACCCGAAACAAGATTTTTTTTTTGAGACTGAATGGCCACTGTTTGCCTTGAAGAGGCATTTACAGATTCACCGGGCTTGAGGTAGCCGAGCGCAGATGGCGCTTAGCCTAAACCTCGTTTATGAGTAACTGAGCTCGAGGGCTCCCTCAGCAGCCTCGGCATGAGCCGTTACTTCGTTATTATTACCGGATTGGGAGGCCACAGAGCGAAACAAGAGAATGTCCGAAATTCTTAGAAACATACAACTTTGAAGACACATTATAAGAAGCGGTATTTAAAATACGACTTTTGAAATTGTTTGAATATTTTATTATTAACAGTTACAATGCCATTTTTGATCCGAGATTTGGATATCACGAAAACAAGAAATGACATGAGTTAACTCCTAAAAACATTTGTTAATCTGAACTAAAACGGGATCAGTTTTTTAAATGACATTTAAGAATTAAAAAAAACTAGGGGTGAATCAAGATCCTTTTTCTTGTACCGTCGATATCTTATATGGTTAATTTCTAAACCTTCTAAATTAACTAATTCTAAAAAAAAAATCATCCATCTAAACTTTCGCATTAATATTTGTAAGTTTTATTAAAGTTATTAAGTTTATTGTTGATAACACAACATGGAAACATAATTTGAAACAATACGTTCCTCATTTGATTAAATTGAAATCAAGCCGTTATAAGATCTTATCCAGGTACCGGGTAACGATAACTTTTTTTATCTAGATACGAAAAAAACATTATTTTTATCACATACTAGGGCCTCACCTAGAATTTATCGTTGTAACGATGTCAAGGTTTAGGTATGCTAAAGTACTAAGAAATTAATTTTCAGATATATTAAAAATATATATATTTAAAGACTAAGTGACTCATTTGACTACTTTGTTAGTTTTTTAACTATTTTGATGTATTCTTGAAAGTTATTTAGTCTGTGCTATAAATGAATACCATTTATCTTTATTTAAAATAACAATATAAACTTTGTAATTGTAATCCAACACATTATTGAAATATTTGTGTCATGGTTTAAAATATCGGAATTCTACTTGTTATGTTAATAATCCGCATTGGCTCGACTACACGACAGCCATATTGGTATTGGCGAGCAGGGGAGTGTGGTTAAATGGAAAAATGGTGTTATTGGTCAGTTTATTCTGTACAAATTGAAAGAATACATAAAAGCATAACATGAATGTGGCTCCTATAACAATACTTTTTTATATGGTGGCACGAGCAACTCGCCGAAATACCGAAGCGACCATTGACCATTAACATCTCAAACAGGCGATGCATACCCTTACGTACGTAGTTAAAGATGGTATTATATCATGTTCTGCACCCTTGTTGTGGTGTATTGACCTACATGTAGTGTGTTGACTACGTGTATGGTAATGTCTACGGGTAGGGTAGGGACGAGAGTAGTGCTTGTCTCTAAAGGTAAGGTCTCTGGACTTAAATTAATCCTCTGACACACTCATCAGACGAAACACATTATTTATAATTTTACAAATACATTTCACATAAATTGTTTTAATTATATATCCTTGGCTATTTTACGAGGTTGATTCCCTGTATTAAAGGAGCCAATGGCTTTGTTTTGTATGTCGACATCTTTTGTATGTTTTATTGTAATCTCTAAAAGAGATTTAAAAGATGAGCGTTGAATAAGTTTTGATTTAAGATTTAATCTATTTTTGGTATCAGAAATGTTTTAAGTAAAGATAAAAGGAAACCGAATAATTAAATCTGATTTCAGAATGCGATAGTTCGTAGACGTTTATTATTTTATACATTTCATGAAAAGAATGAATAGACTGCAGTAATGGTCATTATTTATATAATATACAAACATATTTAAATTGATACATGAAATTTTCTAAATCGCGAGATTTTGTCTGATTTTCTAATATTCAGAATTTTTTTTTATCTACTTGACATTGTTTATGATTTATCCGAATCACAATATGCACTTCTAAAAAAATCCGTTACAAAACTTAGATGTTACACTAAATTTGATAATCTCCATTTAAAATGTCCCAAAACACACACATTAATAACAACTATCTCTAAAAATCACAAAGTAACTTACTCTTGAAGGATTAAAATTCGTCTGCAAAGCGATATTCGGATTACACTGTCCAAATTGTACCAACTGTGCACTGCTTAAACCTAAAATACTAAAAATTACTAATATTCTAGTAATCATATTGAGATCATAGCTGCCGATCACAACACAAACCCAACTAAGGAAATGGCGATATATTTTATAAATTATCACATTTATACGAAATCTTATCAATAGATTTATCTTCAATCAGTATTATGACCTAATCGAAATGAATTCATACGGCAAAAGAATGTGGGATTTACTATCTATCTAGATTTAATATGCGTTACTGCACATTGTTTACAATTAATACAAATGAGTGGCCTTTTATAATGCGTATGTCTGTATCTTCATCACCAGCTTATATGTCCTCACTGAGTTGCTCGGAGCCTACCTTAATAAGGGGTAACTAGACCATAGTCAACTGCTGGCTCACTGGGTTGGTTAACTTCACACATTTCTTTGAATTTCTTTGCTGATATGTACAGGCATCACGATGGTTTCCTTCACCGTAAGAACGCCGGGTAAACTGTACATATGAAATTCGAAAAAAAAATGAAAAGCACTTACATACATGACGTGATTCTAACTGAAGACCTGAAGGTTACAAGTCAAGTTTCCGTTAATGTGTTAACATCTTATGAACCATATATTCAGTCAGCAACAGGAATGTAAAACAATTGTTCTTTCTTAGACCGTCTTATTCCAGTAACCAAATTAATCCTTCATGTTTCAATATTGTCAGCACGCCTCAAGCCAATTTCGTAGCCGTTAGGGTAGAATAAACTTAATCAACCATTCAGGACAATTTGAATTGCCTGACTTTTCCACACAATTCTACTTTCTTTCCAGATTTGTTTTGGTTGTATTACGCTGATTTCCATCATCAGAACAAAGATACCATATGGACGACTTCTTATAGACGCTATATGTTCAAGAAATTAACTAGGACGTAGAGTTTATGAAAACATTTATTTTATTCAAGTATTTGTATTATTTCTGCAACTTTCAAGTGGTAAACAGATAAATTGCATCTTTAGCCGACTGACAAGAACGTAATATTTTTTATCTGATGTATTTGTTATTGTACTTTATTTCTGTTACCTCAGTAATATAACATTCTGAGTACATTGAATAGATATTTTATTATAAATCATAAGTTGGAAGTTCTTAATTATGTATTTCTAGTTGCGTAGCTGATAATGTTATAAAAAGTGTACTTCTAAAAAAAAGAATTAAATATTCTCTAAAAAACAATACAGAAAGAAGTAACGAAATAATTCCTTGAATTACTTAGACTCTGTTGTAGCTGTTATGTCTATATTGTACAATGATTATTACTTTAAAGTCAATGTCAGCTGGGGTAGACAGTGATATTTCTACGTAAGGCTTTCTACATTTTAACATAACGATTGGAATACGCAAATGTAAAGTAATGATTGCGTACTGAGTCTACCTTGAATGTAAATGCAGACGAATTCTCAACCTTTTTCTTTTGGAACGTCGATTAAAAAGAGATTTTTAAAACAGTTTTTGTAATCTATACTAATATAAAGAGGAAAGATTTGTATTTTTGTATGTATTGAAATAACTCGATAACTACTGGGCCGATTGAAAAATTCTGTCACCGTTAGAAAGTTAATTTATCTGTGAGTAACATAGGCAACTTTTGTTTTTATTTGACGCGGGCGAAGACGCCAGAAACAGCTAGTGGAATCATCATCTTCCTTTTCCTACTCCCGTAGGGTCGGCACAGCACATTTTCGATTTCCAAATAACTCTATCATACGTCATCTTAGTCATCACTCCCTTTTGATCATGTCACCTTTCACGCGATCCATCCATCTCTTACTAGGTCTACCTCTACCGGTGTACCGTTCCACTCTCTAATCCTCCATACCATCTAGTGGAATAAAGTTAACATTAGCATTAAAACACAAGTTGCCAGTAAAGTACCGTTAGAAAAGAACATAAATCCATACAATAAAGTTAAATCCATTCTAAACAGTTAAAGCAATAGTTTGTGTACTTTGACTCATTTAATCGGGGGTTTTCTTGAATGCGTTTATTGTCTTTTGTTCCTTTGAACAATGAAAATAAACACTCTACTGTGCTCAGTTAGCCTTTCGTAGTTTAGCTACGTTTTGCATGCGGCTTTGTCCGCGCGGATTTAAAAGAATTTTAGTGAGTAGCCTATGTGTTCTTCCAGATCCATCCATCCATACTTTTGCATTTAAAATAGTAATTAGTGTTATAAGATTGGCATGAATAGCCGTTCCTGGTAGCAACTCTAAAGCAGATTTTAGAAACGTAACTTAAAATTTCGTAAGACCTTAGGGAGATCAATTAGGAATTTTTTTTTTTTAGTTTTGCTTACGTAATGACTAAAAAATGACTGTCTTAGTGGAAACCAATTTATCAATTCTATTACCTAAATGATTATCAGTTATAAATCACTATAGGTAAGCGTGATGAAAAATATTTGCAGTGTCGGACGAGAATTCATATTCCTTAGATTATAAAGCAGTATATAAAATGTGTGTTCAAATAATAAATGCCATATTCAATGCGCTTATCGATATTGTTTTCACAAATTATCAATTAGAATTCACTGGAATCGTACTAATGATAATGTTTTGTGACAAATTCTAAATATTGCTCAATGATTTTTTTGGTGTCAATGATGTAAATCTTACTAATATGCGAAAGTTTTTTTTTCTTAATTTTTGTAGGGACTTTGTTTCTTAAATCATGTCAGTCCCATTCCTTATAAAAACACCAAAACCATATAGATACAAACATCATCATCATCATCATCCACTTGCCCTTATCCCTTATGGAGCACAGTATGTGCTGCTCTTCCATACATCTCTATCAGCCGTCATATCTGAATTCACTCCTTTCTTAAGCATATCTTCTTTCACACAATCCATCCATACTTTCTTCGGTCTTCCTCTTCCTTTGTAGCCATCCAAATTCAATCTCAACACTTTCTGGTTTATAAAAACATATAGATACAAACAAAGATACAAAAAAAAAAGAAAAATAATAAACATGAAACAGAATGAATATATACAAATGACTATAAGGCCGCGAAAGTTTGGATTGATAGATGTTGGATGCTACGTGTCTCCAGGACGGCATAACGGATTTCACTGAAATTTGACATAGATATAGCCTGGAAGAAGAAATAGGTTTCCCCTTTTTATTTTAATTCCGCGCGTACAACGCACCTGGTAAAAGCAAAATAAGAAAATAATTAATGGTGTTAGAGAAAACATGAATACCTTAGTTACTCTCGTCGGACCCGAGTTCCCAAAGTTAAGACTTGCGAAACATGCAATAAATGTCTCGACAGAACATTTACCACATCTTTAAAGATTAAATCTAGGAATATCATTAGGTATTTTACATTCCTTGCAGTGGTGTTGCTAGTTCGAGTTGGTCCTTTTTAATTTTATAGAAATAATAGCTGTTCCAGTGCGGCTTCACCCGCATGAAATGTTAAAATTCAAATGCACAAATGACAATTGCTTCCTTGATGTTGGTAGCAACTTATGGTATCTAATAGACCCTAATGTGAGAGACATCAGGGTTTTTATTTAAAATATTTACCCGCTAAGTTTAATGGCGTGAAAATAGGCTAAAACGTGACGTAGATGTAGGGCTTTTTATTAAAGAAAGAATTATTCAAAAATATGCTGTAATTGCTGACATCTTAGGCAACAAAGAAGTGTGTGTTTACGCTTCATTATAATAGTATAGATTTGTTCTTAGCCAATTTCAATTGAAAGGCAGGAGTCTATATGAACAATAAAAAAGAAAAAAACAATGGAATGTAGCTTCGTGCGTCATTTAAACAGTGACGTAAATTGAACATGTTCTACGATAAGTTTATTTTTAATTGTCTCAACTTGGTACGACTTTTTGCAATCAAGTTGTCCTACAATATGTATAAGCCAAGTTCAGAAATTCAATCGTGTTGTTTCTTATATATATTAAAATATGGAATAATATAAATATTGGCTCTGGTTACAATAATTAAATGAGATTACAGGGACTATGCCCTTATTACATCTTTTAATTTTGCGGGCAAACGTTCATAGAACTTACATGATAAGTAACTGCCAGTGACAAAACACAGACGTCTAAAAAACAATATATTTACAATGGAATTTTACTAACATTATAAATGCGAAAGTTTAGATGGATGGATGTCTGTTTCAATTTGTAGCCCAAACTGCTGAACGGATCTCGATGAAATTGGGCATTGATGTAGAGGATAGTCTGGAAGAACATATAGGAGAGTTTTTTTTTTAAATTTCACGCTGACAGAGTCGCGGGTAAAACCTAGTTATTAAAATATTTATGTGACATATTTTGCTGTATTCGATTAAAGCTGTCGTTACATTTCGTTTTAACTTGTTAACCTTAATCCTTACGTATGGTTTTGTATGAGGTACTTTGGATGCGTTGAAGTAGTGAATAGTAACCATAATCGCTCTAAATGGAGACATAATCTTTGCCCCTTTGTCTCATGAGTCAGCCTTATGATTCATGCTCTAGATAGTTATCTATCCAAAGATAATGCAAATTAGTCACTGCATAAAAAGAAAACAAAATCAACTTGACTTTCTACTGCACATGAAGCCGTTATATATTTATTTTAAAAGCTGTTTATTGGCGATTTCTCAAATTAAATACAAAACTAGATTTAGGTCATGGTGATGATGATCATGGTCATGATCATGGTCGACATTTCTAATGCGTCCTTTTTAACTATAGACCTTCGGAGACCTGTGGCCCCTTTCTGTCCACGGCCCAACAGTGCCTTACTACCTAACTCCGATACTGTCTAAATGCACAATGCGGGTCACACAGGCGGCAATTTGAATAGGAATTATCTGGAGCACGGAGCTTCTTCCAATATTCTGCAATATACTGTGCTGGCTTTCTTAGGTTACTTTATTAGTTTTTAAATATATTTTCGAGTTGAAAGAACTAAGCGATTCAAAGATCATTCAATAAGCATACTCTAAAGGCACAATGACAATGTCAATGTCTCGGATAACATCGATACATTAAGAGTAAACAACTTGTAGTTAAACTAACCGTTTATTCCACTGCTATTTTCAGAAACATATGACGTCTCTTTTATTATCTATCAAAAAACTGAGATGACAATATTTTTGTTAAGGTTTCATCTGCGCAAACTAACATTGCTTTTGCTAATTTGCCTCTCATTATCGGGATTGCATAGGGGGCATTCACTTTTGTTTATAGTTATACGTTGCTATGTTTTTTTATTATTTTTCTTTAATTATAAAGATAATTTCGGTGTCACTAAACTGATCGGTGAACTCTGACCCAGTAAGAGTATAAAATGCTAAGCCGTGCAAATAAGTTATGCAGTGTTAGTTCAAATTGCACAGAGTAAATTTGATATTTATAACATTTTCTAAAAATGTTCCGTTTCTTGGTAATTAGTTTCTTAGCTTTTGCTTCGGCTGAAGTCATTGTCGATGGACCCTGTCCGGAAGTAAAGGCGTTGGAGAGTTTCAAGTTTCCTGAGGTAATACCGTTACAGAAATGTAATATGTTACATAACTACTCTTAACTTTTATAAATTAAACTAAAAATATACTTCAATAACAGTAGCATCTCTCCTAAATCTAAAGTCTATCGAAAGTTTCATAAATTTTATTCTCTAAATGTCCAGTTCCAAGGAACATGGTATGAGATCGCCAAATTCCCCAACGTCGGAGAAGATGGTAACAAGGGTAAATGCTCCACTGCGGAGTACACCGTCAATGGAGACAAGGGCACTGTGAGGAACTCGCAAGTAGTGAACGGAGTCAAGTCTTACGTCGACGGTGAACTGACTCTGGTGGGACCTGGAAGAGTGATGATCACATACAAGTTTGAAGGTAATATACAAAATTACAGTTCGAGTTTTAAACTTCGCATTCACGTTAGAGTAATCGTGATCACAACCACTATTCAACATATGTGTCTAGTTTGATACCCCAGCGTTAGTAATCTGTACTGACGGTTATGATCAAAATTTGTAGGAAGATGTTTCGAATGTCCACTCTATGATTTAATTTTTAAAGTCTATGTTTTCTAATGCATCTTCTATGTTATTGATAAAATGTATTTATAAATAATAAAACATAAATTGTTGCCAAGGTTTCCTTCTAGCTAACAAGGCAAATAACTTAACAGTTTAACGTAATTAGTAATAAAGTTAAGTATATGTTCTTGTAATTCTATAACAATAAGGGCTTATAATGATTAACAAGAAACATTAATCAGTTAATTCCAAACAAAAAATGTACGTGTGTACTTTGTGATAAGATATTTGATAATAAATAGAACATTCCTATACTTCAAGTGGACTAAGATAAGGTTTACTAATTACTTTAAATAACCATTTAGACGATTCGGTTAATCCCCGAAATTTTATAGCAGACTATGATCTACATTACAGTAATCCCTGTTTTTAATATGTTATTCTTCTTTCATAAGTGCAGATATTGGAAATGACTCACAAAACTGTACTGTTATGTTCAAATGTTCCTTTTTGAGACTCTAGAGTGTTATTTACAGGTTTCACCAAGAATTCAGTTCTGACGGTTGTTGACACTGACTACAATAACTACGCAATCGGATACAGCTGCAAGTTCTTGGAGAAGGATAACAAACACCAAGGTATAGATTCATTATTAAATATGGTAGACCTAATTAGAGTACAATCTATCATCAGCCTTTGCCTGACTTAGGCCTTCGCAATGCCTTCCACAGTATGTAATTCATATTCATGCATATTTTAAAAACCTTCAAGTTATTTGTTTAATAGTTAAAATATGACAAACCATATAAAGAATACGTTTATCATCATTACAATACATTACTTACGGATGTTACAGTACTAAATTTTGCATACCCTTATCGTTCAGCAATCTTAGCATTCTTCTATAATTTTATCAGTCAAGAATTGCTTCTCTATCGGAATGTTAAAACTGACAAAATAAAGCCTGGTGACACACGAGATAAGATCACGTTGAATCAAACGTGTACACTATCTTTCTACACGAGTTCATATTCTTTTTGGAATACAATTCCGTTATATGATTTAGAACAGATATGATAATCGATTTATCATCTGTGATTTTGATAACATGTTGATGTGAACGTTCCATTTTACTCTTCAGCCTTATTATATTTTTATATTATATATCGATTAAAATGATTATCACAGTGGTAGTGCCCGCTTTAACATCCTAGCACGAATTGGCCGGCATGCCCGGTGTAATACCATGACCACAGAGAAGACAGGTGTGAAATGGAAGCAATTCCGTGTTTCGTCTGATGCGTATGGTGCCGGAGGCCTAATTTAAGTCCCTTTCTCGTTACCACCCTTTTCTTATAAGGAGAGGATGGAAACAGGAAGTGGGTTTGACGGTGGAGGAGATGTATAGGAAGGGGAAATATCCTCTTTATGTGCGTCTCCTCTTCCGTCGGATAAGGGTAGGCAACGCATCCGCTATTGCGGATGTCTGTGGGCAGCAGTCGTTTCGCCATTTTGGCGGATTCAGGTGGACGCTTGGTCGTTTGCCTCCTTATGTTATAAAAAAAAAAATCTTATGTCAATTTTCTATTGCTCGATCGATCCAATAGATCAATTGTGATCTATTGGTTTCTATTTGTACTTTTATTTTTTCAACTTCTGTTATAGTTTTATGGACCTCTTTGCCTTTTAATTTTCTTTTATCTGATTAGCTAGCTTGCACTATCAATTACAGCTTGTTTTATTAAATAAATAATTATTACAGTGTTCTCCTGGATTTTATCAAGAAACAAGAGCTTGGGCGACTCTCAGGCCAAGGTGAACGCCTTCTTGGACAACTTCCCAGCAATTGACAAGTCCAATTACGTTTACAACGACTTTTCTGAAAATACTTGCAAGTTCACCTCCTCCAGAGCTATTACTAGCATCCGCAGGAAGAACTAAATCTTTAAATTTAGAAGACTTATGAAGATTTTGTTTTGTATCGATGTTTCTAAATAATTTACAACTGAGATTTGCATTTATTTTGGATTATCTCAATCCATTCGATTGATATGTTTTCGATCATCGTTTTTTCTTAGTTTTCAATAAAATATGTATAAAGGATATATTTTGCGAAGTTTCTTAAAGAAAATAAAAAGTTGATTTGACATTTTTTTAATGTTTTATTCACATATTAAGATTAAGACGTCTGTCGTTCTGTCTTGCAGGTGTTAAATGATATCTGTTCGGCTTTAAATTATTATCTGGATAATGCTGTTTAACGCGTACGGAGATAACATTCTTGAAATGTAATATTTTATGAATGAAATTGAAGTTTTGCGGAAACACTAATATACATACCTATATAATGCTGACATATATTATAAATACACTATTTAAAACATAGAAGATTAGTTCTTATAAGACTGAAATTAGTTGATGTCTAGAACATTGGAATTCAGATCGACGTCGATCTTTTTCCGCGAGATATTTACAAAAAAAAAGTTTTTATTTGGGAAGAACACAGGTTAATAATTAAAAAAAAAAAATCCTTCGAAGGTACATGTTTGACAGTGGTAGAGCCCGCTTTAACATCTTTGCACGAATGCGTCGGCTCCCCCCTAGCAATACCACGATCACACAGAAGACAGTCGTGATGTGGGAGCAATATCGCGTTTCGTCTGATGAGTGTGGTACCGGAGGTCTAACTTTAGTCCCTTTTCCTTCGCACCCTTTTTCTTCTAAGAATAGGATGGAAAGGAAACGTGGATTTGAAGGAAATATTCTCTTTATGTGCGTCTCCTCCTCCATCGATTAAGGGTAGGCAAGCCATCCGCAATTGCGAATGTCTATGGGCATCGGTCATTTCGCTATTTTGGGGGATTTAGGTGGCCGCTTGCTCGTTTGCCACCTTATAATATAAAAAAGTACATAACTACATTCATTTAAACTTTTACATTTATAATAAAATAATCAAATTTATTGTCTGTATAACAAAATGTTTAACAAAGTTGATCAACCAGTTAACGTAAATAATATTGTTGCTATATAACGATAGATTAATATTTCTTTGAGATATCGCTCACGCCATTATTATCTTTAAATTGATGAGTATTATATTGACATAAAAATGTCTTTTTATATAGATAAGTGGATCAAATACTCATAAAAATGTTTAAAAATACGCTGTAAGTTGTAAAAGTGTTACCTACGCATGCGAAGAAACTCCAAGATTTTTATAAAGTCAATCCGGAGTGGACCTGCGTGGTTGACTATGGCCTAGTCATCCCTTACTTAGGGTAGACTCCATTCTCCTTAGCAAGGTCCTAATGATAACGAACACTGGCAGTAGACAATCTATCGACTCAATAAATTATTTTTTAAAATAGTTGCCATGTAGTATTATTATTAATTATGCTTTAAAATTAGACATTTTAGTGTCATCAAACCCGGCACTGAACTATAACCCGGAATGAGATTAAAATCGTCAATAAAGATACGCAATATTCCCGTGCGATTAAACTGCACAATCAAGTTCAAATTCAATGAAAAACAAGAAATTATACATTCACATTTCATTAGCTGGCAATGTCTGCATAAGAGCTGCCGCGCATAATTAACTAAGCTATAACTGTCGAATTGTTTGCGAAACAAGCGAAGCGAACAGCGAAGCTGCGAAACATTCGACTATCGCGCAACTGTTGTGCGATTGTCGATTGTTTCGCAGCCAATTCAACTGTTTAGTTGCACAACTAAAAAAATGGGACCCACCTGCAAGCATTGCCTTTCGGATAAAAAAAGAATTATCAAAATCGGTCCACTAGCGGCGGGGTTATGCCGTAACATACATAAAAAAACACACAGACGAATTGAGTACCTCTTCTTTTGGGAAGTCTTTTGGGAAGTCGGTCAAAAATCAAGTAGTGTACGCACCTCCATATAAACTAATAGAAACCAACGCGCGACTAAACAGTTGTTCGATAGTTTAGTCAAAGTGCGCGTGCTCTAAGTGTGAACTAGTACAATAGAATCAACTTTATTCTATTGTATTAGTTTATACTAAGAGCAACTCTGACAACTTCTTGCTGGCGACTTCATGCGCGTGAAATTAAAAAAAATAACAAAATGTATAGCCTATGTTACTCACCGATAACGTAGCTTTTTAATAGTGAAAGAATTTTCGAAATCGGCCTAGTAGTTTTCAAATTATTCCAATACATACAAAAATGAAAAATCCAAATCTTTCTTCTTTATAACATTAGATAAATACAGAATTTTTATAAAAAAAATGGTAAATTTCATTGTTAAAATAAAAACGTTGTTCCATTGTCTGCGTAACATCTCGCATTCACGCCTAAAATTCTCGTTTTTTTATTCAAATTATGACTTATGCTTTCTCGGCGGCCAGTTCGTTATTAAATATTCATCCACAATATTTTTAAAAATAAAAAATTATTACAATTAATTTCCTTATAAAACATGTTACTATTTAATATTAATAAATATGCTTTTACTTTATAATTAATGAAAATATATTTACAACTATTATCAGCGCCATCTATTATCAATTATGCTTAACTAATCTCATTGTTAATCCTCCGGTCTCTGTAAGGTTAGCACCTGTATTACAATAAAATGTTCTTATAAAACCATATACTTAACAGGCGATTTTTAAAGTCATTAAATTAACTTAAAAGTCAATTATTCTATACAAAAACTAGTGTCCGCCTGCGACTTTGTCACCACGGAACAAAACAAAAAGTTTTCTTCCAGTCTATCTTCTATATTTATGCTTTCATTGAGGTTTGTCCAGCTGTAAAATCGGTATCGTTTACCAATTAGAATAAATTACAGTCATCTAAAATTAAAAAGAGGAAAGATTTACATTTTTGCGTTTATTGAAATTACTCAAAAACTCATCATCATCATCTCCTTATCCTACTCCCGTAGGGTCGGCGCAACAGGTTGAAATTACTCAAAAACTATTGGGCCGATTTCATAAATTCTTTCATCAATAAACAGTTACGTTCTCATAGTAACAGGCTGTATTTATTACAATTTTTATTTCCGCGCGGATGTAGATGCGCATTTGACATCAATTAACTTTATTCTGATAAAATTAATCATATGCAGCATATTATATTATCTACTATACTTGTAATGTATTGACAATTAAAAAGATAATTGTTTATATTATATTAATACTGTTTATGAATGAAAATGCATTGGGCTTGTCTGGCGTATCATATCATCAAAAAATTGTTTTATTGCCAAGCTCTGCTTTCATAGTCATTTTTTTTATCGACCGTTAATTACGAGTCTTCATACGTCACACTTAGGAGGTCTTCAAACTAGGGTTGTAACGGAGGCCATTTTAACGAAAGCGGATGCGGATGCGGAGAAGTGCTTCACCTCTGCGGAAGCGGAGGTTAACGGAAGCGGAGGTCAATAATAAAATGTTATTTGCGATTAATTAAAAAATAATTAATACCAAGTTAATTCAAAATACAGATTGGTACATAATTACAAGATACAGTTTATTAAGCAAATATAATGTATAACAATTATAGTCAGTTGACTTATTACGTTCGCGCGGGCATAAACGCTACCTAATCGCCCTACTCGCGATAAAGACGTAAATTAACCTCCGTTATAACTCCGCATAAGAAATAATGGAAGTGGAAGCGGATGCGGAGTTATCATTTCTTGCGGAAGTTTCGGACTTGCGGATACGGAAGCGGAGTTATGTTACAACCCTAGTTCATACAAAGAAATTGTTTGCTCTTTATGCATCTGCGGTTCTTCTAATTAGTGTCTATGGGCTAGTCAATAAGTATAAGGCGATCTCTTCCACCTTAAACAAAGGCGTTAGAGAAGTTCAAACAAAACTTAAAAGATTATTATATACTTGATATAGATTATTATATACTATACTTCTTTTGATTTCTTGATGTATGTATTTTAAAATAACGTTGCATGACCTTTATTACCAGAATTCTTGCATTGACCTGTTTATCAATGGTATTTTTCGTTTACTTTTAGCAAACTAACCAAAAAAATTATCAAAATATTCCGAATTGATCAATATCTGGCCGACATTGAAAACTTTAAAATGTATTTTTAGCAACTAGTTCTTTAATTTCCTGCATAATTTGAAACCAATGACTTTACTTTCCATTTTGAACCTTCGCTTGCTTATATCGAATAAGAATTCTCACGCCTCAAAACTTCATCAAAAAGCATGTATAAACAAGAATTCCATTTTTTTATAGTAAAAAGTGACAGTTGTCTATGGACCTCCGCATATCCAGACACGTAGTCGTTGTCGACAAAGAAGGGGAAGCTTGTGGTTATTATATTTACCGTTCCAATGCGTATCATCCTTTGCCAAATCCACCAAATTTAACAGTGGTAGTGCCCGCTTTAACATCTTAGCACTGCAGGGCCGACACGCCCGGTGTAATAAATACCACGACCACACAGAAGACAGGCGTGAAATGGAAGCAATTTCGTGTTTCGCCTGATGAGTGTGGTGCCGGAGGCCTAATTTAAGTCCCTTTTTCTTTACCACCATTTTCTTATAAGAAGAAGATGGGAAGGGGAAGTGGATTTGACGGCGGAGGAGATGCATAGGAAGGGGAAATATCCTCTTTATATGCGTCTCCTCCGTCGCATAAGGGTAGACAACGCATCTGCAATTGCGGATGTCTAGGGGCAGCGGTCGCTTCGCCATTTTGGTAGATTCAAGTGGCCGCTTGCTTGTTTGTCACCATATGTTATAAAAAAAAACCTTTCCTTCCAATCCTTTCCTTTTTAAGCCACTTACCATTTCACGCCTGTCTATTGTTTCGTATTACATCATCTACGAACGATATCAACCCCGGAAGAGGCTGAGCCCGAACATGCAGTACTAAAGGCATGGGCGGTGCACCGGCAATAATCAACGGTAAACCCCCAACGCGGGACACGGGTAAATAAATCCACGTAATGCTGGTTTACGAAAGACTTCTTTATTGGTGGAGATGTACCACTTTGTATTTCGTCTTGATTGCTGACCAAACATGTTGCTTTCCATGGGACTTTAGTGTGCGTAATTAGATGCTAGCGCGGCGACACGTGCGGCGTTTCTGCTAGGCAGCAACTCTGCATCTTCTTGCTCTCTTTTCCACTGAAT